TTTTTTGAGATCTCATGGAAACTTTAAAGTATTGACATAAACAACTCAAACATATAGTAAGACGTGAATTTCAAATCATATATTAACACATATGATATAAATTCATAACTATATCACTATTGTCATACTATGTATCACATGAAATTATCCTAATTTGCAAATTCATTTATGCAATTAAATACTCCCTGTCCCAAACACAAATACACAAAATTAGCACTTTATTAGAATCAAAGTTCTTTATTTGATTAACCCAAAATCAAATAATTAATATATGATGCACTCACAAAAATTCTGCACACAAGAATTTATTTTATTTTATTTTGATTTTCTTAAGTTTCGGTCATTGACTTTTCTATCGACATTATCCAGGCGACGACTAAGTCGACGAGGCCAAACAGCCAAACACTTTAACGGATGGTTGACTTTTCTTTCAACTTTAATTCTATGGACGATCAAGTCGACAAAGCCAAATAGTCAGACATATCAACGAACGATAACTTTTATGTCAACTTTACTCTAGTCGACCAACAAGTCAACAAAGCCAAACAAAACACAGAATAAATTCCAACAGATTTCGAATTTATAAAAATTTACAACATGCACTAAAAGTTCTATTGCTATATCAAATGCCAATTTTTCATTTCCATTTCAAAGAATGATAAAAACATGACCAAATTCTCTATCAAACCTTTTATGACATACATTTTCTTAATTAATCATCACATTAATTAAATATTTTATTTTGATAGAAACCACACATTTGGGCAATCAACAAATAATGCATTTTACATGCAAAAGTTCATGAATTCTACAACCATGTTCCACTCAGGCATAGATCTCATCACTACGTTTATGTATTTATTATATATATATAGATACCTTGAACTTGGAATGCCACGATTCATAAGTAAAATATAATTTATACTTTGATGACGAGGTCCATTGTATCCTATCATTGCCCTTTCCATTAAATCTAATGATCTGCAACATTTCTACCATTTTCGTGTGCAACGAAAATATCTTTGCTTGATTCTTCAAGTACTATCCATTGTTTAACAGAAAATCTTAGCCTAAAGATTGTTGGAATTCTACTTCAAGAATAGTGGACAACAATGGCTGCACTAGATCAAAGAAAAGGAGGAAGAATTTATGGTTAGGACAAAAGAAAGTTTTGTCTCCAAGTCACAAGTAAAATTGCTTTAGTGAACTAACAACCTGATACAAGCATAAGAAATGTCATTGGAAATATTCCAAATATTTGGTGATTTCATTGTACACTAAAAGCATCCAAATGATCCATATTTATAGAGTTAGAGGAAACTCTTGAGGATTAGACGTAATCCTTAGTTATGGTCCTAGACATAATTTTTCGTTAATGTCTTTTCAGATGAAGTTCATAGGCACAACCTTTTAGTTGTGTCTCTACAATATATTGAAAACACCCAATAGGCACAACATATTAATTGTGTTCCTACAATATATTGAAAATAACTCAACAAGGTGCATCTCAAATTAATGTCTGCTTTGACATTAATGCCGATGGTATTCTCAATGTATCTGTTGAAGACCAAACAACTGACCAGAAGAACAAGATTACCATTACGAACGATAAGGGATGGCAGTCAAAGGAGGAAATTGAGAAGATGGTGCAGGAAGCCAAGAAATACAAAGCTGAAGATGAAGAGCATAAGAAGAAAGTTGAAGTGAAGAATTCCCTTGAGAATTACGCATACAGCATGAGGAACACCATTAATGATGAGAAGATCAGTTCCAAGCTTGCTGAAACAAGAAGAAGATTGAGGATGCCATCGAATATGTTATTCAGTGGTTGGGTGGAAACCAGCTTGCGGAGGCTGAAGAGTTTGATGACGAGAAGAAAGAGCTGGAGAGCATCTGCAATCCCGTCATTGCTAAAATGTACCAATGAGCTAGCGCGCTGATATGCCTGGAGGGATGGATGACTACATGCCTTCAGATGGCGGTAGTGGCAGTTCTGGTGCAGGTCCTAAGATTGAGGAAGTTGATTAAGCTGAGTGATGTTAGTTCGTCTTTGGTGGTGGCATGTTTCAGGTCACTCCCGGAAGTTGAAAATATCTGGAAACTATAGATGTCTTTTGGTTGTATTGGAACTCTTTTAGTCATGGAAGTTATGCAGTTAAGCTTTAGTTCGTTCTACCATGTAAAGAGTTATCTGCTAAGCGCGGCTCAGAAGATGATCTTAAGAGGTGCTGCCTTTTGCTAATTTCCATCTTCTAAAACTATCTTTTTGCTCCTGGCGTGCTTTGCAAAATTGTTTAGCCACTCGTTTTGTGGAACAATTCTCTCCTTGATATTATTTTCTTCAGGACAACAATGCAATGCCTTAGCTTGGAAAAGATCCAGTAATGCCACTAAATTCAAAGCGAGTAGAATTTTGTATAGTGAAAACTGTACGTATCCAGGAGCATTAGTACCGTAGTGGAAATTGAAATAGAATTTTTCAGTTTAGTTATAAGATAATTAAAATACAAATTGGTCGTGCGACTACGAACAAACTAGTTAGTCAAATAAATATGCAAATAATAAAAAAAAAATTATAGAAACAAGTTTGAACAATCTGAGTAGCTTCATTAATGATGGGAAACTGACTAATGAAAACTGACTTTTGGACGACACAACTTTTTGAGTTTGTGTTTGAGAGGAACTTCGGCAACTGTTTTAGTAATTCAAGATTTTTGTTTAATCTAAAATGTATTTTGTTAATTTTGAGATAATATAATTTAATTCATTCTTGATAAGTTAAAAAATATTTTAGCATACGGTGAAATTTTAATTTGGATTTGTTAGAATGTTTCTGCCCTATATGATTACTTACTTGTAACATGTCACGATATAACTGGATAAATTTTAACTGAATGTTTCAATTAAAACCAACGAGTGGACTCTCTCTCTCTGTATATATATATAATAAATAACAGTTGATAAGTGAACCCTAGTTTCGAAGTTGGCATGCTTTGCACCAACGAGTGGACTCTCTCTCTCTGTATATATATATAATAAATAACAGTTGATAAGTGAACCCTAGTTTCGAAGTTGGCATGCTTTGCCCTTTCGTTTCGGACATGGAAAAAATTTGACAAAACCCGCGGAGGCAAAACCTTAAGCGGCTGCGGTTACGGTGATAATTACATACTGGAGTGGTTTCTGTTGGAATTGTTGGTGAAACTCCCGGCGGATGACGTGTTCAGATTCAAGTGCGTCTCCAAACAATAGTTTTGGCTCATCTCCGATCTCCGAGCTCTGTATCTGTCCAGACTGCCAATCCCAGCATGCCGCCCATTTGTCTTTTTCAATACCGCATTTGAATGGTTCGGCAAGGTCACCGATCATCATCAAAATTACTCTGCCTATGGAAATCCTTACAATCTTCTTGCTCCGCCTAGAAGAAGACGAGAAATCAGGTACAACAGAGCAGCTGACAAGGGCTTTATCTTGGCCGAGGCATTGCCGGCGCCGCCATATACGTCTCGAGAATTAGTTGTCTATAATACTATGACCCCCCAAAGGTGTGAATGTTTTCCTCTTCCTCGCAGCATCTTGGAGACCTGGTATCAGCTGGGTTTTGCAACCCGGTTGGATGACGGATCTGGATTTTTTGACTGGTTATAAAGTTGTATCGCTTGCTACTCAAACTGATCCCCGGAAGTTCCTGGACATGAATATTTTTTATTCGGAAACCAGGAGATCGGAAGAAATCAGAGTGAGATCTGAAACTCGGGTCGTTACAAAAAAATTAGAATATAAAAGATACAAATTTGAGGAGGAAATGTGGTCTGAGAATATGCCGGAGATGGAATAAATTCAATCACGGCAAAAAATTTCTGGTGAAGTATCAAAGATATAGTCTGCCAGGGTTCTTGTTGGGACGATCGGGAATCAATAGTACCATGTTGGTCCACATATAATGGTCATCGGAATCCTCGAAAGTCATCGTCGGAATCATATTATTCCAGATATTCTTTTTGTACTAATTGAGGTTGATCAGCGACATGTGTCCGGAGAAAAAATAAAATTCCTTTCATATATATAGAAAATTTCCATAAGTAGGTAACCTCTATCTAGTATCTACTATTCTAATTATAAAACACAAATTAATACCCACTTTAACTCCCTCTGTCCCATAATTATTGTCCAGTTTGGGTTTTCATTTTTAGTTCAATTTGAACTAAAAATGAAAACCCAAACTGGACAATAATTATTGAACTAAACATGAAAACTCAAACTGGACAATAATTTTGGGACGGAGGGAGTATAATTTAGCAGGGAGAAATATAGTTAACAATTTTCTTAGTACATTACATCAATGCCTATTTGAAACTATAAGTTCTCATATAATTGTTGCATTACAGCAATTGTTTTTTGCCTAATTGGTACTCCAAGTTTACACATTCCCTCCTTATAGTTGTCGATCTTGTGTTCTTTCTGTTTTGACGACAGCATTGGGGCTGGGTTTGGAATAACTCCTCCCTTTCGATTAACCAAATGAGGAGTACTATCTCCTGTATCCAAATTTCACGTCAAAGATTATGGTTATGTTAAGTATGTCTTGTGCATTGAAGTTTTTTATTATTGTTTTTCTTCTATATTATAATGATTCTTGCTATTTTGGGGAGAAGAGTTTTAAATTAGTTACTCCCTTTGTCCAATAATTATTGTCCAGTTTGAGTTTTCATTTTTAGTTCAAATTATACTGAAAGTGAAATCTCAAACTGGACAATAATTTTGGGACAGAGGGAGTATTTTTTTCTGATAGTTTTGTTTAAAAAGAGATTCTTTTGTACCCGAAAAAACAAAATGAGTTTATTTAAGCCAATAGTAGAAGTGCCGATTCAAAAAATTCAGCGTCCTTGTTGACCAAAAAACAGACTACCGACCTAATTTACGAAAATATAAAAGCACAACAATTGCGAGGTGAACCCTAGTCCGAAGTTGGCATCAGTTTTACCTTTTCGTTTTTGATTATGGAAAAAAGTGACCGAACCGGCGGAGCATCCGGCGGCGTCGGGTGGCAGGATGATGATAATTACATACCGGAGTGATTTTTGTTGGAATTGTTAGTCAATCTGCCGGCGGAAGACGTGTTTAGATTCAAGTGCGTCTCGAAACAATGGTTTTCTTTCATCTCGGAATATCCTTCTCTCCGAGCTCTGTATCTCTCCAGACTGGCCGTCCCAGCACGTCCCCAATTCGTCTTTTTCAACACAGCATATAAATGGTTTGGTGAGGTTACAGATCCTCAAAATCAATTCGGGTCTGCGTATGGAAATCGTTACCATCTTAAATCACCAATAATTCAAACTCCCCTCAGATCCATAGGAAGAGAAATTCGGCCGTCCAACTACATAGCCGCCGACAAGGGCTTTATCCCGGCGGAGATGGCCGCGCCGGCATCGTCCCTGTATGGAGAATTAATCGTCTACAATGTTATGACCGGCCCGAGGTGTAAACGCCTTCCTAATCCTCACAGCCACGAAAATAACTGCCGCCTGGGTTTCATAACCCAAGTAGATGACGGATCTGGAGTTTTGACCGGTTATAAAATCGTATCGGTTGCCACTCAGACTGAATTTCGCAATTTTCTCGACATGAGTGTTTTTTCGGCGGAAACCAGGAGATGGGGAGAATTCATAGTGAAATCTCAAACTCCTGTCAATTTCTGCTGGTACATCTGCAACAGACCCGTTCTTCTGAACACCACTCTGTATTGGGTCAATCGGAGCTCCGGAATTCTTCTAACCTACGATCCATACGCTAACCCGAATCAGCTCCGGATCATTCAACTCCCAACAACATTAACAAATAATTAGATTAAGGTTGCAGAAGATATCGTAGATTCGGTTCCTAATATTGGCTTACAGCAGATCATTTTAGACAATACCCGTTTTGTGTCAATCCATCCATGGAATCTAGATGTTATATATTTGGATTTAGGAATGAAAAGGATACTTGATGAGAATCATGTAGCCTTCCATGGTGATTCTCCTAGTGAGGGGAATGAACTAGCCCTTCATTCTAGTTTTGGAATGCCAAGTTTACTTTGCAGGCCAATCAAGGAAGAAATGATAGATCTTGACTACCTATGTGATCGGGAGTTGGTTCAAGAGGGATATTATCCAGATGATGAGAATGTCATTAACTTTGGCGTTTAAACCAAAGGAGATGACGACCTCATGGAAATAAGTGCTGAAAAGTATCAAGAGAGTTTGACTCTAGGTGCTCCATGATGATCATTGATCAAGCTAGTGAGAAGAGTCATTTAGGTTCTTGAATGGACGGCCTATTTGATCAAAGTGTTCAAGATTGACCCCATTGCTACACAATTGGATAGGTTGCAAACTATCTTAATTGTTTCAAGTGTTTTTTCAGTCTTTTGGAGTCAATAAAGAGAATTCTACAAGTTTTAGAGTAAACTGAAGTTTTCTACAACTTGAGGGGCGTAAGACCAATATTCCACTTTTAGAAGGGCGTTCAAGACATTTTACTTCAATAATTTGGGAGTTGAATTTCGAGATTAGAGTTAGTCTAAGTCTAGGAGTCAATTTTCGAGTTTTATCTAGTTAGATAAGCCATGTGGGCTAAATAAAACTAGAGTGTTTTGATTAGGAGTCTTAGATTCCTTCTAGATATTATCCTAATTGAGGATAAGTCATTTAGATAAGGTTTCCTAGATTTTAGATAGAGTCAAAGAGATCAAATACTCTTCTACTTCTACTCCTTGTGAGATAAGATTAGAGAGTCCTAATTGATCTTCTTTTTATTGGTGCTGGCCGAAAAACTAAGCCTATAAATAGGGGGCATGGCCGAAAATCAAAAGCACCTTGAGTGGTCATTTTTGTTGTCTCTTTTGAGAGTTTTTCCTGTGAGGAATTTTTGTTAAATGGAGTGTCCATTTTTCGTGTCAAGTATGATTTAACCAAGAGGGTTTTCATCTTGTCTTCGATCTTTTGATCTTGCAGAAACCATTCTTTTTCAAGTATGCTTCTTGATAGAATTGTTTTAAAATAAAACTTCTTATTTTCATACTACTTCTTGTAGTTCGATTGATGAGCCTTTCTTTTGGCTTGGTGTTCGAATTCATGATGTGTGTGTTCATGAGTTCCATTGTGGGGTTTGTCCTACTTTTGTTGGATGAGTTGTGCTTTGGCATAAGCATTTTGAGATAGTGTATGTGTTGCATATCTCAGTTGGTTATGGAGATTACTAATCAATAGTATTCCTTCATAGTTGAGCATTATTTGCTCCTACCTTTCTTGAGTCTTTTGAATGATGACTGATCGAGTATATTGAATGGTGTCCTTGCTTTTCTTAGTGTGGGTTGTTGTTTAATTCGAATCTTTCATGGATAATGTGTTCTTTGCTTGGTTTGAGTTAAGAGATAGAAATCACTTAGATAAACGATCGTCTTACTGTGAATTTTCCGCACTCTTTTGAGTTTCACGGGATAGACAAATTATCTTCATACTTTCTTGTTTAATGGTTGCATTAACGAAATTTGCTTCGTCTACGAGATTGCTATTAGTTTCTTGGTATCAGAGCTTGGACTATCTTAGTGATGGTATTAATTGATATTATCATATCAATTTTTATTATCAGTTTGATTTTCGAGAGATTTTTTTTTGATTGAGGACTTCATAGTTCTTGGTTTTGAGAATATCTTGAGTTACCACGGAATCCATTACTTGGTGTGGTAATCAAGCTTTGTACTACTAACGAGTAGTACTATCTTTATTTGTTTCAAGGTTCCTTCTTGTTGCAGAATGGGTTTTGAAAAAATAAATCAAATTCTTGTGAAAACTACGTTTTCAAAATTGATCTTGTCTTTTGTGTGGTTGTGCGAGACTTCTTACACATTTGTTTGATCTTGTGGTGTTATTTTGGGGTCTATGCGAGAGCTTGATGATGATACATTGGTATCTAGTCAAAGTGCGCGATACATCTTGAAATTTATCCTTGATTTGTAAGTAGAGAACTGTTTCTCCTATGAGCAAGTTAGTGGATCTTATGTGTTGGATCTTTAAGGAGAGAATTGATACCAAAGAAGAGCTTCTTGCTCGAGATAGCCTTTTCTTTCTAAAGGAGATGTCTTTACATAATGAGGGTTTGAGAGTTTATCTTGTGGTAAATATCTTGGATCTATTCTTTGAAAGGTGAAGCTTAGTGATTTTGTACTTTCTACATAAAGTATAAATGAAAAAGCCTTCCTTCTCGTTGGTTCTCAATTGAATCTAATGAGTAAAATGGAATTTATGGATTTTCAATCAATGAGAATTTCATAGAGTTCCGATCTTGTTGGTCATTTTGTTTTGGTTTAAATCTTAGTGTCAAAAGATTTTCAAAAGTAACAAATGTGGTTTTTGCTTTTCTCGAGTTCATACCTTGAGAATGAGATGATTTAGTGTATCTTCATATCATTGGACTTTCCTTGATTCTTAATTTGAGTTTCAAAACATTCTTTATCATTTGATGAGAAATGAATTTTAGTGATATCAATTTTTGGTATTAAAATGTTTAAAGGTCTTTGAAGTTGAATTGTGCCAACTTTAAGGGTTGAAGTCTTTGACTTGTGTTTAAAACCTTGATTTTCGAGAGTGAGTCGAGAATTGAGTGAAGTTTTACTAAAGATTTTCTTATTTATGACAAAAAATCTTATAGGCTTTAAGATATATTCTTGAAGTTTACATATTTGGTCTTTGGAAAATTTGATTTTCAAATAGTCACTTATGAAGATGGCTTTGTTGAGTCATTGAGTTTAAGAATTGTTTGTGTTAAATTGAGTATTATGAAGCAAATGTCATAGTTGAATGAGGAACTTTAATTTCCTACTTCATTATACTTATGGTGTTCTTGTTACTTTATTTGCTATAGATTGTTTTGGTAAAAAGTGATTTTTTGTTAATTCCATATACGATTTGGAAAAGGGTTTTTAGAAAGATTCTAAAAGTTGTTGTCCATTTTTGGAAAGTGGTTATTTTCAAGTTTCTTTTTTAAGTGAGTCAAAAGTAATTTTTCAAATTTTAACTATGTGGTAAAATGTTAATAGCCGAATTTTTGCTGACTTATTGCATGTGTGTGCGTGTGATTTATGTGGAATTCTAAGCCTAGTTGGTTTTGAATTTTAGAATCATAGTATAGCCGAAATTGTGAAGCTAAAAAAAGTAGGATTTCCTAGTCCTAGTTGAACTTGAATTTTGGTTGTCTATTTGTGTTACACTTTGAGACCTATTTGGTCTTGTATCTGTGTGTTCACATGGCCGAAAATTTTAGCCCCAAAATTAAGGTCATTGAGTCCAAATTGTGTTATGATTTGAGTCCTATTCGGTTTTGGATTTTTGTGTTCACATTGGCCGAAAATTGCAGCCTTTGTTTCCTAATTGTAATACAATTTTATTGTGTGTTTTATTTGAGTCCTACTTGGACTTAAATACTAATTTTTGCATGTGTTAAATTATAATTTCAGTGAGATTATAATTAGAATTTTTAAGTGAGTCTATTTTCGAAAACTATTGAGATAAGGAAGTCTTATCCTAATCTGAAATTTTTTTTTGAGTCTTCTAATACAATTTTGCATGTAGTAGGGGGGTCGAAAATTTTATCTCTAATAAGTAGGGATGAATTTTCCTAATTTGTGTCCAAAAAAGATTATGTTTACCTAAGTTTTAGGACTCTATCCTTGTCTATATATATGTGGCCGATTTTCCTTCTTCTTTATTCCATCTTGTCGAACAGATTTAATCCATTGAAGGGGGGAATATTTTTGAGAAAATTTAGGTTCTATCTTGTAGGAGTTTTCTTGCACAAAAAGACTTGCATTGCCTATAAATAAGGGTGTTGTTTTTCGAAAATTCTCACACCACTCTACTCCATTCTTCTTCTTCTTCTTGCTGCCGAGATCACAAGGGTGAAAAAATAAGAGAAGCACTCTTCTCTTTATTCTGAATTTTTGAGAGTTAGTGTTCTTAAAAACACAAGAGAGTTTTTGTTTTTGGGGAGAACATTATTCGAACCTTTCTTTGGTTCTGGGGGGGTTTTGATCGAACCATCATTGGTTCAAGGAGTTCTTTGTGTAGTACCAAAAGCACAATTACTTCTTTTTGGTGGTTTTTCAACTTTGTTGATTAACAATGAGTTCTGAAATTGCTAGTTGTTGTCAAAGAGAATAAAGGGTGTTGTTATACAAGCTAAACCCAAAGATAAGGAGGCAATCAACGCTCTATGAGGCATATTATGCTGCCTTAGAAGTGGAGAGAGAGCATGATACTTCTTGTGGTTGGAATAGTCCAATTGAGGATCAGGGGTTGGTGTTTGGTGCTGAAGATGGTGATCAACGGACTTGTATCTTCCGTACTAAGTGTTCGGTTGGGTGGACCAATGAAGTTGATTTGGTAATCGACGGTGGGTCGAGTACTGATTGTATAAGTGAGGAATTTTGCATAGCAAACGGAATCAAGATGGATCCGCATACTAGACCATACAAGCTTCAATGGTTGAGTGAAGAAATGGTTGTGGATGTCACTAAGAAGGCCATGGTACCTTTTCAGATTGGTGAGTATAGGGATAAAATTTACTTTGACGTAATTCCTATGTCTCTTTGTGATATTTTGCTAGGTAGGCCTTGGCAGTCAGATGTAGATGTTGTGCACCATTGCTCGAAGAATATCTTTGTATTTACTAAAGAGGACAGAAAATATATTCTTAAGCCTTTGGCTTATGAAGAATCTGAATCTGTGCGAGAGAAAAGACGTAAGATAACCTATACACAAGGGAGAGAAAAAGTCGAGAGAGGTGACGCAAGAAAGTAAAAAGGGTCATGCTGAGGTAAGACTTGAGGCGAGAGAAAACCATGAAAATAGCGTGGAAATAGAAAAAAAAAATGCACGCAATGAGAGAAAACCAGAGTGTGGTGAGGGTGAGGATTTTACTAACCCTTATATCTCGTTTGTTCCTTGTGCAGGTATAGAGGTTGATGATTTGAGGATGAATCTTCTTAAAGAAGGAGGAGATGATGAGAATCATGTAGCCTTCCATGGTGATTTTCCTAGTGAGGGGAATGAACTAGTCCTTCATTCGAGTTTTGGAATGCCAAATTTACTTTGCAGGCCAATCAAGGAAGAAAGGATGGATCTTGACTACCTGTGTGATAGGGAGTTGGTTCAAGAGAGCTATGATCAAGATGATGAGAATGTCATTAATTTTGGCGTTCAAACCAAAGGAGGTGATGACCTCATGGAAATAAGTGCTAAAGAGTATCAAGAGAGTTTGACTCTAGGTGCTCCATGAAGAGCATTGATCAAGTTAGTGAGAAGAGTCATTTAGGTTCTTGAATGGACGGCCTATTTGATCAAAGTGTTCAAGATTGAGTCCATTGCTACACAATTGGATAGGTTGCAAAGTACCTTAATTGTTTCAAGTGTTTTTTCAGTCTTTTGGAGTCAATAAAGAGAATTCTACAAGTTTTAGAGTAAACTGAAGTTTTCTACAACTTGAGGGGCGTAAGACCAATATTCCACTTGTAGAAGGGCGTTCAAGACATTTTACTTCAATAATTTGGGAGTTGAATTTCGAGATTAGAGTTAGTCTAAGTCTAGGAGTCAATTTTCGAGTTTTATCTAGTTAGATAAGCCATGTGGGCTGAATAAAACTAGAGTGTTTTGATTAGGAGTCTTAGATTCCTCTAGATATTATCCTAATTGAGGATAAGTCATTTAGATAAGGTTTCCTAGATTTTAGATAGAGTCAAAGAGATCAAATACTCTTCTACTTCTACTCCTTGTGAGATAAGATTAGAGAGTCCTAATTGATCTTCTTTTTGTTGGTGCTGGCCGGAAAACTAAGCCTATAAATAGGGGGCATGGCCGAAAATCAAAAGCACCCTTGAGTGGTCATTTTTGTTGTCTCTTTTGAGAGTTTTTCCTGTGAGGAATTTTTGTTAAATGGAGTGTCCATTTTTCGTGTCAAGTATGATTTAACCAAGAGAGTTTTCATCTTGTCTTGGATCTTTTGATCTTGCAGAAACCGTTCTTTTTCAAGTATGCTTCTTGATAGAATTGTTTTAAAACAAAACTTCTTATTTTCATACTACTCCTAGTAGTTCGATTGATGAGCCTTTCTTTTGGCTTGGTGTTCGAATTCATGATGTGTGTGTTCATGAGTTTCATTGTGGGGCTTGTCCTACTTTTGTTAAATGAGTTGTGCTTTGGCATAAGCATTTTGAGATAGTGTATGTGTTGCATATCTTGGTTGGTTATGGAGATTACTAATCAATAGTATTCCTTCATAGTTGAGCATTATTTGCTCCTACCTTTCTTGAGTCTTTTGAATGATGACTGATCGAGTATATTGAATGGTGTCCTTGCTTTTCTTAGTGTAGGTTGTTGTTTAATTCGAATCTTTCATGGATAATGTGTTCTTTGCTTGGTTTTAGTTAAGAGATAGAAATCACTTAGATAAACGATCGTCTTACTGTGAATTTTCCGCACTCTTTTGAGTTTCACGGGATAGACAAATTATCTTCATACTTTCTTGTTTGATGGTTGCATTAACGAAATTTGCTTCATCTACGAGATTGCTATCAATACTGAATTCTTGCAACATTAAGACCAAGAGAGCAGAACGACTTCTTCCCTATGTTCCGTGGGATGATCAGGAGCACAGGAGGGAGTGGTTTCTCGTAGAGCTTTCGCCTTGGCCCGTCTCCGTTCTGCCTTCTCTGCTAGCTATTGATCCTTGACTACCTAATTTAGTGTGTTTGTGGGGGAGAGCGGGGTGGAGACAGAGGTATATTTGCTACACATATTTTGCGTGTAGAATACTTGGAATTGGAATTGTTAGATCAGAAATTCAATACTTCAATTTATAGTGGTGCTGCGAGTTAAAACCATACCTTTTGACCTAAGCGATCATGCTTGCATTTTCATTGTTACGACAAAGGGAGTTTGGGAATTCTACATTTCGTTTTTCCTATACCTAAAAAGCGATTTACAAAAAACGGTTAATAATATTATACTCCCTCCCTCCGTCTAAAATACGATCAGACATTGAATTTCATATTTTGAAATACTATCAAAACTATATGATGATACGTACACTGTGCAATAATATTTCGTTCTGGTGACACGATGATCTCGGTTAATGATGGCCATGATGAGGCCGATAAAGGAAGCTCATCCCCGCAATCTTCATCTCCGCCACCGCCATGTACGTGGTCGTGGAGTATTCTTCCTTGTTATAATGAATTTCATTCTCAACTGTATTGCTAAATGGTTGGCTTTCTTACATCATAGTATACTTGTCTTATATGTTGGAATATCTACGGATAAGCTGTTCTGGAAAAAATGGCAACAATTCCTCAATCCTAACAAATTAAGTGGTTCCTCTGGAATCCGATGAACAAACGGATACCAACAGCAAAATGTAACTGCATTATCATGGGAATAATATTTTTCTAATGTAAGTACACTAGAAGTTATTTGCATGAATCTTTACCTTTTATCCTTTTCTTTCTCTATACGTAATTTTTGAGTCTCCAATTGAAAAAAAAAAAAGAGGTGTTCTTTTTATTTTATTTTATGTGTTCCTTCGAAAATGTAAGGAATTATTTTGAGGAAAAGGTTTTGATTTTTTTATTTATTTAATGAGACTGGATTTCAAAAATTAAAAAAGAATCTCCGACACTCACTTACAGAGTCCAGAACCTATATATAAGCACCCATTATTTCCTCCCAGCTGCGCAAACAAACCCGCCATCCTGTAACAAGATCTATCCATTTTCCCGGTAAATAAATTTCCTCACTTTTATTTTTCAGTTATTTGTATGATAAGAAACCCATTTTCCCAAAATAGGAATTTTCGGAGGTGAAAAATATGAAAGGTTTTCATGTGATTATCAAAGACAATAAAAATTCCATGTCCACATTGCCATTTTTTTTTCCCTTTACCGACGTTTAAACCTAAATTGGCTGCGCATTTGTTCCAGATCTGCGTTTTTTTTTAAACAACTTGATAGAATTCATGTTAACTTTTACCCGGATTTCCGCCTTGCGCATTTTTTCCTTGAAGGGTTCTTTCTGATTCGCTGTGATGGCTCGCGGTTATGATTCCAATCCCTTTGAAGAAGAGGAAGTGAACCCTTTTGCGGTAATGTCCTTTTTGTTCCTTCCATGGATTTTCCTTAAATTCACAATGCGGGTTTTTATTTGCGTGGACGTGTGTGTCTGTTGTTGTGTGTTTGCGAAGTTTTACGTTTCGATGAAAAGATGAAATGTTTCCGTGTTTTTTTTATTTTGGGATTTGGGATTGTGTGATCGGAAATATCTGAATTGCGGGATGTCGGTCACTTCTATTGCAATATGTTAATCTCGAAAATCAATTACGTTTCTTTTTATCTTATCGTTGGGTTTTGCTTTGTTGGTTGGATTATTCAGATCTATCTGTTGGTTATGGATTTTGTAACAGCATTTGTGGAATTCAATCCAAGTGCTATGGTCCATTATTGTGTTAGACAATGTGGATCATGGTGTGGGCACTGTTAATTGTCTGGAATGTCAATATGAAGTGGGTTGCCTGCATTGTAATGAAACAGCAAAGTTCAGTTGAAGTTTGATGGATTGGTGTACATTACTGATGCTGGTACTGTAGGTCCTTGTGTAAACGCATTAAGGCATTAGTTGCCTAACAAAAGTAAACATACTAATGAGAAAGAAAAACAAGTGATGGAAGGGCTGTAACTAGTTCTTGGGGCTTTGGATAAAGCAGGGCTGTTTCTTATTTGCTTTTCATGGTTTGTTTATGATGATTAAGGGTTATATGATTTTAACAAGTTCCCAGCAGGAAACTATTCTTACCGTCAACTAAATAGTGTATAATGTTCTGATTGCTTTCCGATACTTTTTTTGTTCCGGTTTTTGGGGAAAATTTTTTGTTTGCTACAATGATTGGGGATTGAAATTAGAGTTTTCCTTTGGCAACACTGTTTAGGTAGAACTTCAAAAGAGTTTTACCTGTATTGTTCTCTATTAAAAGACATGCTGCTCTTTGCTCATTATGTCTTGTCAAGAGGAATATTTGATGTACTATTTTCATTATCTTGTTCATGTATGTTTATGGATTTTGGATTCTAGGACAACGGAGCTCGAGGAAAGGGCCAATCAAACTATGGCAGTGGTGCATTTTTTATGACAGTAATTAATTCTCTCCTTGAGCTTCCATAGAATATATCCTTGTAGCTCGCGTAAAGGTTATAGAAGTTCTCTGTGTTTCCCCTTGTATTCTGATGTTTGTTAGGCTTCTGGTAGAGCATTTCTTTTCTTTCTCTGTTATTTTACCTCCGGATACTTTATGCAAAATGGTGTTCGAAAGCAGGTCTCTGATCTCTTCTGAAATTCATTTTCTATCCAAGGCGTCCATAGATTGTTCTCTTCTGAAGCTGGTGTCTGCTGTAATGTTCCCCTCAACTTGCAGTTTGTTGTCTCCAAGTCTCAGAGGACAAATGAGCAATTTGACTTGTAATATTATGGAGAATTATAAAGCCTGAATCCATGGTATAATGGAACCCGTATAACAAGGATACACCTATAATCTTTTACATCTTGAGTGTTACAATGAGATCATCATGTATATGTGGGGACAGTTTTTCTAAGTCTTTGATTTTACATCATGCTTTTTTGGAAAAATCAATTTCCAAGAATGAGACCATGTGTTAATAGAGCACCGACACATGATCCCACAAGCCAAAATTACATAATGGATAAAGGCTTAGTGGTTGTTTTAGTCTTGACTTTTCTATTATTTGCACGTACATGTGCGTATAGGCTATCAATCGTGTTTTTGTGCTCTGTTATTTTTTAAGAGCTGATGATTAGACAAACTTGCGTTGCTTATACATTTAGGATCGAATCTTTGAATATGATTGATCTGTTTTAAATTTCTGAATTGTTCAAGTTATGATGAAGCTAGAAATTCATTTGCTACCGCTGGTGAAGTAATGAATTCACCTTAATTCTTGTATAACCAACCTCTATAATGGATAATAATACTTTTACAAACAGTTAATGTTTTTATCATTTATCTTCTGCTAAAAAGTGTCTTTTTTTGCTGACATCTTCAGAATCCTGGGAGTGTTCCTCCAGCTAACTCAAAGCTTTCACCTCTTCCACATGAGCCAGCTGCAACAGTTGACATTCCACTAGATAGCTCTAATGTATGTCGTTTAACTGGCTTACTCCCTGCTATTACATGTTCTATTTCAGTTCTATTATAGGTTCTTTTTCAATCATACTCGTGCATTGCCTATCTACTCTTTAGGACTTGAAAAAAATGGAGAAGGAACTCAAAGCTAAAGAGGCTGAATTGAAGAAAAGGGAGCAGGTACTATGATTTTAAGTCTTTTAACTGTTAATGCGTGATTTTTTTTGTGAAGATACAAATTTACAAATGCTGTCTTACCTTGGTATAATCAAGTTTCCATTAGGTTCTTAGAAATCGGTTTGTAAGATTGTATGATGCTATGGGAGATGAAAATTTAAACTTTTTACCGATTATTTTAAGGTGATGGATGATGAATATATAGGGGTAACCATTCGATTTTTATTAGTCTATAATTAAATTTTCTGTCTCAAGTCTATACTATTTGAAACGTCTATATGCATTCTGACAATAATGAGGGACTTATCCGGCATAGGAAGAAATCAGTCCAGTTAATTTATCAATTGGTGGGAGACAAAGAATTGTGCTTAAATGGATTGGGTTTGTTTAAATGTAATTCATTGAGACAAGTGATTTATTGTTGGTATTGTAACTTTCTATAAAGTACTTGACTGGAAGTCTGGAACAATTTCAGGTAAGTAATTTGATACATAATTAAAATAAGTGGTTTCTGCCCCTATAGGTTTTTGCTTCACAGACCTAGCTTTGCCAAACTTAATTGACTAAGAATCTAGCTCATTTTCTTTTCTATCACTAATACCCTTGTATTCCTTGTGAATGTACCACCGAGTATTCTATTCTGGCTTATTATCTCATGTTTCTTTTAATAGTGAAACTGAAATCTACGAAACTCTCTTGTCTCCATGTTTTTCAATGACTACTTTTTACTATGTGCACGGGATTGCTTTTCTTGATTTCTGTATTAATTTATATCAGTATCTTTTTATTTATTTTAACAGTATGGAATGGCATTCATAAATTGGAATGGTTGCTACTTTTTGCAAATGTTAGTTTCCACACTTTCTTCTTGGCCACTGGACTTAAGTGAAATGTGCTTTTATTGTTTTTTTTTTTTTTTTTTTTTTTGGTAGGAATTGAAGAGGAGGGAAGATGCTATTGCCAGAGGTAGTTATTGTTCAACATATAGGGAGTAATTAACTTTCAAAAGATACATTGAACAAAAATTAAGAGGAAGTAGTTAACTTTTTGTTTCTTTTCTTTCCACAGCTGGAGTTGTCATAGAAGAAAAGAATTGGCCTCCCTTTTTTCCTATTATTCACCATGACATCGCAAATGAAATTCCTATCCATCTTCAAAAGATACAGTATGTTGCATTTACATCATTTTTGGGTATGTCAGCTAATTTTACATCTTTTGCTTTTCAATCAAATTAAACTGTGTTCAACCCTGTTTAATTCTATCCAGAGTTAGTTTCAACTGCTTTAATTAAGATGCGTTTAACTGCCAAAAGTTGTGCCTCGTATCTTCCTAGCTTGTACCATCTTTTTGCTATCACTCTGCTACTATCCTTTTCGGAAAACCACATTTCTATGCTCACACATAAATAATACTGTTGTTTTTAGTGAGCCGCTGAGTTTTGTAGCTGTTTTTGTAAACTTTGACCTTCTTAGTAAGGTGGCAGGGTTTTATAGTTTTTTATTATTTATTTATTTATTTATTTATTTTTGTAAACTTTGATGTCCTTGCTTTTGGGAAATGGGATTATTATACATTGAGATATGAGGCTGGAAATCTAAAGCTCATTGTTCAATGAGATTCAACATTGTTTTCACTAGTTCTTTTGTTCAGAACCATTTACTCAGATCAGCTTTTGGGGTTTCATTTATGATATATTATAAGGAATCAGCAATTATTTAAACTTATGTTTGTCCAATTGATGAAGAAAAATATTAGGATGCTTTATGGGCTCTGCGTTTCATGCCATGCTTATAGAAGATATTTACATTGACTAAAGAAGAGTGTTTTTGCTGTTCTCTTGTCGCAACCATTTTAGAAATATTGGATGCTATTTACTTGGAAACTATAAGTGTATGTTTTCAATTGTCTGCTCGTGCTTAATGCATTCCACTGATACTGAGGGCATGAAGGTTTTTTAATTGCAAGCTAGCAATTAGGACAGTGCTGCAATTACATTAGTTTATCTGCCCTTGGGTAGCCCACTCGGTTGATGTTTCACTGCTATAGAGCACCAAGGAAAATACAATCCATCCAAATTCACTAATCATTTATTGCATAATAATATTTCTCCCCCTTTTACTACTAAAACTCTATCCCACCATTTGGGGCAAATATTGGCCTCTGGTAATCAAAATTTGCATGCAGATACTGTTAAATATATGATGAAAGAGTAAATATGACGGGGCTGACTTGGATTTGTAATGAATGTCACTCATGTGTCACGTGTTGTCTTGTTGGGCTTAGGGACTAGTGCAAATCACGTTAGTTGCAATTCTACAAAATACATTGTTTCATGGAAATACTCTTACTCCTGAAGTTGTTGAAATCTCAGTTTAGCTTCCAAGAACTATCCAGTCATGTTGTTCTTTGGTTGCACATATCTTCCCCCTGAAGATGTTGGTTTAAAAGCATTTGTCACAGTTACTTACGGATTTAGTTCGTTGGTTTTTGTAAATTGGTCATGTTGTTCTTTGGTTGCAGATATCTTCCTCCTGAAGATGTTGGTTTAAAAGTGTTTGCGACAGCTTCTGACAGATTTGGTTATTTGTTTTTTTGTAAATTGCAGGTATATTTGCTTGTCTTCTATGGAATATTGTGGCTGTTACCTTAGCTTGGATCAAAGGGGAAGGTTGTAGCTTTTTTTCGAGTCCCTGTCAATAGTTATCAAACTTAAGTCTTTGGATCCCCTTGTAATTCTTTTGAGTGTGTTATTTCAGGCCCAACAATCTGGTTTCTTGCTATTATATACTTCATATCAGGTGTTCCCGGAGCCTACGTTTTGTGGTATCGTCCTCTGTATCGTGCATCGAGGTATTTATCACCTGGGTGTACAATTTTTTAATGGTGTCTAATAACTTAATCTTTAGAGAATCTCCATCGGTAAAAAAATGGTAATATACTTTGGGCAGACTATATTATAAGTACATGATGATTGCTGATATTTTAATTGTAATCTTTAGGATTGTCTTATAGATAATTCTCGGGTACTAGTTTTGGGAAAAGAAAAAAAAAAGAAGAAAAGAATGATTGGTGGTACTGCTCTGTGTGTTTATGTGGTCGAACTTTTGTCGTCATATCTAGTTAATTTCCTTATTTGAAGCTATGAGTATTTCTGGTGGCTTATTATTGGAGGCCCTCTGCGGTTAAAAAATTGTATTGATTTTGAGTTTTTATCAGCATTTCGTGATTCTTCAACATATATGTTTTTTTTTAATTTCCGTGCAGGACTGACAGTGCACTGAAGTTTGGTTGGTTTTTCTTGTCTTACTTGGTATGAATATCATTTGTGATCAAATTTCATTTTAACTTAATGTTATCTGTATTTTGATTTGCACCTGTTCATATCTAAATCCTCTTTTTCTTTGTGTTTTTGCAATTTAGTTTCATATTGGCTTCTGCATTGTTGCTGCTGTTGCACCTCCAATATTTTTCAAGGGGAAATCTTTGACGTAAGACTGCCTACTTATATATACTCACTCGAGCTTGTGTTCTGGTTGGTTCTTGCCAGTACTTGAATTTTTGGGATTTACTCTACTGATTCCCGTTGGTTTCCATTGTTTACAGTGGTATCTTAGCAGCTATTGAACTCCTAACATCAAATGTCTTGGTGGGGGTACGTGTTAATGATCACACTGTTCTCCTTGCTTGTATCTCTATTTTCAGAATTCTAAATTGGTTGACGTTAGATTTTTGTTCTTGATTGATGATGACAAAATTGGGTTATTTGGGAATATACTTGCCTAATTTTTTTAAGGTCTAAAATTTGATTAAATTGGCTTCCTTTTGAGGGAAAATTAAGGCTTTTGAGTTGCACTTGCAGGTATTTTACTTCATCGGATTTGGACTTTTTGTAATAGAGTCATTGATCAGCATTTGGGTTATTCAGGTGAGTACCGTTTGAAGCTTCCCTGTCCCAGTTGGTGTTTGTTTGTTAACTTGAGACTTTCATGTCTACTCCCTGTGCACCTATCATTCTGGGAAACGGTTCATCCGCAATTTTGTATCATCCTTAGTAGTAATTTTGGTTACTTGAATATGAATTGCAGCAAGTTTATACATACTTCCGAGGCAGTGGCAAAGCTGCAGAGATGAAGAGGGATGCTGCGAGATCAACTATGATGGCAGCATTGTGATAGGCTGACAAGTAGTAGGCAGAGAGTTTGGTAGCTCCCAAGCTGACCTTAATTAATCCTTTTGACTCTAAAGAGATTAGAAGTTGCATGTACACAAAGTATTTTGCTATATTTTCAATTAGGATTTTTATTTTTTTGGTTTTGGTTAAGGCTGTCCATTTTTAGTTACACCAAGTATAGAGCTGTGCACTAAGTATAGCGCCTCTCACTTTAAAGTGATGGAAGTAGTGTTGAAATTCCTTCATATTCTTCATGTAAACTTTTGCTATTTCATCATTCATTTTGGATCCGTAGACAAGGAATGGGGAGTTTCAAACTTGAATCCACATGACAGTCAACTTCACTCTAGTTTTCATCCACACAGTCAAATTACACACGGTTACACTTCCGATAATGACATGAGAGTGATGAGTGTTTACTGAAGCTTTGTTTCAATTTTGTCTCAGTAAATTTTTGAAATTCATATCAGTTCCAATTCCGCTTACTAGTTCTATGGACGAGACAATTGACCAAAAAATTTAAAATCACTCGATAGATACTTGGCAATTTTGATATGTTTCATTGGGTCTCAATGATGATCTTGTAAGCCATCTTGCAATATGAGTTTAGTTTGTGTTTCCTTAGACGGGCAATTTTTATTTGATGAATCCAATGAATTTTCGACTCGAGAATTTGACCCGTATTTGTGAAATGGATCTATGTTCTTATGTTGTAGTTTTGAGGAGTTGTTAAACAGGAAGTTTGAAATGTACTTTTTACACGAACTAGATGCTCCCAGAAATCCTGATGGGGTGCTTCTCATGCTTATCTTTGGTGTTCTTTTATATGCTCACATTTCGTTTGAGTGGATGTTCTTTGCAGATCTTGATATCAAACTCTCGTTTTTGTGCCCTTGAAAGATTTTGTTGATCTCTTCTCTTCTATGAGCTGGACGTCATTTTGTTCAACTACTCTCTGCCAATTTGAATGCATCAAGTTCAGAATTCCCTTTATTTTCTGGTGCTTATGAATCCAATTTGATGGAGATACGTTTCAGCGGTATGTTTCACCACTAGTTTTGTGAAAGATGTTAGAAGTGACTGGAAATAGTGTTCATGAAGAATTTTCATTTTGACACTTCTGAATTAAGTTACATCAGTCTGATGTACTTAGCTGATTCTTCATTATGATATAAGCTCTAACATAGGTCACATACCTAGGTCTATTTTGTGACTATGTTTTGTCCTAATACAATGGAGAAGAATATATCAAAACGTATATTGAAATAGAGAATATTTTAATTAAAATTCTAAAAAAAAAAAAAAAACTACCGAACACCATGAAAACAAGGAAACAAAAATAGCGTCATTTCATGCGTGTTAGATATATGTTTTCGCTGTTGATGCAACATGTCTCGCAATAATATCTGAAAATACGACGTCAAAATCTTACCATACAATGTCATTGAAGAAAGGAGAAAACAAGTAACGGAAAAAGTTGGAATTATTTCTTGGGGGCCTTGGTAAAGTAGGGTGGTAAGCATTACTTCTTGTTTGATTTTGATCGTTTCTTTAAAAATTTGAAGTGTTTTTTTATTTTAACAAGGTCTCAGTTGGCACTTCAACTAGCTAAATTGTGGATATTAAGTATTACTAGAAAGTAGTTTAGTAGTACTTGCTGCATTTCCGAACCTCTTTGATAGTTAGGGAAAAGCTTTCGCCGACGACGGGTTGCCCAAGTGATAGTGGGCATGACATCAAAATCTGAGGTCTCAGGTTTAAATCTCGTCAATAGTACTTTAAGTGTTGCTTATGCAGGCTTGCAGTCAGAAGGCTAGAGACAATCCCGGAAGTCAGCCTGCAGCCCAGGAGGGCGGACAGTCCCGAAGGTCGGCTTGCAGCCCAGGAAGGCGCGTAACAGAGGCGTGCACTCGTGGAGTCTCTCCCATAATAGTAGTATCCCCTTCTCCCAGTAGACCCTAAATGTAACAGCCTATGATACCATATAATGGTATATAATGGGGTTTCATATATATATATATATATATATATATATATATATATATATATATATATATATATATATATATATATATGGTGATGTCAGTCGCGCAATGCGCGACCCTGGCTCAATATATCTGTAGATCTTATAAATATTTGTATCTGGAAAAAAAAATATTTTGTATTTGGCCCGATATATTTTAGAAATATTTGAAGAATTTTAGAAATGTTTTATAAGTGTTACTTCTTAAATATAAATAAACTTGATCAAATATATGTTTTGAAGTAAATGCTAGAAAAAATATAAAAGCATGCTAATAAGTTTAAATATTAGTAAGAGAATTTATTGATGTTCTCCATTGGTTGTACCAAATCAATAGAGATTTATAATAGCTTTGTAAGTAGCTTCCTCCAAAGGGTATACGCTTAATTGTTGGACTATTTCTTCCAAAAGTTTATAGTTAGTAAAATATCAAAAATATGATTTTGATACTGGTTAATTGTTGAAACTGATTGATCACAAATATGAGAATGAAAATAATGTAAATTTACATAGGTTTCAAGATATAGCAAAAAAGAACTCACCTCAACATGGCAAATAAAAAAAAAAGTAAAAGATAGCCCATTAAAATTTGAGAATTTTTTTTTCTGTAGGTAAAAATGATGTGTAAAAACACAAATAAACGTAGAAACATCATTCCTTCCCTCTCCACCTCAAATTCATAAAAGGCTTTCCCATAAATTAGTTAAAAGAAGTGACATGAACTATTTATATAATGAGGAAGTAAAAAAAGTCCAAAAACCAAATCCAAAAAAGTATATTCTTGAAATCCCGAACAATAATAATAATAATTGGTCAACTAGGAGTATGAAACAAAATCAAAAGCAATTAAACAAAGAAAAAATACACTTCATAACTGACCACATACGAAAAAAAACCCGAGAGTCCATAATTAAAAAAAGAAAACCACTCTAATTGAATGAAACATAAAAAACAAATTTAAAAAACCACACTTTGTAACAAAAACCCAATCAATCAATTCAATCCAAACATAACTAAAATCATACAAAAATTCTAGACTAACTAACCAAATAAGAAATCACATCATACTACCTGACAACAGCTCCGGTAGCTGTAACGGATGGACGCATAAAAATAATAGTAATAACATTATTCTTGAACGGGAAAAATAAAAAATAATAAAAGCCTAACCAATTATCTGTAGAAATAAAATCATTTAAATTTTAATACCTGTAATCGCACCACCACAACGGCCGAAACAAGATCAATGAGAATTTTTTTTCCCTTTGTGTTTATATAGAGAGGTAAAGAGAATATTTTTTGAAGTTAAATTTTTATCCGATTAGGATGTAGTTGATCATCACTAATGAAAAGATTGAACATGCTAATGGGAAAGGAGTATATTTCACCACATATTCTCAATTGATGATTGATGAGGAATTTTTTTTTTTTTTTAATTGTGGAGAAGGGATTGATTAAGGAGTCGAATGTCGTGGCGATGGGGATGAGGATTTGGGTTTTTTATGAACCCGTGGTTTTTTTTTTTTTTTGTTTTGACGAAAATAGGAGGTGGAAATAAATTTGGACTGCATTTGCCTTTTAAGTTTAGGAGATGTGGAAATAAAAATTTATTTTAAAAATATGATGTGAAAATGCCACGTGGCAAATGGTGGTGCTTTCTCTTAAGTGTGATTTTTGTTTCTAATTAGTAAGATATATATATATATATATATATATACTAGTTGTGGGCCCGTGCGTTGCCCGGATTGTGAAAATATTTCGGCATAATTAGTACAGGAAAAAACTTGATAAAAAGTGAATAATAAAAACACGGCACATATATCTTTAAAATTTTAGGAAAAAAAAAAGATTTCAAACAGTAAGTAAATACGGAAATCTGTAATGGCCAGACATTTTTTCTTTATTATGATTAAATGTGGTAACACATATGTAATATGTTAGAACATATAAAAGGGCACGGCATCTTTATTATGATGTATGGTCTCGTTTATACATCGCTTAGCAACACAGTCATCTCATCAATCTGCAACACAAAGTTATTGTAGAAAAAAAAAAAAAGAATGAACTACCTGAAGTGACTAATTCACCTTTCAAACGGGACGGAAATTGACTTTGTTTATGCACCAGACTGCTGTCACGGCCTCTAATTTGGGTTATTTATAGTACATAAGATAACTATGGTCGTAGGGTTTAACATGTTATGGGATATTTTTGTTAAATATTTTATATGAGTAATTATATGATTTTGTAGATAGGTTAAAACTTTAGGCTTTACTGATAGAATTTGGAGCAATTAATTAACATATTTGGGGAGTTTGTGAATATGGACGGAATATTATTCTGGTTAATTTACCCATAATTTTTAAAATAAATTTCATTTATTAATTTTCGGATGTGGGAGGGAATTAGGTTGATCAATTTAAATCTCATTATTTTTGAATTTTAAAATCATATCATGATGTGCCATAAATTTGGAAGTCATATTTGGAAATGATATTTTTGTGTTTTTTTGAAAATTCTGAAAGCGTTTAGAAACGTTTCAAAATCACGGATGATGTGCCATACGTCCGGACCATGTTCAATGTTAACTAATTATTATGTTTTTGATTTACCTTGGTTAATGAAATATATATAAGTAAATAAGTTAAATTAAATAGTTACCAATTTTTTTTACTATATCTAATTAGGCTTGATTTTTATGATTGTTTGATTGGACATCTCATTATGTGACACATGTCCCAAAAGCTTATTCTCTTAATATATAGGATTTATTTTGGTTGCACCATTATTAATACCGGTTTTGTGATTATAATTTTCCTTTGACATTTTTGTTTAAGTTTTACCAGTATTAGTCTCTATTTTAGAGTTTTAATGTACTGCTTTCTTTTTCTTTCTCCTGTTTATTCGTGGATTTTGGATTCGAGGACAACCGACAACGAACGATGAGGAAACTGGAAAGGGCCAATCAGACAATCCTTGTAGCTCAGTTACAAGTTAGAGGTTACAGAAGTGTTTCAGATTGTATTCTGATGTTCGTCAGGTTTCTGGCAGAAGGTTTCTTTTGTTTCCTTCTCTGTTATTTTACTTGATGATTTATGCAAAATAGTTTTGGAAATCAAGGCGCTAATCCGAAATCAGGGAGATGGAACTTCAAATACATCATGCGTTAACTCCTGAAATTCAACATGAAAGAAGAATTATACCTTATTTGCGATTTAGAAAGGTATGCCTTAGTTCCCAAAAAAACAGTCATGATCCCACATACAACACTGAATCTCTTTCCCCTTTACCAAAATTGTTTACAGTTGCAGGCGATCCGGGGAGATGGGTTTCAACCCAGCTCGAACCCGGCGTCTTCTTAACATTTCTATCCTGCATTTGCCTCCTAAGCTCGAGAGCATCATTCCAACGCCCAACTTCTCTATAGACATTCGCCAGAAGGACATAGCTTAAATGATAATCAGGTTTCAATTCCATCACTTTCTTGGCAACACGTTCGGCAATGGTAGGATTTGTACCAGTGGTGCAAGCACCAAGAAGAGCCGTCCATAGAGATTGATCATTCCAAAATTCTGAGCTATTTATCAGGTGCTCGGCTTCTTCTATCTCCCCTGCCCGGCCGAGAAGATCTACCATGCAACTATAATGCGAGATTTCAGGCTTGATCCCATTATCTTCTGTCATTGATACAAAATACTGTCGACCTTGATTGACCAACCCGTGGTGACTACATGCAAAAAGAACACTCAAGAAACTGATGTTATCCGGTTGAATCCCAACTTTGATCATCTCATTGAAGGTTTCAATAGATTCTTTGCCTCTCCCATTTTGTGCAAACCCAGAAACCATTGAGTTCCAAGTGATCAGATTCCTATCTGGCATCTGTATAAAAATCCTATAAGCGAAGTCAATGCAGCCACATTTTGCATACAAATCAACTAAAGCTGATTCCACTATAACATCCTTCCAACCACCCTTCCTCAAGTATTGGCAATGAACCTCCTTCCCAGGCCTTACAGCAGCTAACCCTGAACAAGCCCGGAGAATTGTTCCAAAGCAGTAAAGATCGACTACATCCATCATCCTGAAAAGCTGAATAACAGTATCAAAATCACCCTTTTGGCAATAACCCCCAAGCAAAGCACACCACGTCACTGCATTCTTCTCTATCATTCGGTCGAAAACATACCGAGATGCATCGACTAACCCACATTTCGCGTACATATCTACCAAGCTACTTTCAATAATCAAATTTCCAGAAAACCCACCGGTTACAACCATAGCGTGAACTTGTTTACACTGTCTCAACCACCCTAAATTTCCCAAAGCAGTTAAGAGGCTGCCGAATGTATGTCCATCAGGAAAGAGCCCATTGCCCCTGTGCATCAAGTAGAAAAAGCTCAAAGCTTTCTCATACAAATCATTCCTAGTATAAGCAGAAATCACGGAAGTCCAACAAATTGCATCCGGTTCAAGCAATTCATCGAAACGTTTTCGCGAGTCCTCCGCCTCATTGTTCCTCCCATACATATCAATCAAAGAGCTAGCAATCACATGGTTGGTGTCAAAATTACACTTAATCACAACCCCATGAAAACATTTACCCAACTTCAACTCACCAAGTTCAGAACACGCCTTAACTACAGCAGATAAAGTGAACCCATTTGGCTCCACGCCACTTCCCACCATTTCCTTATACAACTCGATCGACAACTCGGGTTTACGCGCCCGAACATACCCCGAGATCATCGAACTCCAGGACACAACGTCCCTGTACCACATTCCATCGAACACCTTCCGGGTGTCCCGAAAATTAGGAGACAACTTAAAGTACAGTGCGAGTAAACTATTTCCGACAAAACGATCCCTTTCAACGCCTGATTTGATGACATGGGATTGAAACTGGAGGCCCTGTAGGAATGCAGATTCTCTCGTGCACGTCTGTATTAGAGTCGCGTACAGAATGGGAAGTTCCGAATGAATATTGTTCGATTGAAAGCGTATAGATTTTAGGAGGTGAATGGCATCGAAAACTGAGGCAGATTTACAGAGTTGGATGATTTGGGGGGTGGAAGAAGATTGGTTTTTGGGGCGATTGGAACTGTTTGATGAGGAGGAAATGGAGCAGTAATGGCGTTTGAAGAGCTGCTTCATGAATGAACTGACATGGATTTAAACAAAACAGGTCAGATTGTATAAATAGCTCTAATTTTTTGAAATTTTTTTGGTGGCCTCAAACATTGGGTTTGGGCTGTTCATGTTTAAGCAATTTTGAAGTTTATGCTGGTTTTGGGCTATGTGATTCGGCCCAATATATCTCAAGTGCCAGTATTGAAATTTAAATTAAAATGTTAATTATCTCTGGGAAAAGGACAAAAATTCTCTTGAGTTATGGCCAAAAGAGAAATTACCCCCACATTTCTTATAAGAACAATAACCCACCTAACCGTCAGGTTAAAGGACACTTTATCCCCTGCATTAGCAAATCTTAATACAAAAGACATAAATGCCGTTAAATTTAAAAAAAAAAATTGATACCAAATCTATCCTCCAACCTACTCGTTTATTTTTTAAAAAATTATAGATTCTATTATCCGTCATTTTAAATCTGTCGCTGACTCCGTTTTGATGCATTTTTTCTCTATATCATTGTCGCCTCAATAAAAATAAACCCAAGAATACAAATTTAATCTATCAAAATCACAGATAAATAGAATTTATAGTTTTGATAGATTAAATTATCAATTTCGGGTTTATTTTTTTGATACATTATTTATCTCTATCACTGCCACATCAATAAAAATAAACTGAGATTAAGAAGTTAATCTATCGAAACCATAATTTTATTTAGAGATTGAGAATTTAATCTATCAAAGCCGTAAATTCTATTTATCCGAATAAATAGAATTTATGATTTTAGATAAATAGAATTTATGGTTTTGATAGATTAAATTTTCAATATCGAAATTATTTTTATTGAGGCGGTAGTAGTGATAGAGAGAAATAATGCATCAAAACAGAGTCGCGGTGAATTTAATCGGAGCCAAATTGTTTAAAGATTTTTTTAAAATATAAAATAAATGAATTGATTAGAAGGTAGGTTTGGTCTTGAAAAAAGATTAGTTTTAAATTTAAGGGTTTTTATCTTTTCGCACTAAGATTTGCTGATTTAAGAGGCAAATTGTCCTTCGACTTGGCAGTACGGGGTTATTATCGTTATACGAAATATTTGGGTACAATCCGTCTTTTGGGTATAACTCAAGCGTTTTTGTCCTTTTCCCGTTATCTCTCCCTTTTCAAATTGCCACATTTCAAAAGGGGAGCTTCAGAGTTCAGACTGCAAAATCCCTCTCTTTTTAATCTTTCTCGCCGTCGCAAACCACCACCGCCCGGCAAAGGTTTATCTTCGCAATCTTTTTCCCTTTTATTTTGTTGTTTTTGTGCTATCAATGGCTGTCTTTCCTTACACCAACCCGCAATTTTTTTTCATTTCCGCTTTTATCAATGCTAAACGCTAGAATTCTTTTCCGCTATGCTTGTGTTTCATTGATGACTTAAATGTAAATGTGAAGCGTGATCGATTGATATGTATACCGTTCGTACTTGCTTAAGCCTTGTCATTTTATGAGGATTTTTATGAAACCATTTTGAACGGGTTATTTTTGCCTTATGAACTCTGGACCTTTTGCTAGTTGATAAGTTGATTGTTTCCAGTGTAATGATGAGGTTTAGGCATTGAATCTAATTTTTGACTGCTTCAATTGTGTTTTTTAACTATGAGAAATTCCTGATTTTCTTCTGGTGCTCTTTTGATAAGCTTCATCGTTGAACATCAATGTTAAGTCTTAAAAGTGATATTTGGGGGAATGAATAGATATAGTTTAGGTTCATGGTATTAGCTAGCCGAGTAAGATGTGGGCTTTTGGTTTTCTGTCATGGGTAAAAAATTTTAGTAGTTCTTAGATCCTTAAATTACACTGTATTAGTATTTGGCTTTGAGAGCTCTTTTTTTTGTAATTAGGTTGGCTCCATTGTATCTCTAATTGTAACTTCAACTTCAAAGAAATTCATGTGCTCTGAGTCGAGGTGTTTCAGGAAATTTATGGCTTTTCTTACTCTTAACGAGAGGTGGAAAGTTTGATACATTTTAGATGGCTGCTGCAATTCTCTCGGCTAATTTACATTTTGCTTTCTTGTCAAATTAATATGTGTTTTTCCATTGTTGCCTCTACCATAAGTACATGATGGAGCTGAAGACTAAGCTTGAATTGGTTTTCGTATCCTGTTTTTGTTTAGTTTTTTCATCGAACATGCTGATGTGTGATGAGGTGGTTCGGGAGATCCTCAGAAGACTTCCAGTGCAATCCTTGATGCGATTCAAATGTGTCTCCCAAACTTGGCTATCTATCATCATGGATCCAGCATTTGCCAAGTCCTATTGCGGTGGTTCTCGAGGACTCCTCTGTGCTGAACCCTCTTTGGAGCTGGGGGACCCCATGACTAGGCATCTTCATCAGGCTTGTTCTTTACTTTACTCAGCCTGATGGTGGCACAACCAATCAAATTCTTCATGATCATACTGTAGAGCACAGCTACTGGTTCGAGCCCAGAGGAATTTCCAACACTGAGAATGGCAATTATGTTTCTATCGCGGCAAGAATTCTTGGCTGTATAATGTTTCCACCCGCGAGATGCTGGAACTCCCTGCCTCGACCAACCATTATGAAGAATGTGATGAAAAGAATCCAGCTGATAAGTACTACATTGGTTTTGATCCGGTCAGTGAGCGGTACAAGTTACTCAAGATATTTCCTGGTCATGTGGAGATTCTGACCATCGGGGTGGATTCCTCCTGGAGAACTGTCAATTCCCATCCTCCTAAAGGAATGACATTATATAGTGCATCATGCTTAAGTGGAATTCTTTGCTGGGATTGCTATGTGGACCGTGTGGGTGAGCAAATTATGGCATTTCATCTGGCTCAAGAGAAATTTATTCACATTCCAGTACCTGAAGTAGATGCGGAATTTGACGATGTTTCTGTGCAGCTAATGAATTTGTACCTGATATTTCTGTAACAAGGTGTGTTTTTGATCATGACGAGTCTGGCGTATGGATTCTACGCTATTGTCTCCCAGATGACGATGGAGAGACTACTGGGATTTGGATTAATTATGAGATACCGGAGATACACGCCATTGGACCTGAACCTGAACCATACAGAAACGGCGATCTTGTTGCCCTTGGCATACTTCCTGATGGAAAAATGCTGGTATCACATTCTTCACTTGAGAACTGTTTACGAGGAGAATATTATCTCACTGTCACGATTGACTTCCTGCGTCTAATTAAGTTGTGTAGTGTTAGGCATTTAATGTTGTTCAGTTTTCACTTCCTTTAGTTTCAAAAGCTAGTGGCAATTTTGTGTTAGAACTTTGATGGGAGAAATTTCTCTCAGCTTAGGCCACTAAGTTCATCTGGGAGCAACTGAATTCTTGTTTTTTTTCCTTCAGCTAGTAGCTTTGCTGCTGGATAATGAACAATGCAAGTCTTTTGGTTCTGGCTTTTGATTCGTTTCTTCTTCCTTTGTTTTAGTTATAACTAACATCCTTTTGTGAAAGTTAATAAAACATTTTTTTCCTGGTAATTGAAAATCACAACAGTAGAGTGAACCACAACCAGGATACCAATTAAAAAAGTTTGGATGGCTAAAACAGTCCCTTTGGGTTATATATTTTGACAAATGCGACTAATATGTTATAGTGTACAATCTTTTGTTAGATAGGGCGGTAACTCCTCATAATATGCGAATATAATTGTACTATTATTCCCTTTCTTATATTTAAAAAAAAAAAATAAAAGGTTTGTATTACTTTTTAAGATTTATAGCGTCCTGGTACACGTTACTGAAATCGAAATTGGGAAAACCAATGCCATAGTTCTCGCTCATTTTGAAACTAATACTTTCATATTCATTGGGCCCTTTTCCACAATAAAACTCTACAACTAATTAGTACGATTTGGTAATGTGGTCTCCTACAATACAATAATGAAACTATAAAAAGATTGTTGCAAATTGATAACCTATAGAGTCTCCATAACAGAATCTGTCAAATAATCCCCTGAAACAAATAAACAAATAAAAAAAAAATTATTATGGAAGAAGACCAAGCTGCTGAAGTATGGACATTAGGGTGCTTTGTCCCAACAATAAATAAATAAATCAATAATGCATTTATGTATAAACTAGATTTGTTCTCGTCACACTACACGCATCAGCTTGAATCATGTCAATATAAATTCACTTTAAATGGTCATGTTATCATATGGTTTAATGAAATTCTAATAATAATTATTAGGTGACATCGGAAATACGATTCATCAACACCGCCATGTGTTTCCTGGACGGCGAATTGCATGTATTGCCATCATCGAAAGCCCAACCAAATTATGATCACCATTTGTTTGTTGGACGCCAAATCTACACCATCGCCACTATCGGGAACCGAAAAAAAGAATCATGATCAGTTATTCTTCCTTTCGAGAGATTGACCGTCACCACTATTGCATAACAATTGGACTTCGAACCCAAGAAGAGAATTGGATTTCGAAGGGATGGGAAAATGGAGGTGATAGAAGATTAGATTGACATTTGGGGCGGGAAAGATTTTTGGGGAAGGAAGAGATGGGAGAGTGGCCGAAAAAATTGGCAGTAAAATAGGCACAAAAAATGATATTTTAATTGGTAAAATCTGGTAGTAAACGTCGTCGTTTAGCCCGTCACTTTAATTAGGTTATTTCTCTCGGCTAATGACATATTTGTTTGGCAAAAAAGAAAAACAATTTTATTATTTGACCATTGTAGCATTGTTTTGAATTGCTGATGTCATTTTCAACCAATCAAAGGGCTTATTTTAAAATTAATGATGTCATATGAACTAATGGGCCAATCAGAATGATCAATTTAATTTCTGACCAATCACGTTCAAAATTCTAAACTCACCAAAAGACATTTACTTATGTAAAGAAAAGCGGTGCTTGTTTGGACATCAACTTAAATTTCATTTTACTACTTAAAAGTGGAAAGTGTTTCAAATTGAAAACTAAATGAGAAATAAAACTGGTGTTTGGATGTTGGTTTTGAAAAAAAGTATTTTGAACTACATTTTGAAATATCAAGTACAAGTTGTCACTAAACAATTAAATACTGTCAATTATAGTCACTGCAAAAAAGAACTTTTCCAAAAACAATCACTCAACAACGAAATCCTGGCAAATTTGTCACTGAACTATTTGTAGTTCTAAAATGGTCATTACACTAACAAAAAAGTGTTTCAAGTTGAAATTTAAAATGTAAATTAGAAAGTTGTTTGGATAATATTTTCTTTTCCATTGAGTTTTGTATTTAAGAGGTAAAATGAGATAAAATGCAAAATGGAAAATTGGCCAAACAAAGCCCTCATAATAAATTTACTCTTGAAATTAAAAAATTTAGCTTAATCTAAATGGGAATTGTTTTCGCCTCCAACACAATAAAATATCCATTTACCTCGCCTGAAAATATGGGGAAAATCATTTTTCGCATTAACTAGCGCTTATTTATTGGTTAGGGGCTTAGGGCCCACTTTCACTTCCCCAAAATGGCGAAAACAATGAGCGTATATATATTCTAAAACCCTTCAAATTAGGGTTTTAGGATTTTCTGGTAAGCCCTCAAAACGGCCAATATTCAAGCAAAACGCGAGCCACCACCACCGTAGCCATATATATACTTTAGCCCCCGTTTCTACTTATCACCATCACTGATGTTTGCTTTCAGAACCCTATATTCATCTCTCCAAAATGGTGGATTCTCATTCTCTGCAGAGCCCCAATTCTTCTAAAGATAAAGAGAGCTTGCTCACTTCAGAGTTTAACTTGGAGGACCTTTCTTTTACGGTTGCCGATTCTTTTCTTAATTTCGATTACATAGAAAACTGGATTGAAGAGAACCCAGAACCGCGAAATAGCATGGCTACTCATTTGAAACAAAGCCCTGTTGTATCGAGCTCAGAGGAGGCTGAACCCGTGATGTTTGATGGAGTGCCTGACTTGGGATCATCTGTTGATAAAGATAGAAATGAGGAGGGTTTAGTCGGAGAAGAGGGTGAAGTATGGGGACTTTCAGGTTCTTTGGGTCAAGAGACTGTTGGAGCTGTGGAAATTGAGAAGTTTGGTGAAATGGGTTGTCAAAGTTCCGGTGAGAGAATTGAAGGTGAAGAGAGATGTTTACCTGAGATTCAAACAAGAAAAGTCAGTTTGGATGGAGAAGTAAATAATTTGGTTTCGGCATTTCATGGCATGAATGGGCTAAAAGAGGATGGAAATGGTGGAGGGGTGATTGGTGGTTCTGATGCTGTTAAGAGTGTTGAGTTAAGTTCTGCTAGTGGTGAGGGTACAGAAACTTATGTGTTAGTAGGTAATAGTGGTGAGGATGGCGGGATCAATGAAAAGATGACTATTGATGATAATGGACAAAATGGCCGAGAACACGCAAGAGATGGAGATAGAGTCGATGGTGAATCAGAATCTGAAAGTGAAGCCCAATCTTCCTCCTCATCTAGTAGTGAGAGTAGTAGTGATTCAGAGTCCGACAGTGAAAGTGAATCTGAGTCCAGCAGTGATGAGGATGATGATGATGTCAGGAATCAAAAGGTGAAGGGGAAGAAGACTGATGATATGGAGACTGAAGAAGGGGAGATAGTGGCATCTGAAACAGAAGAGATGGTTGCTTGGAGTGATGAAGAGGATGATGGCACCGGGGTTACCTCAACAGGGCCTCTTAGGTCCAAAAATGAACTTACGGTAATCTTCTTGCTCTTTGTTACACTATAATTAGTTTATCACCTGCTGACGAAGTCTAGCACTAGTCATGAAGCTGGAAAAGAATACATTTTTATTGTGATTTTGATTAGTATTGAATGTCTGCAGTTGTATTGACCTGGTACCATACGTTGCTATTTTGTTGCCAAAGTCTTCCTACTTGAACGAAACTACTAGTTTCTGTCATTAAGTTGAACATTCTGGCAGTAATATTTTTAAAGTGGGGATTATAAATTTGCATAAATAGGTTTTCCTTTCATTTTGGCATTGTGTCTAATCTGCAAAAACAGTTTGGTATTCTTTTGTCCTTAGCTTTTATCTTTTACCCATTAGCATCTGCAGCTATTTTGGAGTAGAATCTGAACTTTTTGAATCTTGTCCTCTTATCAAAGTTCTGAAAAAATGAATATTAATTTAGTTATGAACCGGGGATCATTCGCTGCACTTTTACTATGTTGTGATTTAGGTAACGAACTTTAATCTTTACCTCAACTTGCTACTACACAATATTCCTGTATGTTTTTATGCCATAGTAGTTGCCAAGTTAGTTGAAGTAGAGATATACTCGGCTAAGAAGGCGCCACTGATTTCAGGGCTTGACAACGCTTGAGGATAGTTGCAGAGTTGAGGCCGCATTTTACTAAAAAATAACTCGGCTAGACGACTCCCAAACTCTCTAGTCACTATTAGTAAAAAGTAAAGAATATTCTGAATAGATTTAGAAAATTGTTCCTGTTACTTTCGTGGTGATCCATTCATATTTCACATTACTTTATATCAGGCAACAACCTACAAGCTATTGAACACAATGCTTAATGTAATCATATTGTTCCGTACATTAGCTGCAAACTTTGTCCACATATCTGCTCTTCTTGTGTGTGACGATTGTCCAAGCGGCTTTGTGCGTACTAGCCAGAGAATGAAGGGATACCTGGGTATAATACTTACTCTAAACTGATTTGCTCTGCCAAGGCTCTTAAGGCTTACTTTACGGAGAGTTTGTTGTTTGATTTGCTTTGGCAAGGCTTTTAAGGCTTACTTTACAGTGGATTTATTATTTGCACTTTCTTTGCGAAAAAAGTTTTATTTAGATTCGGGGTACTACAAACAGAGTTTTCTGAACAGTGCAGATGTAATGGGTTGCCAGTAACCAAACTGTAAATTTGTAGTTCTTTAATCCCCAATCAGTGTTTCAATGTATGGTTGAACCCAGCCTCTGAACTTTAGAACTGGACTTAGCCTACCACTTATCAGTGAGGAATGAAATAAAACAGAAACGTCCTATAACTTTATATGGATGGTCCGCACCCAACATACCCTAAATGATTCTCTCTTGGTGATTTTTCTGTCAACAAAGAAAGTGAATAAATGGAAAAGCTCGTGGCCTTGGCTACCATTGACTTCTATGTCCATTCAATACTTTGTAATACTTTATCTGAACAATGCAGATGTAGAACCATAAGGGTTGCCAGTAACCAAACTATAAATTTGTTGTTCTTTAATCCCCAATCAGTGTTTCAATGTATGGTTGAACCCAGCCTTTGAACTTTCGAACTTGACTTAGTTGACCACTTATCAGTGAGCAATGAAATAAAACAGAACCGTCCTATAACTTTATTTGGATGGTTCATACACAAGATACCCTAATTAACTCCTCTCTTGGTGATTTTTCTGTCAACAAAGTCTAAGTGAATAAATAGAAACGAAGATAAAGCACACTTGAAACCTTTTTGATCATGCACAATCAATTACTGCTACTGAGCTTTTCTGCCTGTGGTTTAAACGATCGTGTATTTACACACTGCTTTGTTATGCCTATTGAGGCATGTGCTTGACGGGGTTCTTTGCCACAAGTTCTGGCTATGAAAGAAGTGATTGATTTTGGAATTTCTAGAAAGCAATTGATTTGTGATGGTAGTGTGAATCCTCATATGCTTAGAAGTTAAGTTGAGGAAGCTAACAGTGCTTATCTCTGATGTGTATTTGGCTTCTGTTCCTTCTGTATTGCCTATGGAGGAACATGTTTTGGATTTGATTTTCACTTTGTCTTGAAAAATTTGAAGGATGAGGAATTTGTTGCTGTTTATAGATAGTGGTTCACCACTATACTGGGGAGATTGATACGTTTCAGCTTTATTCGTGATTTTCTTGCAGGATCTTCCTCCAGTTCCTCCAGTGAATGTGACATTACAGCCCCACCATCAAATCCTGCCAATTGGAACTGTTTCATCAGTAAGATTGCTAAGCTATAGTGTTACATTCTAACTGATGTTTAAAACAAGAAAAATGCTTGTCAAATCCTTGTTTGGTTCTCCCGTTGCAAAGTGTCTCATTTACCCTTCTAACAATATATAGCATCCTGATTAGATTGTCCTGTTCTGCAGGTACTAGGTGCCCAGGTCATTGTAGAGGGGGTTGAAAAGCACAATCCTCTTAACGAGGGTTCTATACTGTGGATTACTAAAAGTGGATCTCCTCTAGGGCTTGTGGATGAAATCTTTGGTCCAGTGAAGAATCCTTACTACATCGTAAGATACAACTCAGAAAGTGAAATACCTGCTGGGGTCGAACCTGGGACTTCCATATCTTTTGTTCCAGAATTTGCAAATCATGTCCTCCATGATAAGAGTCTCTATCAGAAAGGTTATGATGCATCTGGTGCAAATGATGAAGAAATAACCGACAATGAAGAATTTTCAGATGATGAGAAGGAGGCAGAGTACAAAAAAATGCTGAAGAAAAATAAAAGAGGAAAAAATGATGAAAAAGCTGGAAACCAGGGAAAAGATGAAAAGAAATTTGGGAACCGATCAAAGAATTGGAAACAGAATCCGAGAAATAACACACAAGAACCTATGCAGGGGACTAAGCAGCCTGTTGATTCTTCCAGACATCATATGCAGCCGCCTAACTTTTCACCGAATCAAGGCCATCAGTCTCTTCCCGCTCGGCCACTAGGGCAAGGCTTTGCTCCACCACCTTTCGCACCACCAGCATCCGCCGGTTTTGGTACATTTCCTGGAGGTGTAAACGGAATCCCTGTTCAGCAGCCACAAATTGTTGGCCTACCTCAGATGCCAACAAATGGGATGCAAATGCTGCCGTCGATGTTTGCTCAGCAGCTTTTTCAAATGCCTCCAGGAAGCAGATTCCCATTTCCACAACAAATGAATGCAACTCCACAAATGCCTTCTAACTTGGTTCTACCAGGCTGTCAGCCAGGTTTTGGTGCTGGGGCTGGATTTTTGCCTTGGCCTGCATGCTTGGGCCAAAACGCATTTATGCCAGCTTCTCCATTTGGAATGGTGGGAACTCCCCTTCAACAGGATTCTCTCCCCTTGAATGCTGGACAACAAGCTTTGGCTCAACCAGCCGTACCACCCATCCAACAGGCTTCGGCCCCCACAAATGCAGGGCACGAAGCTTCACCATCTAGCATATCTTCGGTGGTGTACAAGCATGATTCACAGCAGCAACCTGCTTTTTCCAGTAAACCGGACACGCGCCAAAGCTTTAATCAAGGCAGACACAACGGTGGAGGTAGGAAATCATGGCGCCGGGGTGGTGGCCGGTTTCGAGGTGGAAGAGGCGGTCAAAATTCTGGCTAACCTCATTGTATAGTATTTGGTTCGACGGCCTTAGCAGCATGAACCATATTTTTCCAGTTGCTATTATCTATTGTTACCTGCGGAGTCCATTTTCATAAGACTAAGATAAATTCTTGTTTTACTAATCAAATTTGCATGCTCATCATGCTCTAATTTCTTTTATATTCATTGTGCCTGTGGAAAATGGTAGTAATAGTTTTGATGAGCTCTTATTCTATTATTAACCCTAAATTGAAAAGTAGAATTTATTTTGCTTGTGTTGTCCCTTCGTGGGAAAATAAAATTGCTAATTAATTGTACCTTGGAATTTCCAATCGCTTCAGGCAATTCATCGTCTGCCCGAAAATGTCAACATCTTACAAGTTAAAAGGTCAATTGAGGATAGGTCTGCAATATGCACCTTTTATTTTTATTTTTTTATTTTTTGATTTTTTTGTTCTAAGATTACGTTCGCATCGTGGACAAAGAAGTCATGAAATGAGTTTGTATTATTATAACGCGTATTCAATTATTGTATTTTGTTAAGTCCTTAATATAAGGCATTTTGTCCTACATTTAACTTAGTACATATTTTTAAGCGACGAAAAAATCTTAAAAATATTTCATAACAATCAAGAAAACACAACGAATATGAAAATATATTTTTAAGATTTTTTTATTAATTAAAAATGTGTACTAGGTGTAATCTATGAAAAGTCAAAATGGCTTATAATAAAAACCGGAAGGAGTACTAAAAATCTCAACTGGGTATAATTAAAGGTTTAAAATAACTTCTTAATTTAAATTAAAAATTTTTTTTCTCGTTCTGCTGTTCTTAAATAAAATTTCAAATTTGAGGTCACAAGTCAAAACCTGATTTCTAACTTCCGGAAAAAATGTCGTTCCTATCTAAAGTTTTGCCCTCTTCGTCAATCATACCGAATAGATTTTTGGTTAGCCAACTTTACCCTAATGTTTGAAATTTTCGCCAATTTCATCCAATCAGCCCATTTTCCATCTAAATTAATAGATCTCTGTTAGTTTTTTAATAAAATAATAAATTTAATTGCAAATTCACACCAATAGTTTTTAAAAATTTTAAAAATAACCCCTAAAATATATAAAAGTAACAAAATAATCCCTTTTCACCTTTTTATTTCATTTTTCTCTATATTGTTCCATTTCTCTCAACTAATTTTAATGATCATAAAAGTATATTATATGAGTTTTAAAAAAATATTTATTTATTTTTAATCTCTGCTGTAAAAATTAATCTTTGTATAGTTGTAACCCATGATTGTATTTATATAAGTATGTTAATTTTTTTAATAATATATTTTAGCAATAAAAACACTATTTTTCTGATTTATTTTATTCTTCCTAACATAAAGATTAAAAATAATTAAATGAAACTAATATTCCACATAAAAATAAAATATTAGCTCAATTAAAAAAATATTAATATATTTTAGTGTATTAAAATTTCACTCAAGAGACTATAACTTGCATTAATCTAATTCATAAAAAATTAACTAAAACATAAAATAATTGAGACTCTATTTTTCTGATTTTTTTTTTATTCTTCCTAACATTAAGATTAACATTTAAATGAAACTAATATTCGACATAAAATAAAATATTAGCTTAAATAAAAAAATATTAATAAATTTTAGTGTATTAAAATTTAACTCAAGAGACTATAACTTGCATTAACATAATTTATAAAAAAAATAACTAAAATGTAAAATAATTAAAACCTTAAAAAAATATTTTTTTCCGCTAACTGCCTAACTTTAGTACATTTTATGAGGGTGTAATTCTAGTCGGTTGTTCATCAACTCACCAATCCAAAACACTGTCGTTCTGGTTGTTAATAAAATAAAATTCCTTCTTTCCATTTCCCATTTCTTTTGCTTCATCGGTTCATCCTCATTTCGACATCTCTCAAAAAACTTCTTCGCTCAATGGCCTCTTCAATTGCTTCAATGGCTGCTCGCCGGTTCATTTCTTCCCCTAGCTCCGCCTCTCAAGCTGCTTCTCTTGCTCACCGACGGGGATTCGCGTCCGCCGCCGGTATCATCTTCAACCTATTTCACTTTACACTATTGATCTCAATTTAGTAAACGGTTAAAATTTAGATTTTTGACATAATTTAGCTTCAGATCATCATGGACCTGCTAAGGTGAATTTTTGGAGCGACCCCATGAGCCCATCCAAGTGGAAAGAAGAGCACGTGAGTTATCTTTCATTTATGGACTTTTGGGGATTTTCTTTCCATGTAGTAAAACTTTGCTGTAAAGTTGGAATTTGTTTGTCTGAATCTCCGTTGAATGAATGGTCTTCTGAAATGGGTTAATCTGTTTGTGTTTTTTTTTTCTTTTAATGTTTATATGTTCTTCTTTCTACACCATGATAGCTGTTTTCCAGTGTTCTGGTCCTTCTGGCACAAACATTTGTAATGTGATTATTAGGTTCGTGTGAAGTTTAGTCTATTTAGTAGAAAAATTTATGACATGGTGAAATAGAACTTGTTACATTAGACAATGGACCACTTTCATCAAAATGAACATGTTCTAATTGGAAGAGTAATAGTTAATTCAGGGTATATTCATTGAAAGACTGATCGGATTGATTGTAGTTGATCAATTTGAATAAGAAAAGGCTAGTGATATGGAAACGCGGTTTAAAATGGTTTCCCTTTATTAGTGTAGTTCACTAGACCTTAAAATTTCTGGGCTGGCATAATTTACTACTTTTTTTGTTACTTGTGGCAAGTTCAAATTTGGGTACTTCCACATGCATCTTTTTTTTTTTGTTAAATCTATATGAGCAGCAAGATCTGCAATTAATGTGAAGGCATAAACCAGGAGATCAAAAGATGCAAGGAAACTCCAATATCGTGATATATTGTAAAGGTTTCATTGAAATTTCAGTATAAACGTGTTGCAATGTAACCTAATATGAAGTGAATCACAGAAACAACCACTCATAGATACATACAGAAAGGTTGTCTAAGTTGGGCCAAACAGCGTGAGCCTCTTCCTCTGACCATGCTTGTGGCAAAGCTTCTATGCGCCCGGCTATTCTCTTATTGAATGGTACTCAACTGTTAGAAAATATCTCTGCATCATGCACAAGTTCATAACCTGTTCTGAAGGTTCCTAATGAGAATATACTTTGGTCTCTGACTATATATGTCTATTTCAGTGAAATTTAATTTGTTGGTGGGGGTGGAAATTTGGGTGTTGAAGAGCTTGATGTAAGACTGGCTTCACCATGGTTAATGTGCCTATGTTTACATCTTGATAAATCTAGGGAATTGGTCACTCTTCAAACATATGCTATAATCTTTGAATGGTATACTGTTCTCATGTGAAGCAGTTCGAATTCTTTGTTATATGTAATTTCTTCATTTGGGCAAATTGTACCATTTTATGTCTGTTATATTGCCTGTCTATGTGCCGTGTTGAAGTCCATTTTCCTCTGGTTATTCCATCTTAAAATTGCCGAGAACTGTATAAATGCGGGAAGAAAGGAGGAATTCTGTTAACAGTGTAGCTTTACGATGCAGTTTGTTATTGTATCTTTGGCTGGTTGGGGCTTGCTTATCACTGGGGGTTACAAGTTCTTCACTGGAGGCAAAAAAAGTAACTTAGAGGTATTAGCTTCGATCCCTTCTAAATTGCAAAGTCATCTTTCTTGGCTGTAAAGGTTAGCCACTCTAAAGCTTAGCCAGTTATTGGAACTCTTTCTAGAGACGCTTAGTTGCTTGAATTCGTATGCGGAAATTACGGTTGTTATGGCATGTCGTTACTTTTTTCTCAAGAAGAAACCCTGAAAGCATATGAAGCTTTTGCAAATTGTATAGCTTTAAAATATACATTCAAGGGCAAAATGCAAAGCTGTTACTGTGTAATCATGCTCATTCGATATAATTTAAAGAGTATGATTTCCTATTTGTACCTGAGCGTTCCCCAGTTAATTTCAACTGAAAGATTTTGCTAGTCGTTAACCTAATCTCCTCTAAACATGACTGGAGTCGTATTCATTCTAATTCAATTTTAGAAATTCTCTAAAATATTACCATAACATAAGACTAACAAATGATAGAAGCCTTCAATGTAAATATCTAATGAAACTGTGGTAGTTTTCAATGTCTGCCTTCCACACTGATCATGGAAAGTGAGCCATAAATCTTTCTTTCTGGCCTTTAAGAGAAAAACACAGTTTACCAAATGATAAAATGTAAAAACAGCTGTTTAATAGACGATAAATTAGAAAAAAGATCATAATTGACAGCAAATTGGGACTTAATAGCACATTTACCTGCAAAAAGATCAACTGACGATAAATTTGGAGGTTCTGTCACCAATTGTTTTAGGGAGTTTCTAATGGTTGCTTAATATGACCCCTTTAAAAAAGAAAAATTTTCTAGATGCCTGCACTTCCCTAGATAGGTTCAGCATACTGATACCGGTTTTTTTTCTCTTTCTTCCTGTTTCTTTTCCAATTGGCAGACCCTAGAAGCTACACAGTAGGCGTGGGCTTCTGGAAATATCGGAGAGGATTTCTGGCTAATAAAGTCTTTTCTAGAGTTTGAAATTCTGGTTTTTGCTTTCATCAATTGGAGAAGATACACTCCATCCTTTTTAATTGATCTTGCAGATCAGAATGTTTGTATTCTTGTGTAAATCACATTCATCATTACAAAGCAGATACCCATCTCATCATGCACTCTTTGCCCAAGCATGTTTGTATGCTCAATGCCAGAAGACATATATTTGAGTTATTTTTTATCTTTGAACGAAACTTCAATCTTTCGGGTTCTGTTAATTCTTCTACAAGGTGGAACATTCTTCATATAGCCAACCCCACATAGTGAGAGAAAGGCTAACTGGTAACTTGTTGTAGATTCTGTGAGGATATTCATGTGATTGTGTTTCTGAGTTCTCAAATTAGAAAAGTGTGGAAATAGTTGAAGATTTTTACAGCATTCATTTTGTTGAGATAGTGAAACCTTAATCTGGAAATTTTTGTCTAAGAGATGACAAATTCAGTTCTACAATGCAATCAGGATTTTCATTCAGGAAGCTATATGAAAGAGAACCTCACTGGAAGTTTCTTGACTGTTTTTTAGGAACTTGTCTTGTTCCGAAGTAACTCTCTTATGCCAGGTCTGGGAAAGATAAGGCTTACTCAAGACATTTAGCTGTAGAAATTCAGATTGTATCTTATACGATTACATTGAGAAAGCACCAATTCTGAAAAAATCTAAATCATGCAAGTGTTAAATGAATCCATGCTACATGTATTTAACTAAAACTCTTGTTCCTTAGGTCTTTCATTTGAGCTTTTGCCATTTCAGAGAGCAACACTGATTCTATTGAAACATCTATATTTTTATTCTGTTTGTGTTGCATCTTCCATCTGAAGGTTCTCTGGTTCATCATCATTGTCAACTGGGTCTGTTTGTTCAGAAACCTCAGCTTTGAAACGAGTCTCTGTCCTTTCTTCTGGTTGCTCTGTGCGTGTAGCTTCATATTTGGGGTCAAAATTGTTTTGCTGCTCAGTTAGGAGCATGTCGTCCTCCAAATGTGGGGTTGTATTTGTTGGCGTGTCCTTCAGGGAAATGTGATCCAGTGAAGTGCTTATGCCTGTGGTGTTTACTGCTTCTCTTTTCTCCACCTCCAGTGCAATGGTGGCATTTTCTTCTTTACTCAACTCTTGACCATCTTTGTCATGTCTCAGCAGTTCACTTCCATGTGAAATACCTTTACTTTCCTCGGTGCTAGTTTCTAGTTCTTTCATGTCCAGTTTTTGCTCTTCTCCATGCTCAACTCCTTGTTCCCTTATTTCCTGTCCTCGGAGTCCATCCTTTGAAAGCTCATCAGCAGTCTTTCTCTCATGATTCTCTAGACCCAAATCATTTTCAACACTCAAACTCTTGAAATGATTTCCCACACCAGATAATGTTCCGTGGTATCCGTCTTTGTCCAATTTGCTTTCAGCTGCAGCACCAGTGTATGTTGCGTTGATAATAGCTGCTGAGCTGTTCTTTATGGAGTTCTCTATGTCTTTCCTACTTCTATAAATTTTATACAACTTCTTTCTTTTGGTCTTTCTCAAATAGCGTCCACCGTCCTGCCTGTTTCTACCAATCAGTGGCTGATTGGAAAGCTCTAACTTCAATTCAGAATCTTTATTTTCAGCACCTTGAAAACTTAAGATTCTTCCTTGCAGATCCTCCTCTGTAGTTTGAAGGATCTTATTTTCTGTGGAGTACTCTTTATGAATTTCATCTCCAGATCTTGTCCCTTCATTATCATGGTCCTCAACAGTGTGAACTTTTGTGGAGTTCTTTTCCTCTTCATTGCCTGAAACATTCCCAGCTTGCAATTGATCACTGAAATGTTCTTCCCCAGCGTTTCTCTCTTCAAGATTTCCATTTCCATGTTCGGAGATGATCTCTTTAGAATTATACACCTTTTCTGTCTCCGCTGTGAGCTTTTCTCCGCTCTTGACAGTTTCTCCTCCGTCCTTTGTTGTGTCCTTCCCTTGTGTAGCACTTTGTTCATTTGCAAATTCTGCAGCTTTACTTTCACTCTCTGCAAGTTCCATCGTAGTCCTTTCAGCTTCATGGTTTGCAGTTTCTTGCACCCCAGTGTTAGTTTCTGGCAGTTTAGTGGCTCGTATATCTTCCCTTTCTGTGATGCTAGTTGCAGTCTGCAAATTTACATTTGCAGTTGATGGATCATCTGTGCTGACCGACCAGACTTTCACAGGCGTTTGAAGACGGCTCCTCAAGTCTTCAACCTCAGATTCTTTCTGTCGTAGCATTTTTGATAGGGCTTTAACTTCAAGATTTTCATTGCTATCCTCTGCATATCTTTCTCTCATCAACTTGATCTGATTTTGCCTTTCATCCAGTGCTGCTTCGATTGTCCTTTGTTCTTCTCTAAGGGAAGAAATTGTCGACTGCATCTCTGAAATCCTGTTGTCAAGTCCCCTTTTTTGGGCTCGAAGAGAATGTAATTTCGTTTTCATCTCTTCAAGTTTCCATTTAGCTTCCCTTGCATGTTCTCTTTCCTTCTGAAACAAGAGAAGCAATCAACATGTTTTCAGAAACCTGTGAAGTAGAAGATGCTGCAAGTATCGTTTTCTTTATGTTGGAGAGCATAATATAATTAAAGGCTCACGGGATCTTTTGAAATCGAAGGAAAAATCTATGGTACTTTTGATGAGGAGAGATTGTGTCAATTTTCTTATATTCACTGTCTCATGAATGAAACCAATTGTTTTATGTACTGTACTGAATGTTACCTAGTCGTCCTACATTGTTCCGAAGACAAAAAGAGAGATAAATATTCCTCTTTCTGATCTATTAAACACTTGACTTGATTCCTAAGATTTCTACAGCAGTTATCAGTAGAGGCCCTGATCAAATCTAAGATGAAATTACAATTGAATCGGAAAAGGTTAAGAAGATGATTTAGAGAACCTGGAGAAGAAGATGAAGGCTGGAAAGCTGACTGTCTTTCTCCTGAACAAGTAGGTTGATAACTCTTCTCTCCCTAACCTTGTGGAGAACCATAACTCCAATTATGGCAGCTCCAAATGCCAAGATTATCATCAACCCATATGGCTGTTTCCCTCGGTTGCTGCTGTTCCCATTGCTGCTAACTCCATTATGATGATGATGCTGATTCAGCTTCATCAGTCCCCCCATTCAAAAACAACAACTTTAACCAATCTTTTCTCTTACTATGTGCAAAAAAAATGGAAACAGAGAAAACAAGAAATCTGATGGTTTATGAAGATGTTTGAGTGCCCCTCGGTAGGTCTGTATCTTAGTTTTCAAGTTTTTTGCAAACCCTTTTCAAATGTTAATCACACGAATATCATTTTTGATCTAATCATCTAAAATGGACCTTCAAACAGCTGCATTTTCTCCCTCACACACACATGCAGAGGGGTGGGGGTGGGGGATGATGGCGGAATTATCAAGATTAATGAACATGTTGCATTTTTTGCTTGGGAATTATCCAAAAAGGCGCTGATTCTGGTAACCCTTTGTTTATTTATTTTTCTTCATTTTGGCTATTTGTTTTTTGATTTCGAGGTGCTGGAAATCTGCAATTGTACTATTCACTAACGAGAGAGTCCAAAGGGAAAAAGTGAAGGGCACACCGTTTTTCTCCATCAATAGGATCTTTCATATCATCACGTTCAACATAATTACTGCAAATATGTGTCACTATCTCCGGAATCAGCTTCTTTAGTAGTAAAAAAAAATAAAATAGCGAACATATAATTTTAAAATTTATATTATTTTTAGTACAAATTCAAAACTCAATATAGACTACAGTATTTTTTAGACATAAATAGTAAACATAAAAATCATTTAGTTAGAACTTGCAAAATCTGTGTCACTATCACTCTCTCTCGAGTCAGCTTCATTAGTCAAAATCCCAAGACTGCAGATATTGTGATTCAGTCAATCGTGTTTGAAATACTGTTTTCGGGTTTTGCTTTATACCCAAAACCAAACCAAAAAAAAAAAAAAAAACCTGTAAAATGGACTTAGCTTGAAGTTGGCTAAACGTAACTCTTGGTAAAATTACACATTTAAGGTCAGGTTCCCAAAATATGAGGTTGATGGCTTTTTCAGTAAAAATTAGCCCGTCCGCCTTCACTCAAAACACGAAAGACGAAATCATAAATCAACATTTAAAATATTACTATTTCGCATTTTAAAAATCCCAAAAAATATATTATAAAATTATCAGCAAGCAATCGTGCTACAAGTCAAAAGGAGAATAAAGCCTTGCTTCTCTCCCAAATTAAGCTGATCGACTTTCTCCAGAATATATGGTTTTACAATTTGGCGCAAAAGGGAAAACGATAAATTATACTGTTGTCCTTAGGTAGTACAAAAATTACAAAATTACTTCAGTATGTAGAGTGTAGAATTATTCATGTTTGGTTGGTAGATTTTATTTTATCCCATCTTAGCAGTATATCTTACACCGTTGCCTTAACTGTAATCAAGAATGAATAATGAATATCAAATTCGTATCTTTTGAAAATACTCCAGCAAATAAAAATGCAGTCAAAATTTTGTGGGCTGTATATCCCTTTTTCAGTTTGCTAGTTTGGCGCAGAAGTAACATTTTCTAGGTATTCACAGTCTGCGTTTGGTTCGATTGAAGAAAAAACGTGGAATGGAACCATGTCTAGTGCCAAAGAATGTGAAAAGTAGATTTTCCGCCTAAAAATGATTATTGTACTATTCTTTTAAAATAATAATAGAATAATTATTATTTTAGAATATTCAAACGAATAATTAATCGTTTCGACTTTATTATTTTGTTGAAGTATTTTCAATATATAATCAAGTCAACAGTTAGTAGCAGACGATAGAGCATTATAAATAAGATATTAGCACGGTAGATTGAAGAAGTTGAGAAAACCAGCAATATTGCTGTGAAATGAAAGAAAGAGCATGTTGTTAGCTGACTTTAAGTATAAGGTTTAAACAGTGTAAAAAACAAGTCAAAACTAAACCGGCTTGGAAAGCCTTGCTTCTCTCCCAATGTCAACTTTCTCCAAAATGTTTTACAATCTGCAGGTACCAAGTATTCTTCAAAGTTCCAAAGTCCAAACAATGCCATTGCCAGGTATTTTTAAAACTTCCAAGTTGTACAATCAGTTTTTAACAATTAAAAAGGCTTTAAAGTTCTAACCAAAGGGTTGCGGAGGAGTTTTCACCCGAACCTCGTCATGACCATAGACATAGAGCAACTTTAAATCTTTTGGCCAACTCTCCTATCTATTGATGTGCCTATCATAAACGAGGAAAATTAGTCACTGTTACCAATGGTGAACACCCTGCAATATGAAAAAAAAAAAAAACAAAAAAAAAGACAAAAAAGGCTTCAAAGTTCCTAGCTCGATTAAAGATTTACCTGAGTGGAATGTATTAAAGTAATACCTTTTATGAAATTTCTTGGAAAAAAAAGATCATTTAAAGAGTTCCACCATATTCAGTAAAATTTCTTTAAATTGATACCTTATTAATTAATAATTTCTGTAAAACATAATTTTTTATTCCAACTAAAGTCAAATACAGAAAATAAAGAAAATAATAATTTTCTCAAAACTTTCACGTAAGTATCTACAACTCACAAAAATAAAAAAAAATAACAATAATCTAGAATTAAAAAAATAAAAATACATATAAGTAATTATACATATAGTGCCAATTCATAGTGAAATGAAATAATGATTAATCAAAATACAAAAAATACACCATTCTCTCAATAACTACCAACAAAATAGGGATGATTATGTATTTATACACGTGCTATATCATTCACTATACATTTGCACTATATATATATCATTTTTCCAAAAAGAAAGATAACTAGAAGATCCAATAAAATGTGAATATAATGATATTGTTTATATTTTCTGGAAACTAATATCTGAGAAAATTTTCTCATTGTATTTAAAGGTTCATGTGCCTGCTTTCTCAAAATGTAGTAGCAGAAAAGTTATAAGAACAGTGAATCATCATCAAGTTCAGCATTTTCACCCAATTGAGTAATTCATAAAGTGATAACATTCATTTTACAATTTAAGAACGAAGATCAGTAATCATTTTGATGTTTGCCTTTGTTGTCCTTTTATTCTATTTAAAAAGTTTATGCCAGTAAATAGGGAGTGCTACTGATTTTTCTTCATTTGAAAGTAATTCATAAAGTGATAACATTCATTTTACAATTTAATCACTCTTCATTTAATGAGATTCTTTTTATTCAAATCGAACTAAAAAGAATCTCATTTAATAGAGTATTAATCATTCTCTACATTTAGATGTCATTCTCTATCACAAGTGATTGTATTAACACCATTTACATTTCATCTGATGCCAACTGCAAAGGGTGCCTACAACTACTGTGACAATAAAATCTCACAGAAAATTATTAGAATAGGAGCATAATTCATAACAACACAAAGCTTCATATACAACGATTTCGCATAAAATTTGAAGTTCATAATTCCCTAAACCCTAATGAGATCGATTCAAGCCCTAAAACTTCAACTTCGCACGGAAAACAAAATCAACCGCTCAAAGAAGTTCACGATACGAAAATACTTGGATTAATTTCCATCCTAGGGACAACCGATTCTTGGAGAAACATAATTACAACAACAGCGAAGAGTTTTGGGATAAAAATACCTGCATGCAAGTTTCATCCCAGTCATGGCCGAAACGGATGATTACGAGCCGCTCTTCTTACGCGAGGATGCCTTGATCGACGGTCCAGCCGGAGTGGAGGTGAGGAAGCAGGTACGACATCGTTTTTTTCGCAGCGAAGGAATAAGCGTGGAGCCTAAGCAGTAATAAGGTGCTCAAATAATGCTCTTCCGAACACTCCGAACAATCCAAGCCCTGGAAAAATTGGCCAATCTACCCTAACTTTTACATACATTGTCAATTTTACCAGATTTTTTTTTGATTAGCCAATATTATCTTAAGCTATTCAACCGTTAGCCGATTTTGTCCAATTTGCCGATTTCCGTTTAAATTAACGGATTTTCTGTTAGTTTTAATTACAATAATATCTTAATAGTTTTAAAAATTATAAAAATGACCCTAAAAATTTGTAAAAATAACAAAATAGTCTCTTTTCACTTTTTATTTAATTTTTTTTTTATTTTCTATTTCTTTTTACTATTTTTCATAACTATAAAAATATACTATATGATCTTTTAGAATAAAAATTTATTTTTAAACAATACTGCACATATTTATAGATATACATATTTGTAATTCACAACATAAACATATTAATTTTTTTTAATACTATGGCTAGAAAATAATGATATTAGTTTTCTACTCCATTTTTTTCAATTTAAAGAATAAGAACTTTTTTTTACTAGAACTAATTTTTTTACAAAAAATTAAAAAATTTAGCATAGATTAAAAAATAATCGACCAAATTTTCTGTTTCATGAGAGTAGATATAAGATTAAGTCTCACCAAAGGACTTCTAACCGTGAGAGTGATTTTATCCATATTTAAGCGGGGTCTACTAAAGGCGAGTGGGTTAGATGGTCAAGTAATTTAGGATGTGAGATAAAATGACTGTGTTCGATGTCTCGATTCTCACTGGGGCAATCTAATTTTTCTTATTTTTTTTTAAAAAAAAGGTGGAGTCTAGTACAGGAATAGATTTTCTTTATATTATTTTTTCTTTAAAAAAAAGACTTTCTGCTAAAGTTAGATATATTAATATCTCAAAAAATTATCACAAAATGTTAAACCCTGGCAATGATAAATATAAATGTTTTTTTATAAAATATTTTGTACCATTTTTGTAAATTCCATGACACTATATTCTTGTGTTGGGCCAATGTAGAAATGAAATAGGTGTTTTTTTTTACTTTCTTTTCGTACTTGGCCTTTTACAGAAAAATTTATATTTTAGTTTTAATTATTTTTTAAATTTTATGATACAATCTAAAGTCTGTTGAATTAAATTGTAATACATTAAAGTATACCAATAACTTCTTTTTTAATCTATGCTAAATGTGTTATTTTTTTGTGCAAAATTAGTTTTAGTTAAATAATCTTGTTCTTTAGATTGAAAAAAATAGATTAAGAAAATAATATCATTACCGTTAAACTATATTATTAAAAAAATAATATGTTTATGTAAATTAAACATGAGTTACAAATATCAAATTATAAATTTGTACATTAGAGTTTAAAAATAAATAGTTTTTTTTTAAAAGATCATATAGTATATTTTTATAGTTATGAAAATATTAAAAAGAAATACAAAAACAAAAAAAATTAAACAAAAACTGAAAATAGACTATTTTGTTATTTTTGTAAATTTTTGGGATTATTTTTATAATTTTTAAAATTATTAAGGTATTTTTGTAATTAAAACAAATAGAATTCCATTAATTTAAACGGAAAAGAGCAAATTGGACAAAATCAGCTAACGGTTGGATAGCTTAGGGTAATATTGACTAATCGAAAAAGAATATGATAGAATTGACAACGCATATAAAACTTAGGGTAGATTAGCCAATTTTTCCAGTAATAATACTACTTCCCTTCACGTCCAAATGAAGAGAATGACATCTATTATTTTCAAAGATGTTCTCAAATTTGAACCATCAAACTCGTGTTAATACAATTCCAGATTGTCTTAAACCACTATTTTTCCTGTTTACATTATCAGCCAATTTGTGGCGTTAAGTTGATTTAAACAAAGCTGACTCAAAGTGGCCCATTACTAATTGTACAAGAAAAATCCAAGAACATTGAGCTAAAAACCCAATCAGAATGTTTCAATTATCCGGTCCCATATGTCAAAAGCTCAGTGCATGAATCGGCCCACCTGGCGTCTCCATTTTTCTGCAAATGTGATTTGATTCCAATCAGAGTTCCAGCTCTTCTTTCATAACCTTCGTTTCCGATTCTGCATTGCTAATTTCTGCTCATAATTGAAGGGATTAGTCAAGCTTTTTGAATCATGGGTTCCAAGAAAATCCGATCGGAGACCAACAAGATAATGGCCACAAATCTTTTTGTGGCCTGAATTTATCATCTCCAATGTGTATTAGTGTCCATAGTTGTGTGGGTTGTGAACCAATTTTTGCAAGCAGAAGCAACAAAGAGATGCTGAGAAAATTGATGTTAGCTTGCGGCAAAGTGTACATATCAGAGAGCAGAAACAGGGCCGCACTTGAAGCCATTGAAAAAGCAGCAAAATTGTTCCCTGAAGCTCCAATTATCAACAAATTTGAAGATGAGATTTACAACAGAGTTGGGTACACTCTTGTTTCGAAATTGGGTTCGAATCCACCATCTTTGAGTCCTTTAAAAGGGGCCATCTTTGCAATGGTTGAAGCTGCGCTTGAAACCATTGATTTTGGGGCACATTCTGGAACCCATCCACGGCTTGGTGTTGTTGATCATATCTGCTTGCATCCCTTGGGTGATGCTTCTTTGGAACATGTGGCTGGCACTGCAACGTCTTTGGCATCTTCCTTTGGTTCAAATCTTCAAGGTTTTTTTCTTCTCTGGGCCTAGTTTTGTGCAGAACCTAGTTCTATTTCATGTTGTGGAGCGATTTGCTGTGTATATGTTACCTTTTTAATTTAGATTTTAATGATCGGTTCTTGACACAGATTGGATTCTGCAGTTTATCTTCATGCTCTGAAATGCTCTAGATTTTGTAGTGTAATATAGTTATAGAGCATTAACCGTCCTTGGAAAAGAATGTAAAATAAGTTCATAAACCCCCTGAAAATTGGATGAAAGATCAATGATTTAGGTAGTACCTTGTTCACAGGAATGAGGCAGAATAAAATTTTTTCTTGGACTATCTGCCTACTCGTGGTTATACAAATGGATTAACTGATGCTGTTGACAATGGTACACTGCGTCAGTTTGGTGCACATGCAACAGATCATGGAAACAAAGCTCGATGAGTTTTGTCATACTAGCAAGTTAGATCCACTGCATCTGAGAATCTACTGTAGCAGTAGTATTGTTCTGTTAGCGCTAAAGTTATAAGAAGCTTATTATAAGGACAAGTATCAGGAAAAGAGATAATCTTAATAGGTTTCTTATCGTCTGCAATGTTTTTGTTGTGTTCTTCTCTGAAGCTGACCTGTACGATGGCAATGCAATGCATATCCAGTCCCATTATTGATGATTCTTAATCCATGCATCCCTAGTGTAAAAGAAAAGAGCATTTTGAGTCGAATGTCTTTAACCAATAGCTCTGACATTGACAGAATACCAATAAATCCTGGCATTTCTTAACTTGAAAGTGATATCTGTGTTTTAAAGTTTCGACACATGTCATTCTTCCAAACCTACCTTTTTGGTCCATTTGACCCCTGAAGTGCCTAGTATTGTGTAGTTTGCTTATGGATTTCTTTGATCATTGCTAATGCAAACAGCCTGGTAATCAATTTGCAGTTCCCACATTTTTATACGGAGCAGCAAGTAAGGAAGGAAAATCTCTTGATTCAATCAGGAGGGACCTGGGATATTTTAGACCCAACTCCAGTGGGAATCAGTGGGTTGGAGGGCTCAAAACAGATGTTTTGCCACTGAAACCAGATGAAGGTCCTGCTGTAGCAGTTGAAGCAAAAGGCGTTATTGTGATCGGAGCAACTAGATGGATTGACAACTACAATGTTCCAGTCTTCTCAAATGACATTGTTGCTGTTCGTAGAATTGCAAAGAGGTTGAGCGGTAGAGGAGGTGGACTCACTTCAGTGCAGTCTATGGCGCTAGTCCATGGTGATGGTGTCATTGAGGTGGCTTGCAACTTACTAGAACCGAATAAAATTAGTGGCAGCCATGTGCAGCTTGAAGTTGAAAAGCTCGCACAGGAAGAAAAATTGGAAGTAGGGAAGGGTTATTATACTGATATTTCGCAGCAAAAAATAATTGACAGTTACATAAAGCGCAGCCAATGCGTGGACTAGGCTTGTGAACTTACAACTTCCTGTAAACACCTGTATTCTTTTTCTTTAAAGAGGTATCACTTCTAGTCATCCAAGTTTTTCCTTGGTGATTTACACAAAATTTGGATGGTTTTCATCCATTTTCATCCGCACTCATTTCGTCGTCTAATCTAGGTTGACAGGGAAGGTTTATGTTCTGGCATTGCCATTCATAACATGACCTTGTTAGTTGTTACATTTCAAGGACATGTTTTAGGGTTGAATGAATATAACATGCAAAATTTGTAGATGGCCTATAGATTTCTTCTTTTGCGTATCTTTCATATAAACTAGCAGCTTTCCGATGAGCGGTTTCTTTTGGTACCTTAGATAAACAGATTGGACTGACTCCTCCCGTCGAGATTGATGTGCATATGGGATTGGGTTCGATACACTATCGGTTTTGAACGTTTTAATTGTTTCCGATGAGATTAAGTTTCGGGCACATGGTTAACTCCTTACCTAAAGAATGATTTATAACATAATCACAACATAAGACACAAAACTATGAAACCAAACCAATGGATTACTCAAGACTTGCGAGTCCTTATTGCAATCATGTCATAAGAGCATGCTTAGATCTTTGATCGCAAAGATCATATGTATCACTTTCCAGATATGACTTGTCAAATTCACTGGCAAAGAAAATAAGCTAAGAAATTTTCTACCTATAAAAACTACACTGAGCATGACGTTTGAATTGACTCTTGGAAACCAATTATGTGCAATGCATGTAACCTTTCAAAAATCTAGACCCTATATAACCAAGGAAAGATAAAAAAGAAAAGGTATAGCAACATTTTCAAGAGCAATGTATCAGTTCTACCTACTATGCTTTACAATTACAAGTATAAAATGAGACCGATTTCAAATTGTGGTTTTTAAACCAATTCTTTCCTTTACTTGCTCCAAAATTGTACACAGAACCTCATACAACTGCCGTCTTTTGCAGCTGTCTGATCAGTTCAATAAATGTCCTCCTGCGCTTCTACTAGGCTATGTTATCACAGTCAGAAAGTATTGATTTGCAACTTCAGCTCTATGCTGAACACAGATTGCTCCGGGAATCTTCCGATAAAAGGTTTCTCATTAGTTCCTGCAGTCTCTTAGCACCAGGACCTGGCCTTAAGACAGAATCATCACCCCGAGAAGCACATGGATCCAATTCACCTTCTGAGCTGCCTATACACCAAGCCCCTGGTGCAAAACGATTTGAACGACCAAGCAACTCTTTGTCAATCTTGTCCAATACAGGATCATTCTTGCGAAATTTTCTTGCAAATGGTGCCGTGCTATTAACCATGTTCCCAAAATCCTTGAGGGTCAATGAGATTGGGTGCTGCTTAGGTGGAGTGTCCCAAGCAATATAGTGGAGATCATGATTGATTGCAGTGGCCCGAAAATCTTCACTATTGCAAATAACTGTATGAAAATAGCCTTCTGGAGAGGAGACAAAATTCGCATAATACATGAGGATACTACGGGGGCTATTATCCCAACCCCAGATACAATACTCTACAAATGAGCGTGTTAGGATCACCCATGCTGAACCTGTACGTAAAGCAAGACACAGTGAAGCAAGTTATCCAGGCTGCAGATTATTTAAATTACATATCTAATTTTAGTAGACATCAATTACCAAAATAGGGAACCAGAACAATGCATATATTAGAAAATAATGATGACTCATGAAATATAAAATCATACAGTATGAAGCCCAGAAGTAATTCTACACAGAAGAACCTGAGGGAAGATTTTTTCACTTTTTGAGCATGTCATGAATTGATTCACTTTTTAATCAGGATAATAAATTACCCTCAATGATAAGAGCCTCTTTGCATGCCTAGAAATCATGCTTTGGATGCCATTATATCCATTTTCCTTTTAATAATACTTTCAACAAAACAATTCAAAAGAAAGCAGCTTCCTGAACCAAAAAGACTATCAATTCCCACATCCAACTAAAGAATATTTCTAAATTACCAGTAAATAGCTTAAAAGCTGTTGGAAGTGATCTGCGTTGAGAAGTCACAGCAAGCTCGGATTTCTTTGACAAGTAAAGACCAGGATCAATGATTATGGGCTTAGCTCTTTGGTTCCTGCACATGTTAATGGACCAAATTACTTATAGCTTCCAGAAGAGTCATGTATATTTTCAATATCAGTTTTATGATAAACCTTTTGAAGGTGAATAACTTACAGTTTCCATCCCCGAAGTTGAGTGTGCTCAATGAAATTTAGTGTCCGGGATAAGTTAGAGAAAACATAAAGCATATCTGCACCATCAGAGCCCAAATAATTTTTTATCAGAAAATAATTAAAAAAAAAAAATACACCCATCCCACTATAAAGAAGATCTCTGTCAGCTCCCTGACAATGAAATTTTTTTTTATTATTGTTCTATCCTCAAGGAGGACAGGGAACAGAACTTAGGCCATTTCAAAAGATCAAGCATAAAGGAAGCCACCCCTCCAAGAACACAGAGAAAATCCCAGATAAACCTAAATAGCAAGGTCCAGAGAACTTTTTCTCTCTTCCATAGGCATCAAGATACGAGAGCAATGAAAATGTAGGCAAACACTAGAGATATTAACTTCTAGGAGCTTGAGTGCCTAAAAATAGGTGACCTGAAAGAGACAACTCTTATCAGAATAGAGACAGTAAGAACACCAATGGTTCTGGTTGCTGTGGATGCTCAATCATTTGAGACAAAAGAAGGCACGAGTTGCCTAGAATATCATCTCTAGATGCGCAAGTGCATGAGCACACAAGCAAATGTGATATTAACTTGGCATCTGGAGAAGTTTGAAACATTTAAAGGACCACCTTAGAGACAAAAAGTAACCTCATCAGTATATAAATTTAAGAACTGGAGATGCAAAGCCTGAATATTGTTATATGATGGCTTTTTTAACTTTCCAAATACAAATGTAGAAAAGAAATATAGGCTAGAAATGACACCTGTTATGTCAATTTGGCGGTTCTACGAATCAAAAGTATACAAGCCTGGAATGTAGGACCTAATAGTCCATTATATGCCCACTACACGTCAATTGCAGATCCTTTACATTTATGTTAAATAAAAATCAACCATGAGAATGAACGGAATAGCGAAATCACATTTAATAATTTTAACAAAGAAATAAGATTTTGGAAGGTTTCAAAGAAGAAGAAGAAGAAGAAGAAGAAGAAGGGGGAAAAAAAAAGAAGAAGAACAATTTGACTAAATACTCTTGGATGAGCAACACAAACTTAACCATTGAAGACAATCATATTAGAAAGCAATATAAAGTTCAGATTTGGATTTTGAAACAACTACTAGCGAAAACTTTATGATCTAATGTTTATGTTCGTGTATTGATGATGAGGTCAGTAAGATTTATCAGTAAATTTTATTCGTTGTTTTTGGTAGGATATTCAATTCCACTCATGAACCTCAATAAAGTGTCTTACTTCATCTGCCAAAGACTCCCTAGTTCTTTTCTAATTCCTAGACATGACTATTTGCAATGAAATTTGAGCCTCTAAAATAATACCCGACAAAGACAATGGCAGCCTTTCTTGTCTTAGAAAGCGCATATATGCAAACAGATTTCTGCTCAATGGAAGCGACAACATCCCTTTAAAAAATCTGATCAATGAAGAACTACCCAGTTTTCTGTTTCAGCAAAGGGTGTGAGTAACAGATAAAAAGCCATACTGCAAACAAACCAATGGCAGAAAACAGAAGCATTTATAATTGCTGACGATAGCCAGATGTTTGCATTTGCAATTCTTGACACATGAATAGTTTAAACTGCCAATGAAAGTTAAAGGAACGATCATTTTAAAGTGCTAGTAAGTGAAAGGTAGCTGAAAAGCACAAGGATAATGGAAAACTGACCATCTTGAGTCACTAGAGGATAATCCGAAGCGCTTAAGTTTATAAACCAGTCCCAGTTTTTACTCTCCTTCAACAAAATCGCAATAGCCTGAAGGGTATTGGCAATCATAGTAGGTCCCTTGTATGTAACCAAATTGGATTGTGCCATTACACGCACATTTTCCACTTCACGAAAAGTTGGGTCAGTCTTTACTGAAATTGTTAAATCCAATCTCTCCTTTGGTGGAGCCTCAAGATCCATATGCAAAATGTACTGATTCCGTGGGTGATAGACTGCCTGCAATGTCCTCAACATTCTTTGACTATCACCCTTAGTGCCTGATATAAGATAGGCAAATCTCGGTGGCTCTGTACTCTGATCATCATTTGCTCTAAGTGACTTCTTTAAATCAGATTCTACAAAATAATCGTTGGAATCCTCTTGTTCACTCAATGAGATGACTTTAACTTCCAATTCATCGCCGGCATTATATGATGAATAGAAGCAAAACATTGTTATCATGAACAGAGTTATAGACACGAGCAAACTAATCAAGAACGGCATTTTCCATCTCCTGTCACTGTACGTTCTCCCTGAATGTGAACTAATTTTCCTCATACTGATAATGATGCTCTACCCAAAACCTTCTAAGAAATATGATCCTCCCCTTACCGCCTCAAACCTCTGAATGGCAAATTAAAACAGCCAAACCATTGGCCTCATACTATACAAATTAACGGAACCAATCAGAACACCTGAACCTATGAGATCACAGCGTTCTCATGTACTATATACATAGCACCAGATAAAGGCCTAATAAGTCGTTTCATAAAATTTTTGGAAGAGGGCCTACTGGCGATACATCATATGTACTAGAAGGCATGCAAAAATCAACTTGAATGCTAAAATTGAAGAAACCCAAAGAGTGAAACTTTAGGAACCGAAACAATAAAGGATAGCTTCTGAACCAAAAAATAAGAGGACCAAACCTCAAACCTAACAGTTCAATTCACCAAGAAGCAATGAATATTCCAGCTCGCATCCCAATCAAGTCATTTGATAGAAAACTCACCAGCCATCACCAAACACATTGAAGAACAGGAAGATTCAGATTGAAGGGGGGATAAACACCTTCAGTTCAATTGGTTGCTTGGAAAATCAATCTCAAAGGGACAAATGACAAGCTGAACCAGATGGGTTCGATCCAAGATTCATGCTTTATGAACAAAAATTCAACATTTCCAATCAGAGAAGCCCCACAAGCAGAATTCAAACTGCATAAGCAGCTCAACCTTCGTACCAAAAGTTGCCGTATGAAAAAGTAGGTTAGTCTGAAGGAATGAATAAAAGGGTAGGCAGCTATCAATGTAAATAAAGGAGCTACCTAGAAGAAGGAATTCAATGAGGTTAATTAAAGGATTCAGACATGAAACAGTAAGAAAAGGGTTGAATTGAAGAAGCTCAGGAAGGACATAGGAGAGGACCGTACAGGTTGCTTAATTTTGTGGGCAAAATTATTTGTTTGCCTTAATAATAATTATTATATGAGGTGGATTACACCTTTATTGATTTGGAATTTATAGGCTTAATTTCATCATAAGATGTGGGGACTTTTTTAATTTAAAAAATGATTATGATACACTCTTTCGGTCATAGTATTCGTTTCATCTTTATTGTTTGGATAAAGAATTAATAAATTCATTCAACAAAGATCATTTGATACTTGTCCACTTACAAACAAACAAGAGTATATATACATTGGATATATAATATTAATAATGATAAAATAAGTCAAAATTCTTTTCCGAAGCAAATGTGACATTGTTAAAAATTATTACAAATGTGATATAAAGACCTGATAATGACTTTGGAATCGACAGATGAGATTCATTTTACAATTCTCGTGCTATATAATCAGCTTTTAAGTAATTTATTAAATAGAGATAATACTATTTTTATTTTCTCTATTAATAATATCATCGATATTTATCCCCGTCATTACAAAGGATGAAAAAGAAACTTCCTATGTCTCAAAATTATTGTCTAGTTTGGATGTTCATTTGTAGTTCAATTTGTACTAAAAATGAAAACTCAAATCGGATAATAATTTTAAGATATAGACAGTACATTACTGCAAACTGTAGCTGCCTCTCACCCGGTTGAGCATATATTAGACAAAAAATAAAGATTTTTATTATTATTTGAAGTCTTAATTTAATTTTTTTTTTTTGAGTAAAGGAAATTTATTTTATTGAAGTGTAGAGAAAAAGGAGTTTTGGTTACAATGTGTTGCTAAAGTATGCTCTAATTCTAAACTATTTCTACTTACTTTACTAACTTTAAAAGACCGATTTATGATTTGATGGTGGAGTATTTCCTTTATTATATTTTGAATTTCTACTGTGGCCTTTTCTGGTTGTGCAATGGCCTTAATGAGATTTAGTGAGTCCGTTCCTATCGTGGTGGTTGTGATTCCATTTTGTAACGCAGACCTGATTGCCAGTAGATATGTATAGGCTCCTGCTTGAAGTGCAGTATTACCATAAATTTCATAGTTTGATTGATCCTGGAGAGAGTCTTTTTGTGTCATAATCGTCCATGCTCCTGCAGCCTCAAAAGTTTCCTGTTGGAAAGCTCCATCGAACAGGATTGTCGGTCTATCAGACTGGATTGAGGGATGTGAATTATATTCTTCCGAATGATTGTTTCGGGGCCAGTCTTGATTCCAGTTTTGTATTAAGCTCTGGTGTTTTGCTTTAGCGCTGTTGAGTACCATTTCTGAAGTTTCTTTCTGGTTTTCCCAATAAAGCTTATTTCTACTTTTCCAAATATGCCATAAAATTACCAATGATTCTTCCAATGATTCCCGATTTGGTGCGCTGGCGATCCAGGTGGCAAGTCATTGCTGGATAGAGTCCTGATTACTACTCTCGAAGTTGAAATCAAATCTTGACAGAAAGCATATTCTTCTTGTTTTGTCACACTCTGTAAAAATATGTGTGCCATTTTCCTCTGTTAATTGACATTCTAAGCAAACAGGGGGAGTGAGAATGCCCCTTTTTCGTAGCTGATCAGATGAGGCACATCGCCCATTTAAAATTTTCCAGGTGAAGGTGCTGTATTTTGGCCGGTACCCGTGTTGCCCAAAGTTTTTTTCTATACCTTTGCTTGAGAAGGCGATATCTGAGGACGGTTTGAAGGCGAAGGCGTCACTAAAGCAGCTTGATTTACAGCTTAATAGTAGCCTGTTTTAACAGTGTACTATCCATGTTTTTCATGTACTCAGATAAGTTTATCTCTTGAATTTATATTGATGATAGGCAGATGAATTTTAAGAATCCTTTTGACATCTTCTTCAGAAAATAAAAGGCGTAGAGCGATGTTTTCCATTGTTTATTATTATCGATAAAATGACATACTTTGAGACGCATAGGATTTGGAGAAGGTAGAAAGCGTAGAGGATTTGATGAACCTGGGATCCAATCCACATGGATTTGAACATCGTTGCCAGAACCAATTTTCCATTTGATGTGGGGTTGTATCAGCTCAGAATACTTTGCCAGCCCAAAATGTATTTTTCCTTTGACCCACCTCTAGAAAATCAGTGTCGTTGCAATACTTTGCTATAAGCAGTCTGGCCATTAATGAATCAAGTTGCTTGATGATTTTCCAAGCGAGTTTTGCGATCAATTCTTGGTTCATTTCTTTAGATTTCCGCATTCCTAAACCACCTTTTAACTTTGAAGAACAAACCTTGTCCCAGGCAATCCGAGGAATGCCTTTTTCTGAGTCGGATTTAGACCATATGAAGTTTCGTAAAATTTGATCGATCTTTATTGTTGTCGAAGTTGGCAATTTGAAAGCCCCCATGATATATAGTGTTGAAGAGGATAATACTGATTTAGCTAACGTTATTCGGCCTTGCGTAGAGAGAGAAGCCGTTTTCCCGGAGGTGATTTTCTTTGTCAATTTGGAGATTATGCTTGAAAAGTATCGTTGCTTAGATTGTCCAAAATCCAAAGGCGCACCTAGATAAGTATCTTCAAATAATGGTCTTTGTATATTTAGTGTGATCTTGACCCATAGAGCGTCGGTGTGATTTATTCTTGGACTGAGAAAAATACTTGATTTGTGAAAGTTGATGCGTTGTCCCGACCATTTGACGAAACTAGAAATTTTGTTGATTTGTTGATGTGAACATTCTGTGAAAATAATAGTGTCGTCCGCGTACATCAAGTGTGAAATTATCGGTGCTTGTTGTGCAATTTGAACTCCCACCGGTGCATTGCTTTCGAAGTGATTGAGGACTGAGGAAAATGATTGTTGAGTAATTAGAAATAAATACGGAGAGAGCGGACAACCTTATTGGACTCCTTTAATTGGTGAGAAGAATGGGGAATACCATCCATTAATTAGGACTGAATATCGTACTGTCGTTAAGCATTGCAGCAGCCAATTGATCCATTCTGACGGGAATTTCATTTTCTGTTTCAAAAAATGCCAGGAGACTCGATCAAAGGCTTTGTTCATGTCAATTTTAATTGCCGCTAATCCCTTCTTCTTTCCTTTGTGATGTTGAATATGGTATAGCAGTTCGTTTGTGATGATGATGTTTTCTGTGATATTTCTTCTAGGAAGAAACCCGTTATGTGATTCTTCAATGACTATATGGAGAACCTTTTTCAGACGGTTAGCTAAGATTTTTGCGATAATCTTATATTTTACATTGCTTAGACTAATAGGCCTGTAATCATTTGCCGATTCCGGTGAAGATTTTTTAGGTATTAGTATTATAGTGGTATCGTTCCATCCTTCTAGCATTAATCCAGTTTGAAAGAATTCGAGCACTGCTTCAATTACCGAATTTCTAATAATATGCCAGTAGTTTTGATAGAATCCGGCGGGAACATTTGGGCCAGGGCCATCCAAGGGCCCATTTGCCAGACCGCTTGCTTGATATCTTCGGCCGTGAAGGGAATTTGGAGCATTGCTATTTGGTCATCTGTTAAAGTTACCGAGACTCTATCAATTAATTTATTAAATGAGAAAAGTTCGGGCCGATCACAAACCTGTGTGTCTACATTGCAATATAGAGTTTGATAGTGATGTTGGATGATATGTTGTATTTGAGGATTTCTACTGTGAATGTTGAACCGTATATTCAACTTTGTGAGTTAAGTTGAGTTTTTCCCTTTTCTTTCTTTTTTGTTTTTTCCTCTGAAAGTTTGAATTGTAGTCTAGAGTTATTATTCTTTTTTATTCCCTTTTTTGTTTGTGTTTTTGTTACTACGTTTTACTTTGAACCTTCTTTTCATTTTTTCCCATGAATAAATGTTGCTCTTACACCAATTCCAGGTAATAATACTTCTTCCGTTTTGTTTTTAATATAGGCTAAATTGTGATATTAAAACAAATGAAACAAAGAGAGTGGTATTTTTTCCCCTCCGGACAAAAAAAAAAAAAAAAATTTTTACAGAATTGGTCCTTATCTCTGTCCCCGCAAAGGTGAAACATAAGTTTTGACCTTTTTATGGCATTTCTTTCCATACATATATTGTTGTGACATTTCGTGTTACATATAATCCATATTTTTGTGAGCTTTAAATATCTTCTACTAATATTTATATCATTTATTACAATGATTTTTGTGATAAAATACTGTAAAGTTATAAGAATTCGATAATTCTATGAGGTACCAGGGGTTTTTCTTTCCTTCAGGCTCCGTTTGGTTAGATTGAATTGCAATTGAATTGGAATTACAATACTATTAAACTGAAAATGAGATATTAATATTGTAATTCAATCTCAATTCTCTTGTTTGGAAGATCTTGAAAATTTACTAGAATTAAGGTTCTAATTCCAATTCTTGCGTTTGGATGCATAAAAATTTGGATACTTTAGAATTAAAATTTGTTTGTTATTGTATAACTAACACTAGTACAATTTATACTTCTTGTCAAAAACTTTTTTTTAAAAAAAAAACTTATTTTATTATGGATATGTATAACACAAAAAAATAAATAAATTCATTATGTACATGTATATTTGACTACTTTGTGGTTGTTTAACTAATATAATTTTTTACTTTTTTTGTTAAAACGAATTATTATTATTAATTAATTTGCTATATCAATTTTGTAATTTATTATGTACACACATTTTTGTTGGAAACAAAAGAAATATTATTACGTATAAGAACTATTAATATGATACTTAAAATTCTCACTTAATACACAAATAAGTAACACGTAAAATATCTTTGTTTTCCTCTCTTTTATTGTTTTTCAAAATTTTTTATTTTTGATGTTTTGATTTATATCAAAAATTAAAAAGATTTTTATTATATAACATTGTAAATTCAGTTTATGAATATTGAGGTTCATTTATACATAGATTAACATTAGTATATAATATATGCTTAAATATTTTTATTTTTAGTATATAATTATATATGAAATAAGAGATACTTAAAACTCAACTTACATAATTTTTTGTAAAAAGATGCCATGAATAGCTAAAACATATATATGTGTTATAATATAGGTGTATATATGGAACAATTTCTATTAAAAAAATGAAAATTTTATGTTGTTTACTATGTCATAATATAATAAAAATATTAATCAAAACTATAATATTTAGTTATTAATTTTATTTTGTTACAGCTATACTTTTGATTTTTTTGTAAAAAAGATACAAAGTTAATTTTAGATTGATTTCGTTGATAATTATTAAAATGATATATATGAAATAATAATAATAATAATAATAATAATGAGACAAACAGCCCAAAAAAAAGAAAAAAAAAAGAAAAGAATTAAGCCAAGAAGTAGAAAAAGAAAAAAGCTGAAAAAAATAAAATTATAAAAAATATATAAAAAAAGGTCCAAAAGACAAAAATTAATAGGACGACCCGTTTAGGTTATAATCCAGAAACGATCCGGCTATGACCTGTATATTTTTTTTAAGTGCCTTGAATTTAGATTCTAATTATTTGCTCCCACAAAAGAATTGAAAATAAAGAATTGAGCCCTATCTAGAATTATAATTACAATTTTTTTACCTCTATTTTTAGCAACCAAACACAAGAATTGCAATTATAAAACTCCAATTCCAATTCTTGGTCACAATTCAATGCAACCAAACAAATCTATGCACTTGTCTCTCCCTAAAAAAAGGACAAAAAAAAAAATTAAAAAAAAAACAGAAATAGAAAATTGATTTCATCACGTTCTTCAAACAATTATCCTTGTTCAAAAGATTTTGAAGTATCGAAATAGCCGGTCAATATTGGATTTTAAAATCTATCTAATTTTTCTCAGCTCCTTCACGTTAGAGTATGTACTATTTGGCTCAATTATGAAAACGTACCTCCAGATTATTATAAAACACACACACACACACACACACACACACACACACACACACACACACAAAACTATGGATCATACCAAAGGAAGGTGTTAACTTAATAGGCTGATGCCTCCTCCTTTGTACCCAAAAAAAAAATTTAAAAAAAAAAACTATGGATCATAAAACAGCATTCAAGATATCAAAAAAATGCAAACTAATAAATAACCTCATTTTTTTATAAAAATAGTTATTTGATACGATAATTCTTTTTAGAGGGGAAATATTATTTTTGTTGATAAGAAATATCGCAATCTTTAATACCTCACTCCAAATGTGTGCTAGATGCCGTTTGTTTTGAAGTTTCAGGTTGAATGACCACAAGTCTCTAGAACTCCAAATGATATGAAAATTGATACGGAATCATGGATCTAAGTTAGTAATGCAACATCTCCTTTTTCGGAGATACCCATATTCTTTCTGATAAAGGTGAGCTAGATACCAAATACTCAAACAATATCTCAATATTCAAGTCAAAAACCTTCTGATTTCTTTTATTATACTTATTTAAAGCAGCTGTCAAGGAGGACCGTCGTAAAAAAAAAAAAAAAAACTTATTCTCAAGATTAACAAAAAGCCACTTTCTATGTGAAACAAAGAAAAAATAATTTAAGTAAACAAAAAAAAAGAGAAAGAAAAAAAGTAAAAGAGAAATTAATTCTTAAAATTAATTATTAAACCAAGGAAAAATTAGTTCCTATAATTAATCCCTAAACTCAATAAAATTGGCTCCAATCCACAAATTTTGCTTGTCCATATTCCTTACCATCTCTCTAATAAAATCAAGTTTTCAAAAAAAATCCTTCTCCTAATTTTTATTGTTGTACAAAATCATTATAAAAATATACTCCCTCTATTCCAAAATTATTGTCCCGTTTGAGATTTCATTTTTAGTACAATTTGAACTAGAAATGAAAACTTAAACTGGACAATAAATATGGGACGGAGAGAGTATCATTTTTTATGATTACATATCAATTTTCTATAGACAGTGCATGGACAAGGCTGGGACACTAGTTTTCAAGGTATAATCTCAAACCTTAATGATTGGAGCCTTAAAAATGAACTAAATTGGACATGAAACCCAATTAAGGAGCTTCAAAAAGGGGGGAAAAATAAATTTTTTTAAAATAAAATCCTAATCCAAGGGCCACAGTCTTGGCCTGAGAACGAAAACTACAAACTACACAAATGCAACTGAAAAGTCTCAGAAGTCAGAACAATCTAAAGTTATGAGGCAGATCATAAGGTCAAAGTTCCATTATTATAATAGCGTGGACTTTCTTTGTACAATATTTGATTGATTGCTTCCGAGAAACTGGGGATCATTACTTTAAAAAAGTGAGATATTTTCTTCATTCCAAAATGATTATTAAAATAAGAAAATAATTATTTTGAGACGAAATAAGACTTTATCCATGGAATATAAGACTGCCCCTCTACGAATGCCGAGTTGAAGAATCATCCAATTTGAAAAGTTCCACAATTCCAAAGTAAAGATAATGTGGGCAACAATAAGTAGGTGTTGTTGGACAAAAGGTAAAGAATCAATTTTCTCATAAGCATATAACCGTAATAGGCAATTGAATCATGCTATGTTTTTAATCTCTTAATTAGTCACAGGTGCACAAATCTCTGGGAAGAGATGACCCTTTAAAGTTTATAATCTACCAAAGCGAGTGCCGGGAAATATTTCCTTCAATATGACCTAAGGCTTAAAATAAAGAAATCATGGATTCAAATTAATAAGAGGTGTAAGCATTTGAGAATGGATGTTTCGGTGAGATTGCTGCCTTAGGAAGAGGATTTGGCATTCTTAGTGAAATCTGAGCAAGTCTGGCAGCTGCAATCTGAAAACCTGCAGGTTTCACATCCAAAACACACGCAAGACGTGCATCCTTTGCATGTTGGAGATCGAGAACAACCCCTATAGACCCGCCGACTTGCTCTTTCTTCATCATCATCGCATGTCACCCTGAAATAACCAAACGAAGATATAATGAGTGATTAGGAGTATATACTTTACTGAAAACAGGAAAAGAGCAGAAAGTTGGCAAGTATTCAAAAGCAACCACTATACAAGTCAGAGATCCATTCCGTTTTCACAGCAAAATACAAGAGTGTCAATGGATTGAATAGCACATATCACATTTATACTGCTGCTGTAGTAACTCGCTCAGAACTCCAAAGAGAGAGATAAAGCTGATTGTTGATGCAAAGACAAACTTAAAACAATTGTCATCTAATGCCTAAAATACTAATTTCCTCACTAAATGAAGAGCACCACAATCTACTTCATACCAGCATAATGGAGATTTAATTCTCCTTTTATAACCAAGGTACCAGTTCTTAAGAGGACAGAATCTCATAATCAGCAACCGTACTACCAAAAAATTCAGGCTACCACAGCACAAAGTCCAAATCACTTTTAAGAACGAATTCCCAAAACAGTAATCAGAACTTACTATATGCCACTGCAGAATGCAGCACCGACACCTCAAGAATTTAAACTCAAAAGCTCAATAATCCTTGAACAAAGATTACTGCTAGTTATTAGATATATTTCCAAATTAGGTACAATCGCGTTGACAACTTGACCTATACAAAATCATTTAGTCCAAAAGAAGGGTTCACTTCCATTCCACAAGTTAGATGTGAGAAGGTAAGCGAAGTCATATATCTATTTGAAAATAAGTATCAATAGATAAAACAAAGATTTAACTTCATCCTACTACAATTCAGAATGGGTGTATCAAGCTGTTTACTACACCAATAACATTCCATCGGGCAAAGGCTACTGGTCAATCAACATAACAGTTCTCATCAATACAGGGTCCAGCAAGAACTAAAGGGAGGGAACTTTAAGTTTCACAGCCATAATATGCTGAGCTAGGCTAACACAGGAGTTGCCTAGTGTACTTAAAAGAAGCCTAATAGCCGGCCATTGTAGTGAAATAGAACAATACAGGAATGTTGCGGCTCCATTATCATTTTCCAAAAAGAACTACAAAAGCAACTACCATTACAGGTGACGTATTTTCTTCACTACCAGTACTGGACTATCCCAACCTTATCTTCACTTCCCCAGTCCCTAGTTCATCATATGAAAGCACCTTGTCATTATTAAGGGGACAACAAGATGGAAAGACAAAAACTAGTCAAAGTCTCTTTCCACAGCCCTCATTTTAGTCCCTTACAGCATATTTGCTATGTAAAGCAAATAGGATTGTATGTTTGTTCCGTTTTTTTAGTGTGTGTTTTTAGGTGTTTTTTATATTGGGAATGTAAAAAGGTGTATTGGAAATGTAAAAAGGTATGCTGGGATGTGATAGTTATTATTTAAATATTTTGAAAATACCATCAAAAAATCCTAACAAACATAGTTGTTCACCACTATCAGATCTATAGGCCAAGAAAAAGACGTTTAGCATCTCTTGTGCCTTGCTTTCGTTCCAGCTTCAGGTATTTACCAATGTGCACTGCACCTTCTCAATACTATAGAACATAAATCATGCAATAATAAGGTTTTAAAACAAACAGATTTTGATGTGATAACGAAACAAACATAAATTATTACTGATACAAAATCAGGTCACCACATCAGCCTCTGAAGACGGGAACTTAATATCTGCTGTATCTGGAGGCAAGCTATTACCAACATGGCCATGGCAATAACAGTTGGGAAATGGAAAGAGAAACAGGCAACCAATCTTGACGTATTTTCTCATTGAAATTAGAAAATAAAGTGACACTGATTTATCTTAAACATACTCATCATAAGGCATGTCGGAGCAGGTCCAATCTGAATCAGCCAATGCATCATGGTAACTCCGGCATTCCTCTTTGTTGCGGAGTCGGAATCTGCGCTCTTTGTTACACTGTGTGCACCTAACAAACTCATCACGATGACAGACTTTACCATTGTTGGATCGGTTTGAACCATTAGCACTTTTTGATTGTTGATTATAATACTTGAGAAGTGCAGTCTTGTACAAAGGAACTTTCTCCCCATTCATTATAACCCAAATATTGTTCTTCCATTTTCTGGAAGTTTCTCTTCCAGAATGCTTCTCAAACGCAGCTGGAGTCAGCTTGTCTAATAACAGGAGTGCATATTAGAATAATGGACAAAGGTTATCCCATACAAAATGACTCCACAAGGTACAATATGGAAAAGAAAAACCAAGAATTCTTTCAAACTGGAAAACAAAAATACTAATTAATGAAAAAGTATCAAGACACAAGTTAAGAATATCACTGTCATAAGTTTGAATTACATAAATCACGTCATTTCACTGAGCCATCAACACTACAGCATGATCACAAGTCGAAAAAACGGGCACTTTAAGCATGATAGCAAACATCTCTATTCATATTTTATACTGATTCCATCTTCCTCATTAGATGTTTATATTTCATTTGAAGCATGCAAAAATTATCATAAAAGACTTTCAGATAGAAAACAGTACTCTAAATGGATCAACATACAATAGGCAAAACAATCTCAATAGTCCATGAGGTACATCAACCCAACTCTCTGCAGCAGCTAAGTATAATCAACCGTAGTCACAGATTAGACACACAGAGGTGTAACTGGAATAGACAAGGTTTGGTTAAACACAGAAGGTCAATTGCATGTCAATGCATCAATCACATGAAATAACCAAATATTCAACAGGTTCACACTTGGAAGACTCTATAGTTGCCAGATGAGCATCAGCCAACGAAGAATCTAGAGACCAGAATAATAACATGCTTTGATACTCAGCTGGCAACTTTAAAACGGATAGGCAAAAGATGATTTTGCAGTGAGAAGAGAAAGGCCCGCAACAGAAAGAGATGCATCTTATCATATCATTTGAACAGAAAAAGGAAACAGAACTCTGCTTCAGAATCTCAAGACTTGACACGAGAAACTCCACCAATACAACACAATATCACGTTAGAAACATAATGTAGGTCCTTTCATCACATTCATTATCATTCCAACTATGAAATCCACCATCACAACCAGCAAAATAGCACCTTTGGAACCCAAACCGCAACAAAGAACAACATCACCAATAAAGGGACTCGGCGAAGTGTAATAAGAACTGAGATAATAACATCAATAATCGCCCCTCTTAGACAAATCAACATACAGAAGACGAACATCCTCTTCATCATATGCCAGCTTCCAAAACAGTGAAACATTATCAGATCCCATCACAGAATTTACGCGCAAAAAACATTTCTCTGCATGCATTCGCAAAATCCCATGTCCCATATTGACTCAAACATCCGGAAAAATACAAACTTTTCTTTTCACAAAGACAAAAAAAAATACTCAATAACTACTAAAAACCGGTGCAAAAATAGAGACCTTCTTGACAACCAGGGGTGCATTCACAGGTGATTTCAAGAAAACCATTAGAGAAAACCCTAAGCCGGCCTACAGCATCACCATAGCGATGGCTAGTGCAGCCGCACATCACCTCTACGTAATCATCGCCGCCGCTGCAAACCTTCTTCAACCCACAAATGTCCCTCACTTCATCATCCAAAAACAACATCTTAACCCCATTAGTACTATGGTCGGCGGCAGCGATTCCGATGGTCGTATTAGTACCCTCCATTATTTCTACAAACCCTTTTCTTTAGTCTGCGGAAAGCTCTGTTTATTAGCCAGGAAAGGGACAACAGAGAGAAACCCAAAAGGCGTTTGCAATCAGAATCGAACTGAAACGGGGAGATAACAACAAAAGGAATCGAAAATAAGAAATGGGCTTTTCACCACTGGCGTCATACATGTGTATATGTGCGGTGGCCTATGTAAAATGAAAAAAAAAAAAAACGGTTCTTTTTTTTTTAATTGTGGAGAGATTTTTAGTAAGAAATGAGAAACAGAAAGACCCAGAAGAAGAGGTAAGAATGGAGGAAAGAAGGGGTTTTTGATTTTGGGTTTGGGGTGGGGAAAATGTCCTCACTGAGCACGCATCTCCAAGGAATAAGTCCGAGAGAGATCTGGTGGAGAAAAGCGTTGAAAAGGAAGGAGGATTGCGTGATGTATCTGTGTGTATTTTTGCCTCTATATAGTTGTGAGAGAGAGAGAGAGAGTACCGGCTACTTCTCGTGTGACTGTGTGACTGTGTGAGAGAGAAAAAAATGGTGTATTTGGTTAATAGTCTTTTGGATTTTCTGCATTTGAGGGGGGGAAAGAAGTGGAATCGTGGAGGGAAAAATCACAATTCACAAATAGTTAAGCAGCTGGGTGAGAATGAGAGAACTCAGCAGTGAAATGAATGAGCTGTCAAACAAAAAGGCTTCATAAGAATAGTTGGTTTGTAAACAAATTGGAGACTCTTTTCTTCACATCAGAATTTTTTGGTTTTGCCTTTGGTTTTTTTCCTTTTTCAGGCTTCTTAAAACTGAGTTGGGTTGGTTTCAGAGGATTTGGATTTGATTTGGTTTTGTGAGAGAGGACCAAATCGTTTCTGCAAATCTGCATTGACAAATCTTTTGGGGGTTGGGTAAGTACATTGAGTTTTTGGCCTTTTGGGTAAAAAAAGTTGGAGTTTTTGGGTTTTGGTAAGACCAAATTGGGGGTATACTTTTTCAGTTTCACAGAGGGGCTTTGGGAGGAGGACGAGGTTTTTGTTTTCTTTGAGAATTGTACTTTGAATGAATAGATTAGTGGAATTACTACTTTTATTATATTATTACTAGAGAGGAAGATTTTTTTTTTTTTAATACAACAACATTTGTTTTCTAGATACATTATTAGACTGTCCTGTTGTTCTTACAATTAATTAACCGGTTGGAAAATGGAGACTATTGTAATCTGTATCATCATCATCAGTATATGCACAAAATTGCCATTGTGTACCTTGAAAGTGTGGGACAGATTTTTATAGGACTTTGGGCATTCAATCAAATGGAATAGGGAAGGAATCAAAGGGGTATGTAGACTTTTGTAGGACAGGACAACAAAAGTTGCTCACAAATCATAACCTAATTTGAGGACCGTAGCACGGTCACCATTGGGGGGGTAGAGTGGGTGGTTTTGGGGGTGGGATGTTTACAAACCCCCAAAAAAAAAAAAGGCCTTTCAGTAAATTTTAGTCATGGCTATCTAGGACTAGGGGAGATAATTTTATCGTTTTCAATCTTGGTGTTGGGAATTTTTACTTTAAAAAAAATAATGTTATTGTCAATGAATTCGAGTATTGAGGTCACTCGAAAATAATGTCACATCCATTGAAATTATGTACAATAAGGTCATTCTTCGTATTGGGAGCTAATATTTAACGGCACTAATGGAATGTCATTGTCAATGAACCCTTGCAACATTGGATTAATAATATGCACAATTAAGTAAGGTTTCATTATGTCATATTTTTGCAGTGGCATTATTTTCACTGTTTTATATATTCCCCTTGGTCATGATAAGTATACTTGAAGATATATAGAGAATTTGTAGAGAGAAATATATAGAGAATTTGTAGAGAGAAATACGGATTCTCCAGCTCCTGCAAAAATCATACTCCAAATGTATTTTGTTGTGTGGTTGTGTGTGTTAATAGAACAAAATCATGTAGTAAGAAAAGCATTTTAAATGTTGGGATGAGCACAATGGATTCCCGAGTTATGTCCTAAAAGCAATTATCCCCTTGATATTTTTAACAAGGATAAAAACCCCCTTCACCACCAGTCAACAAACAAAGCGCCCCTTCTGCACCATTTTTAGTGGAAAGTGTAAGCAAATTAAAGGGAAAAATTGGCGTTCATACCCAAAGTTTTGGGCTCATCGTCAATTCTATCATATTGATTTTCGGTTAGCCAATTTTGTCCTTACTGTTTGAAATTTTTGTTAAATCTACCCAATTGACCCAATTTTCGTTAAACTTGACGGATTTCCGTTAGTTTTTAACCAAAAACACCCTGATAGTTTTAATAAATTGTAAAAATAACCGTAAAAATTATAAAAATAACAAAATAGTCCCTTTTGTTCATTTTTTTCTATTTCATTTTATTTCTCTTTATTACTTTTCATAACCATCAAAATATACTATATGATCTTTAAAAAAATAATTATTTACTTTCAAAATCTATTTTTCATAACCATTCACCATTCACCATTTTCTTTTCCCTTTTACTTCTAATATCTTCACATGATTGAATTCTTGCATCGAAGAAAATCTTTTTTTTTAAGGCTATCTTGGATTGCAAGAAGATTGAATTTATTTCGTCAAAAAAACAAAAAAATTATACCAATCTAATTATAAGGTGTGACGAATAATGATGTGTACTTCTTGTTTTATCTATGGTGAGGAAGGTAGTAAGATATCCATGAAAATATGATTAGAAACTATTAGTTTTGTTAATATTATCTTCTTCTTTTTTCACGCTAGGAAGGTTAGTCAAAATCACACGATTTTTTTCATCTTTTTACGTCTTTGGATGATCTACTTTGAGTTTGAGTTTGAGTTTGAGTTTACGTTTACGTCTTTGGATGATTTACTTTGAGTTTTTTCCGTCTTTTCGTCTTTGGGTTTTGTCCTTCAGAAAAAACACGGGATATTAATTTTTGGGACATAATTAGGGGATTACTTATTCTTATCCCTTAAATGTTGTATTGTGAAAATTATGTTAAACTAATGTATTTTCTAAGAAGCAAACTGTACTACAGATATTATTTAAGGTTGGGAGAATATGTATCTTTTTGTCCTGATTGATAATGGACAACTTAATTAAAGAATTTAAGGTGCTCCCTAGTGTCTAAGCATGTATTACTTTTAGCATTTAAGTCCTTCATATTCTTCAAATTTTGGTGTCTCGTTCTTATGAACATACAATTATTAGGTTTGGATTAATAATTAGTATCATTTTTTTTATAAAAGGTCTATATAGTATTTGGTATCCAGATTCATTATCTTAACTTATTCTAATTCCAATAAATATTTTAATCGCTGTTGCATGATCATTTCAAAAAGTTTTTAAAAATTGAATAGAAACTGAGTACATTGAGATAGGATATCAATCAATTAAAAAAGATTTCAAAGTACAATAATTAACTCAACAACATAATTGGGTTACGACTATATATTTCTACCATGGGAGGTGGCAGGGGCGACTTTTATCTGAAGTATGTGAGTTCTCTATTAAGATATGTGGCATTATGGCTTATTTTTTTCATTGCTTTTGCATCGAAAAGTGGAGAAACAAATAAAGTAATATTTATGTAGAAGACTTTTACACTTTTGTTGCTTTCATTAGCCATTTCAGAAGTAACCAATGTATTTATTGGAACATTTTGCCAGCAGAAATGACGGTTCGTCGGCAATGATGGCTCTTTTGCCACTAATAATTCAATACGATTGACAACTCGTATTTTTCTAAGCTAAAATAAAACTCTTGCAGGAAGTAGTAGAATTATACTGTTATTCCCTCCGTCCCAAAATTGTTGTTCAGTTTAGATTTCACTTTTAGTTTAATTTATATTAAAAATAAAAGTCAAAACTAGACAATAATTTTAGGACGAAATAAGTATTATACTAAGATAAACATAACTTTTATAATATTAGAGTGTAAAAAGAAAAGAAAAGAAAAAAAACTCGAACCATTCAACAAATTTTCAAATGAGACCGTAAAATGTACATCACAATTGGCCTATCTATCCATATGCTTTAGAATTAGAAGTGACCTAAAAATTTTAATGGATTGGCTGCTATGATATTCATCAAACATAAGTCGGCAGAGTGGATAACCACTAATAAGAGAGTGGCAGTGAGTATTATTTTGATCATCTTTTTTTTTTTTTTAGGTAAAAGTTCCCAAATAAAAACAGAGTGATGGAATGGCCATGTGATGGTGTCCATCACCCCTTAACAGGGCCAGCTGACTCATATTGTTGTTGTGCCCAGGCTGATGAATGATGATATATATATTGGCCTATCTGCCATCTTAATCCCCCCCTACAAGTAGTCCCTTACAAAACTTAAGTGGGTTCATTTTAGTGTTTAAACTTTAAAATACTTGTAGTGCACATTAATTTCATCCCAAAATGATTGTTCAGTTTAATATTTTTATTTTTAGTTTTCTTTATGTTCCAAAAATTATTGTCCAATTTAAAATTTCACTTTAATTCAATTTAAACTAAAAATAAAAATTAAAACAGTACAATAATTATTGGACGGAGAGAGTACAGTTTTTGCGGCCAGGGAAGTATCTCAACATTGACGTTTTCCTCTCTTTTTGTTAAGAAATCAGTTTTTACACACTACAAAAATTCGCGGAGTGTTACGCCATAAACAGACTTCTGAATTGGTATTGCCAATTCACCCCAAAAATATCCGACAACTAGCAATGTCAAATAATCACTTATAAATAATCAACTTGCAACTTCCGTAATACTTTAATCTTATTATAACTTATAACAAGTGTCATGCAATATTTAAATAGTGATACAAGAAATATAACAAAAAAAGAATATTTCTTTTCATTTTTAATTCTAAAATAATTATTAAAATTTTTGATAAATTTTGGAAGACAGTGAATAGTACTTGAAAAAAGAAAGGATCAAGCTAGCCCTTATTTTTTCCCAAGTAGTGCACTATATGTTGTGAAACTCAAGGATTAATTTCACTGTATTCCCATGATCCTGCTGACCCACACACTACTAGTAGCCGAATCAAACCTTCAATAACTTTTTGGTACCACATTTCCCCCTAATTTTCAATTACGTGCGCCGCCTTCCTGTTCAAAATCATTGAGCCGGAGATTTCTTTTGTGGGCTTTTTTTTTTTTGTTTTTGCAGTGAGTGGGTTGCTTTGCTTTGCTTTGCTTTTCTGCATCGAGTCCTTGTCACTCTTGTTGCATCAGAGTCCACTTTCAATTTAAAATATTCACTTTCGTGACCTTATTATAGATATTTTGAATTGTCGTAAGTTTCACTTAATATATATTTTTAATTTAAAAATATATTTTAAAAATATTTCTTAAAAATAAGGACCGAAAGGATTATAAGACAACTATTTTGTAGTTTAAAAAAAAAATAAATAAAGACTTTCTTTAAACTTGCTGAAAATCAGCTAACTCTGATTGATACAAAATATTTGGCGGTGCCAACCAAGTTTTAATCGATTCTATATTGGACTTAATACGGCTAGCTATAACATGAGCTACATTATTTTTGATCTAAGGATCCAATATAGAGTGGAGAAAGAAAGCTCCACCAATAGAAGCTTAATCTCACTAAGGATTCCAATAGAAGAATGGCCCATAATTGTGACGTTCTGGAGATTAAGTTCCTTTAACTATTTTGTAGTTAATAGTGGTATATTTCCTGAGATGTGGTGTTGTATGTCTTGCAGTTAGTGATATGTATAGACAGAACTATAAAAAAAACTCCCACGTTGGTTGAGTGAGGCTTTTTTCCTTTTTCTTTTAAATTTCTTTCGAAAGTAATTATCTTTTTAGTTTTTACAATTTAAGTGCCTCAAAGTTGAGTAATGTATATAGTTGAACAAAAAGCTAACATCGCGCTAAGTAACTTACAGAAATTTTGATAAGAAACTTTATAATTTGTTAAATTTCTTTTTTACACTTTTTTGTTCGAAGAAAAGTTAGCATATATGTACATGACAAAGTTTTCTATTGGTATATCCGTAACTTTTAAACCACGGACTATGTCAAATTCATTATTAAACTTCACCTTTAGTCAAAAATATGTACATTATATTATAAATAATTACATTGTCAATAGCACTTTTCCGTTGACTACCATAGATGTTGAACTTCAATAAAATTGACAGTCGCATGTTACCAAATTATTAGGGGACGAAGAAGGGTATGATGAAAAAGTAGCCAATAGTCACTCAAGTTGTTTCTCAGTTTGGAAATAGGTTGTTTAATCCTTTAATACCTTAAATTCATTCTCATCTCATCCTAACTTTCGCTATTATTGTAATCTTGATAAATTTCCTTATTGTGAATAATAAAATTTTGCCAAACTAGTTATGTGAATTTGATTTTTCTCACAATTTTCTTTTGTAGAACTAGAAACCGAAAAGATAGAATTACAACCCTTACCTGTTAGTCTAATTCCGACAAAGAGTCAAAGCTACAAGAACAACGCCTAGACTTTAAACTGAAGTGTAATTTTCCGAAAACTTTATTGATTTTTTAGGCATTTCCATCGACTTCTAAATTTAAAAGAAAAGTTAGTGAATGATATTTTGAGAGTCATTCTTTTGGTAAATTAGGTATTTTCATTCTGCAACCACCACCGAAGTGACTAATTCATATTTGAGTTTGATAGGTCTCTATCAAGAGATAAAACTCTCCAAACAATATTAAAATGTTTTAAAAGTTTTAGTAAGCTGTATTGCTTTAGTTTATCTTGTTCATTTAGTTTCTTGTTTTTTTTTTTTTTCCTCCAATCAATCTGCCCAGAAGTACCATGAAGAAATATGAATATAGCCTAGTGGCTAGTGATACTTGCATGAACAACCATTTTGTAAAATTGTATTGAAAAAGTGAAGGTTTTAAATAGTGTTTTGAGTATTTTGACTATTGAACTAAACAAATATATTCTTAGATGAGATGTGTATTTGAAGATTTGAGTTTGACTGTAGATAAATAAAAAGAAGAGAAGTCTTTTACCAGGATGTTTATCATGACAAGTTTAACAATGCTTTAATATCATCAAAGCAGTGATGAATTTGCATATCTACATTTACTTAGTCTGTCTCTTGGACAAAAGAAAAAAAAGGGTCCAGTTCTATGGAATTTATTTTCTGCAGAAAAAGAAAAGGAATGGAAAGAACTCAAAAATGCTTCTCAAAATTTACATCAAGTAACACAAAATATTGTACAAAAAAAGAGAAGAAGGAAATCAAGTTTTGCTAGGGACATTAAATTCCTTGTCCAGAAGCATATCCTGATTTACAAAAATCTGAACCTGTTAAATGTGGTTCATGGAGAAAAAGGTTAGAAAAGAAAATGGGGGTTGGATTTCTTTTTTCATTTTTTTCCTATTGGTATATTTTCCTACATATTCATCAACAGAAGATTAGACCAAAGTGGAAACAGGATGATAAGAATGAGAACAATGCCAAAAGCCATGGCGATGCAAGTCCATTTCCTGGATCCTTTCTGGTATTCTCTGGCTTCCTGGAGTTGTTCTGTTCCTCTGCGGACGAATGAACTGGCATGAGCCACATGACTCTCAATGTCATTCAGCTGTTGCCCTTGTGCTTCCACAAGTGCAGCCATGTCCAAGAATATCTGATGAAGTTCCATCAGATTCTTTTCGATTTCCTTCACAGCGTCGTGTCGCTCCTGGATTTCGGATATGGTGTCCAGGATCTGGCCTCTCCCCTGTTCCTGGATGGCTTTCTGCATGAAGGTTTCACTCTCTCCACTGGAGATCAAGTTCTCGATGAATTCGTCGTCGGCTTTCTCACCTGTTATGGTGAAATATCTCCTGCCAACTGTTTCTCTGTACTCTGCATTCATTTTAGCCCTTAACCCTTGGAAATCATCCATCATGTCTTTCAGTTTCTTGCCTAATCCGCTTACTACTGATGTTCTCGTCCTGTCGGTCGATGATCCTGGACCGCAACCTGGAACTCTTCGATTCGCTACATTAGACCTGTCAAGTGCTTCAAGCTTCCCTTTGATGACTTTTACTCTTTTCAGAACCTGCGACACATCTGCATCCATCCTGGACCTGAGCTCCTTCATCGTCTTCGCGTTGTGCACGATTTTGCTCTCTTCGTTGGATTCTTGCAATCTCTTGTACAGTTTCTCGACATCTGCCATGTCTTTCTTTACATTCTCTACATCATCAAAGAATTTGTCGAGGTCATTCTCGCGGCCGGCGGCTCCTCCCTCGAGGTCATCCATCTGGACCTGTGTTTTCAGGTCCTGATATCTTTTAAAGGAATGTGAGAATAAGTCATTCATCTTGGAGGCCTTTTTTTAGGTTTAAATTTTGGTTTCTTTCCCAAGATATGGTGTCTTTCACCTGCAGCCAGAATATGGGCAATGCCTTGTCCTAACCTTCTTTCTTCTTTCCCTCGGTTCGCCACATTCAATGATGGCCAATGTCTTTTTTCATGTTCTAGCAGAGGTGAGGGAAGAAGAGAAGGTGGAAAAAGCAAAGCCTTCATTAAGAAATAATTATCTTGTTTCATTGTTTGGGGAGTTTGGGAAGATTATTATTAGAGGTATGTAGCAGTTTCAAATGTTTGAACCAAAATAATCTTGAGGACTGTCGTTAAATGTGGAGATTATTGCTGATTACTTTTGATTCAAACACTTGGAAAATGATTTTGTTTCTTTTCTACAAGAAGGATTGACCAAGTCCACTCATATTCTAAGTGCAAAACATAAAGGCTAATTAGAGAGTACAAGACATATTATACATACCATCTATCATCTCTCCGCCTCAGAATAAGAGCCCTACCAAAAAGCAGGAACTTAATCAAATAAATAAACCTCCTTAAACCGTTCTCGAAAATTCGATTTTGACCTAACAGAAAAAGCAAAATGAATGAACATGATATGATTCAAACTCATAAGCAAATTTCTTGATGCACTCGCTGTGAATGTTGCTGTTTTGATTGCAAATGTAATTGCATAAGGTTACACTTCAAGCTGGATTCTTCAGCCTGCCACATAATAGAGAAATCCGATTATTCAGATGTTGAATTTATATGACTAAGAATCTCTTAAGAATACATAAAAATAGGATTGTTAGCTTCTAACGGTAGGATCATGTACCTCTAATGCAGAAACCACCTTGAAATGTTCCAAGCACTCCTCCAGCAACATCTTTTCTTGAATTACTACCTCTGCTAATTCTTTCAACGTTGCAGCTGTCTCATTAGCCTAATTAAGGACATTCAGAACTCGAACTAAGTACTTGGCGATCGATACAGTTTACATGGAAGAAAATCTTTTGCTGTGTATGTAAAAGTATAAAAGCATTATGTACCGTTGGCAAATATGCAGAATTCATCGATTGGATTGTTCGTGTCATATCTGATGCAGCTCGAAGAGCCAGAGAAATCGACTGTGGTTCCACCTGCAGAATTGAGTTTGGCACATTTGAATACATTGATGTCATAAGAGATTTCAATTTTGTGAACAAAAAGCGTATTGGTTTCTCAAAGAAGTAGTATTTGTGTGAGCTTTACCTTAGCTCCCTCAACTAGGGGAACCTTGCAGACAACAGACTGCAAACTGTCCTTGGTCATATTTATTGCTGATTGATGTTGCCATTCCATAGCACCCCATTTTTCTAGTGACTTGATCTGAATAAAATGTTTGTCACAATAGAAATCATGCATAGATGAATGAATACTAGCACATTAAAAAGAAAAAGAAAACCGAATCAGATTTGTTTTACGGGATACAAAACGCACTTGAGGTTTAAGTATGTGATCAAGTTTCATTTCTAGCTTCTCTTTCTCAAGCTGAATCTTCTTCTGCCTCACAGAATATCTCAACTTAGTAAGACCATCCCATCCACAGACTAAATTTCTCTGTTAAAAAGGAAAAAAAGATCAGTCATTTCAAACAGATTATAGAGTATATGATTTGATGCATTTCACGAATTGACCACCAAAATGAAAAGAAATGCAAGTAGTACTCAAATTACAAACCTCAGCTTGTTTAGTTATGTTGCCATTGACAGCGTCGGCTCGAGCATTCGCGTACATCCACTGCACCAACCTATTATGTAACATCTTCAGTTGATGAACATTCTCACCAATGCTTAATCCTAAAGGTGAGGATACACTTTGGTTAGAAGATTTCTTTCCTTTCAACAAATCAAGTCCGATACTCAGCAAATTCCCTACTCCTTTAACTCTTGAAGGGCTAGTTGGAGGCTTAGACATCCCTATGCCCTTATTCTCCTCTGACATTACTCCTGAGGAACCACATCTTCCTGGTGATTCTCCCGCTTTCGCCGTCTCAAAACCACCTATTTTCGCCGAGTTAGACTTCTTCATTGCGTTCTTCAGTGAAAATATCCTGGGAGAACTCTCTGCAGAACTAGGCTTATGCACAGAAGAAGCGCGCGACCTTAACTGCGAATCTTGCAAGTATTTCGACGAGACTTCAATTCCGGCCATTCTAGAACTCACGGTGGGCGCCATGTATGATGCGGGTAAACTTTTTCCATTCAATGGAGAACTAAAACTTGTACCTGAATGTAAATCACTCTGTTCCGACTCAGAGTCAGCTGCAAAATCCGCCAGGTAATCGGATTTCCTTCGTCCAAATGACCTTCTTCTAAGGGCTGTTTCATCAACTGAATATCTCCCTGGAACTATATTATCATCAGATAAATTCGAAGAGCTTGATGATGTCGATGACGAGGATTTTGATGATTTTCCAGGGAACTTAAACTTCCCTGTGTATCGCATTGATCCACCAAGCAGAGGTTTATGATTCTCTTTTGAAATTCTCCTCTCATTTTCAAACTCATTGATTTCTTTACAGCTCTGTTGCCTGTTCAGGGACATGGGATTCCCATTTACAGACTTTTTCTGGGGTTTATCAAGACTCTTGTGCCTTGAAAGTTCCATTTTTTTCTCATTTCTAAAGCAGTCAGCCAGAGTATTACTTCTGAATTTCTCCTCCGAGGAATCTTCCAGTTGGGTCTTCAATTTCGTTCTTGTTGCTGTTGTTGATGACGATGATGCAGGCCAAAGTAATCCCTTCATGAATCCAGAATCCGGAGGGGTTTCGTGGGTTTTCCGGTTACCCGGAGATCTGCCGGCGCCGGCTGGTTGCCTGATCAGAGGAGGAGTATTGGTGGTGGTCAGAGAAGAATTAACCACATGTCCTGATGGATTTAGAGAAAGAAACCTGGAGCTGACTTCACGGGACTTCGGTTTTGTTGTTGCATTCTGCTTCATTGACTGTTGGAAAGTCAGAAATTCGCCTCCTAATTCAGGGTGCTTCATTACTGTTGACTTGAGAGAGGAAGAAAGAAAGAAAGGTAAAAACACAGAGTCACACAGTTAGAAGAGATGAGGAATTATGATTTACGTTAGAGAAACATGTGAGATTCGATCTTGTTAGTTAGAAAAAAGAATGGAGCATAAAACAACCACTTGAAAAATGGCGGCAATTTAGATCCCTGCCGGCTTCAAGAGAGGGAGCCTTTTGTACGTAGTAGTAGTTTTTTTTTTTTTTTTGGAGTAAAATTAATTAACAGTCTACTTATTCGAATCACTTTTTGGATTTTATGGTCGTAGTTTCTTTGGACTAAAAAAAAAAAGAAAAAAAAGAAAAAAAATCGAGGTCAAATAATACTCGGAATAATTTACTCTCGTGATAAAATCTTTTAATATTAAGTGCTTTATTTAGGTAAGGATATTGAATTCATAACAACTGATCTAACGAGTATTTGTAGTTTATCATCGATATATAAAATAAGAATATTGAACAAGTCAAACATCAATAAGCATACCTATATTTTATCCCCCCAAAAATTATGGACCTATGGTAAATTTGGTGATTTTGGATTTGATCCAGGATATATGGGTTTTTGTTGTTGGGAGTTTGAGATTTTGATGGAATTGAAGATATGTAGAGGAGAGGGTCTTAGTGCTGAAGACAAAATGATGTTTACAACAACATTGGAATTAACTTTGAAGGTTATGTTTGTTTAGTTTGGCCGGCATTGTTTATGATTCAAAGGTTTTTCCAAATACTGAAATTGACACTGAAAAGGAGGAAACAAAACAGTGATGTGCCAATTGGACTGTTTTGTTGTTGTTGTTGTTATTGTGGTTCGGGTAAATTAATGGGGATTAAGGGAGATCATCACTAGAAATATTTTTGAGTGTTCACGTTAAAAATAACTTTTTTTTTTTTAAAAAAATATGATTAAAGTTGAAGCTTCTCCATCATAAAAAGTTTCTCTCCTCTCCCTATTTTCTCAAACCTGAATCGCCTCTTAAAAAAATTTTCTTTCCCCCATCTTCCCTCATGAGTAGATGGGGAATTAATCTAATTTTTCTTAGTTTACAGTTTTTTATTGTTCAATGAGTGGAATTTGTCTCCTAAAATATAGTTCATTCAGTAAATTAATTGTGATCTGTGGAGAGGGTAAGTTTTTACTTACAAGTATTGTTTCTTCAATAGATTAATTGTGATCTATTGAGAGGGTAGGGTGTTCATGGTGTCTTCCGAATTGTTGCTGGGATGTTCGTAGTTTCGCTCGCTGCTTCACACTGTACAGTTCAAGAAGATTCAGTCATCATAAATCTATTCGATAGATCTATGATTTGGGCTTTCATCAGATGATTAGAGATATGTTCTTGATCAGATTAATTATTTGGCACGTGATATATCCATTATTATATTGGGTAGATTTAGATAGGTTTATCCACGAGAAACACACCAATAGTATTAAGTTTGATTGTACGTTGTGTTCTTGTTTCGACTGTATCTTTCATTATTAATTGTTGTTGGACGATTTCCAGTAAAGTAATATAATATAGTTTTTATTTCAAAAAAAAAAGTTTCGCCATCATAAAAAAAAAAGTTTTTGTTTCAACTTTATCAATTCCAATCATACAAAAAAAAAAAAGAAAAGAAATCTTGGTTAAAAAAATTCTATTGAAAGAAAGAACTGGACAGGAAATAAAAGGGAGAAAGACTTGAATTTGTGTAAAACTTCTCTCTAGGGAATCAGTCTGATTGTCATCCGTATCTTACAAAAGAAGTCACTAATCCTATATATATACATTTCGACTAATCTGTACAAAGGTATATTCTACTAATTACAAAAGATATAGGAGAAAGTACTAATAGGCTGACAAACACCGAGTTTTATTTCCTTTTGAAACCAAAGTTTTGGTCTTTTGAGAATGGTCAGTACTTGCTATGGGTTAGTTTACCTATCTGATATAATTGCAATCAAGAAGACAACTAGTTTGTGGAACCCTGGTGTTCGAAAATATGTAAAATAACCACCACCAACAAATCCTCCGCCTAATTTTACATCTGTATCAGGATTTTGGAGCTGATTTTCACCACCACCAAAAGTTGAACTCAACCCCCCTGAGGCGGAAGTCTACAGTAGTCTTAGTATCGGATTTTGGAGGAGGGTTGTGACTGTTGAGATTCATAGTCATATTATGAGGCGGAACAGCATAATATATTAATTGATGACTTTGAAGAGACACTAGTTTTGCTTGGAAGGGAAAATGCAGTTGTTGTGGAAGAACAAGGGATCTAAGATTGTCACCAATTTGAGGAAGATGGCCGGAATGATGGGAAGAAAGTAGCAGAAAGAAGGATGAATCTTGTGGACAGGGAAGGTAAAGAACTATTCTTGCACCTTTCATTCACTCGAAGGAATATGTTAATGTAGGATTCACTTTCCTGAACTCTTTAACTTTTTGATGATGAGATTGTTTATTACTATAAGTTCTGCAGATACAATGGCACAACAGTTGAACTAATCAAAGAAATCCCTCTGTCATGCTATTTTAAATCTCATGTCCTTGGTTTAAATCTAGGAAATTGTTACACTTCAATTACAAGAGTTCAGAGTAGCTCAGAGTGCCTCAGACTTGAGGGAATAAAAAGCACAAGAAGCAAGATCATGCATTTAAATAGCGAGAACAACCTCCCATCCCAACCGAAACAGAAAATACAAATATGGTTTGTATGCTAGAGCTAGACCTAGAACCACATTCAGCATCATTCTCATCTTTTGGCAACTGCAGAAAATGTAAACACAGATTGAGGTATATCATTCAGATTCAACTGTATCAGCCACCAGATCAGCACGTACGAGATCTAAACAAAAACCAACCTGAAGATGCGATTAGCGTTACATCTTAACCAAGTAAAAGCAAGGTTTGGAAACAAGTCATCAGCCTACAATAATCAGAAGCTAAGGAAAGTCTTGATGACTTCCAAAATATCCATAGGACAACAAGTTGATTCTCCACGAAGCACTCATCAAAGAACGTTACACTTCATAAGCTGGAAATTTAGCACCAGCAGGTAGGACCATGTCAAGGAAAAAGATACACCATGCCTCCAATTCCTTCAAAGAGTGAGAAGGGATGATCACCTCCTCGCATCTCTCCTTCTGCCAACAGCTTCTGACCTCTGTCGAGCAAAAAGCATGCAAATGATTTTGCTTTGAACCGAAACTCAGGACTCCCCGCGAGCCGATAGAGAGCATGAAAGACATAGGCATTTCCACTTATGCCATGACAAATCCCTACATGCCTGAGCAGTCCAAGCTTCCATCCACACCACCTTCGCCGCATCAACTGCCGCTTTTGCAAAAACTTTAATCACCAAAAAACCGAGGATACAAGATTACCAAGGTTCAGGAACGAGCAATTCTGGATTTGATGATGCTTTAGTAAGTGTGTTCTTCAAGTCAAATACTACCTTTAAAGCCTTAAAACGCAAAAAAGCTGCTTCCTTCCAGCTTATCTAACTAAGCTCACCGTTCCAATTACAAGACAGCATGAAAAGAACAAAATGAAATCAACAGATTACTGATTAGCTAAATCAATAATTACCCTGAAGCTCCCCATCCGTTCCATCATTAATAATGCACCAATTATCTGATGTGGTCCGGAGCAGCTATTCCTCCAGGATTAACTGTTGGAACATGAGTATTCCTTTTAACTCTGAGCAGATTCATTGCCGGAAGTCCAAGGTTTCTGCAACTGTATATCGCCATTGACGACGAGCCGCTCTGAGTTAAGATCAGCAGAAAATAAGTGGTACTAGAGAATCCCAGATGAGGTTGAAGCTAAATATACATACACAATGGCAATGCAGTTGGATTCTTGATTTACTGATTTTCTGTCTGAAACGCAAACATCGAAAGGAAGTGACATTTTGGACAAACTTTTGGCCTGCCGCCTGATACAGCAGAAGCGTCACCGCCCTGCCCTTCCGGGTTCTGTAATCAAGTCGGGTCAACAATCAAATTAATCTATTCTACCTATATACTAAAACAGAAGGCTCTTGAGCAGTAATTGTACACGTGTCCTCTTCTCCTTCCTCCATTCCCGCCCAAACCCAATAGAGTCCACACATGGTCATTGTACTTTCTATTTTTTTGAGTATTGATAGGTGTGCAGCTTCTTTGTGTTGGGAATGAGATTGCATGCGCACTAGCTTCAATGCACCGCCACTTTAATTGATAAACGGTAATGGAGCAAATGATGGCTAATACATAGTGTTTAGCTAACCAGAATCTCCTTGTTGATTCTGTGTAGAGTTTCAGGAACTTTGTCCAAGGTGATTAACCTGATGGAAGAACAAGACTTCCCCACACCAAATAGAATCAGTAAACGCAACGGGTTATCAGGATTTGCTGCCATCACCGGGTCAAAAACCCGGTATTGAAGTACTGAGTCCTGGGAAACCATCTTACTATCCCAGGTAGAGGCTTCGATTGGGAACAAGGGGACAGACGTCTCTTCTACAGATAAAACGCTTACAATTCGGTCAACAAAGGGAATCAATAGATGGGTTCCGTGAGTCAAAGCCTTGGTATATCCTCCGAATCGTTCGACGATGGAGACTTTGCCTGGCGGCATGAAATGAATACCCAGATTACGGGTCGCATACCGCACTGGCCATTCGATTGGGTTCGCACGAATTCTTTGCCACATGCTGATGCGACGGTAACGAGCGGCGAAAGCAGCGGGAAGGGGGTGTATGATGAGGCGATATGTGATCGGACTGGGACTCATCCTGATCCCGACGGCAAATGAGTGGGGAAGGAATGGTGGAGATTGTTCGGGTAGGGGAGGAGCATCTGTGGTGGTGGTGGTGGAATTTTTGAAGCAGCCGGCGTTGATTTGGCGACCGGAGAAAGGATCTCATCAGATTCATGGTCGGATGGAGAGTTTGATTGATGAATTATGTTGCCGCGTTCGCTATTTTCTTACCGGGGGTGAAAAGTGAAAAATTAAAAACAGCCAACCAATCTTTTGGTTTTGGTTATTACTATTTACTACTACTTATGATACAGCATTTTGATAAATTTTTACTATGCAACAGTTATTACTGCTCTGTAAATCTGATTTACTATGAACATATTTTTTACTAGGGGTATTATAGTAACACAAATGCACATCAAAAGTGGTCTAATTTGACAACGACGTTTGACTTTTTTTTTTTTTTTTTTTTTCTGAGTTTCGACTTTGGACACACTGCTATCTAACTTGAAAACAGCTAGCTATTCTCCTTTTTTTTTTACTTCTTTTCAGTTTTGTTTTTGTGCTGAAAAAAAAACTAGCTAAAGTCATGGCAGGGTTGGCCTCTTTCAAATCCTTGAATTTGTTTCCTTCTTTACTGACTACACAGATCGTGGCCAATCGGCGACTTCTTCCTGACCTTGAAGCTTTTGGTTTTTTTCCATGTCTCTTTTCAAATCCATATTTGTCTCTCTTTCTTTTACTCCATGAAAGCCAGCAAAGGCCAGAGAAGTGTATATGTTTGTGCTCTCAACACATTGTTTATCATATGTCCCAAACCTACGAATAATCCCCAATTGAAATGTAATCTCCCAAACATTGAAATGACTAAGGTTACTTTTGTTTCGTTTTTTTAATGGGTATTTTTAGGTGTTTTTTGTATTGAAAATGTAAAAAAATATATTAGAAATGTAAAAAGATATGCTGGAGTGAGACCGTTATTATTTTATTAATCTAAAAAAACCATAAAAAAAACTAAACAAACAAAGAGTAGCAGTATCCCATCGATTTTACTCTCTCCATTTTTCCGTTTAAACTTTCATTTTTAGTTTAAATTGTGTTAAATGTGAAATTTTAAACTGATGAATGATAATTTCGGGGCGAAAGAAGTAAAATCCCACAATGTCAATAGTTATGTTATAATTTGGATGAAAATTTTCAAATTGATTTTTCAATAAGTTTATTATAAACTAATATATATTGAAGCCATATTTTGCTTGAAAATTCAACCAAACAATAAATAACTCTAAATTGTTAGCTTGCGCCTAAAGTCGTTTTGTTTTGATCTGAAAGTGATTAGGGGGACAGTATCTTGAAAACGAACTAAGGCAATCCAATAAATTTATTTTGCTCATACATAAATGACATAGACAACCAATTTTCGTAACTCATGCAGGACCTTCAAAGTCCTAATGAACATAGTGATCTTTACTTTTTTCTTTTTTTTTTTTCGGTTTAATAAACAAATTTTAAATTTATACACAATTCACAATATGATGATGATGGAGTCAAAATAAAAAAAGAATGGATATAATATATTTTTTTGGTACAAAGAATTACAAAAAAATATGAAATTACGGTCTAATTTGGAGAGAGAAAAGTTGTACACTTTTACTTACTCTGTCAGTCTTTCTGTTTCACGCAACAAAATAGAGACTGTCCTTTCTAATCAATCACCCCAGCCAAGACCACCATGAACGTTCTAAGGTGCTCTGGCAACCACCTCCGGCTGGTCCAAGAGCTCTGTCGCCCTCAAATTTCCAGCAAAATTATATACTTTTACTTGTGTATAAATTGATTAACAAAAACAATATACAATTTCTGTTTATTTAAACTTCAATTGGTCAACTTAATTAGTTTATCTTTTTTCCTAGCAAAATTATATACTTTTAGTTCAAACTTTTTACTCATTGGTAAAAAATAAAATAAAAAACTTCGGTATATTATCATTTTACACATGGGCTCATCTTCTATAGACAAAATCTTATTGTGTCATTTACCGAGAATTTTACCGAGAATTTAATTCCCATTACAGAGCATTCCTCTTTCAGTTTGAGGGTTTTTTTCCCCTTCAGTATGAGATTAAATGCCTAGGTTGGTAATTTGTGTTAAATTAATAACAATAAAAATATACATATCATGCACATATTTAAAAATATTGGTCATTAACCAATATATACATACACCCTATGCAATACAAGGGGAATATAATTCATATCTTGAACTTAAATATATTTTTCTTTTTTTAAAAAAAGAAAAAGCTATACTTTAATGCAACACGAAAGAATATAACTGGCAATATTATGGCTCTCATTTAGAAGTATCTCAAATACAATTCTAAAAGAACCCAATTCCCTTTCTAGGGGCACTACCTGTTTCTAAAGCTTCAGTCTCATTTGATTTCCAATCTTTTGCAATGTTTTCAGATAGTTGGTGATCTGGATTGGGGGGCACTAAAAAGAGTTTGTATGCTGATTCAAAAGTGGCCAAGAGTTACAATCAGGATCTCTGAATCACTGCTGAAAAATACTTCAGAAACGATCACATAACTAAACAAATCTACATGGTCTATATCTTGGAACAAACAAGGAAACTGAAGCCAAAATTATCTAGACAACTACCATGTTACCGGGACACATCAACATATCTTTTCAGTAGCTTCAAATTATGCATCTTACAAACACGTAGGATTCACAAAAAAAATATCACAAGATCAAAACTCTGGAATGCTCAACAGAATTTGATAACTATGGGCAGAATGCTCAGCGCCACAAGTAGGAATTATTTTATAAAGATTGTTCTCTGATAGTTTACTGTCAAATTCTTATGCACCATTCAAACTGAGAGTACAATTTCAAGGAAAATAACATCAACAATTTATTATCTGTATTAAAAATAAAGCAATAGCATCACCGGAGTAGTCGCACAAGAGGAGATTAAAACATTAATATTTATGCTCTTTGTTTGCTCCACAAGCCGCGAACAGGGACAGCCTGATGTGCCGATCTCTAAGCTTCAACTTAGTAAATCATATTGCATGAGGAAAGAATGGCACCATAAACTAATTAGTTTCGACAAAGTCATACAAAGATCGCACAACTAAAAATTCCCACATGAAAACTCATGAAAAAATCAATCAAATACCCAGAAGATGAAACCTAACTTCAATTTGCAATGAAAATTATTCCATTAAATTCTAAAAACAAATCATGGATGAAACTTCCATCATAAACATCCAAGAAAGAAAAGGGAAAGAAAAAGAAAGAAAGGTTCCTCAATCATTTGAAAAGCATAGAGCATGAAAATCAGCACTTACAGTTTCAAGTCTGTGACTCAATATCAAAATCACAACTTTCGAACTTGCAAAAGAGGAATTCCAGAACCCTGCTCACCAGAAGATATACATGTACGATATCAACAAAATTCCACGAGATGAATTGAGTTCTTCAAAGCTTGATTGGTTGGTTGTGAAATTGATATGCAGCAGAGCAGCTGAGGACTTCAAACACTGTGGTAAAAAAGAAGGGCTCATGCCATTGAAATCAAAATTTATAATTACTAATTTTTCCTACTTTGATAAGCTTTGCATCTGGTTTTTCTATAACAAATTCAGAGAACCAAAGACATAAAATTAGAAATTTACCAGGACGGAGATTTGGATGGAGAGAATCTTCGCACATAGTGAACAACAGTTCTTCCCATAAAGATATTAATCAATAAAAGTCCGCAATGTTTAAACATGCAACCGCTGCTAATTCCACTCTCAAAACTCTAACCTAAAGTTACTTGGCTACTACAGCTAGCTTCTTTCTTAGACTGAAACCTTAATCCTAGCAAAATCACCATAATCTGAAAAATTGCAACCACAATGTGGCAAAATTTGTTTGAACATTCCTTGCCCACACCCCAGTAAAAATGCACAAAAACAAAAACATTCCAGATGAGAAAACACCACATAGCCGGCTGCAATATTTACACAATTTAATTCCCTTAGTTGTGCGAAACTCTTTCGTCAGATTTTAGAATCAAAATCCACATCTAATATCAAACTAATCCTAATACTGAAAAAAAGCATTATTCAGATACCTTCTTTTTTCCTTCTTTGTTCTATTTTTCTTTATATCATGTCTCTTAGTTTTGCTAATCCCTTTTCTCCAGTTAGTCACAAACCGATGAAAGTTCTCAAAGCATCTCAATTGGAAGGGTTTCAATACCCAGCTTGATTTCATCATCTTCTTATGCTAAATGCTCGTTTCCCTTCCGTATAATATGCTAAAACTGAGATATCTTCTCCGGAGCAACCTCTATAGCCAAACTCCAGGTTTGTGCTCTTTTTCACAAGGGATTATCAAAAGTCAATCTCATGTCTGCTCTAAATTCCGCGGGCAAAAGTTACAATTTATCCAACAAAGTGGATTGGATTGGATTTGGGCACATAATAGTTTGATGGTAATTCCTAGGCCTGATCATAAATTCATAATACAGTGGTAATTGTATTGTAGAAAGAGAAGGGAAAGGCAGACTAACTGACTGTAAGGCGCACACACAATTGGGATATATTAACTGAGAAGGATCGACTAAACCGATAAATCCGAGCAACACCTTGATCAATTGCAGCCCCGTCCAGGTCAATAACTACAGACGTCCGTCTCCTATTCCTAAAACCGGCAGCGTGATTGTCGGAGGTGGCCTTGCGGGCTTCCCATTATCCTCTCCTTGAATGTCCGACAACGGGATCATCATTGTGGAAGGATTCAATTGTTCATTCAACAATTGAGATATTAGTTGCAAGACAAAAGCATGAGAGGCCTGGAGCGTTGATTGAACATTGTGGGTAGAACCGCAGAAGAGCAGAAAAAGCGTTATATATACCGACGGGTATTTTTTATTTATTTATTATTTTATTTATTATTTTTTTTGAGGAAAACTCCAAAACGACATTAACCCAAACCGACGTCAGATTTGGGGGTTTTCCCCTCTGAAGCTGCTTATTATCCGAATTGGGAATTATTTATAAGGTTTAAAATGATGTCGTTTCATTATTGGGGGAACTTTTCTCCAAAAGTTGCCGGATTCTTTTTAAACGAAGAGCATCTGATTTTCTCAATTACGATCTAGTATATTAGTAAGAGTAATATTGACCGTCAGATTACATTCATCCGACGGGGGAGGTTATTAATTTTTTGGACATATAGTTTCTTGACTATTGTACTTTTTTATTTAAAACACTTGAATTGACATTTTTGTCCCTAACAAGTCGCTGACGTCATATCAACTCCATCTGACAAACTCCTACCTCAACAATCCTGCAACACAGCCAGAGCTTATTGCGGAGTTTGCAGAGTTTGTCAGAACTTATTTATTATTCAGGAGTAGAAGAGCTTATGCAGCCATCGTTAATATTTATAGGTTAGGGGGGTGGGCAGGGAGGAACGACGACGTCGTTTTCTTGGCCTGGGGATTTTTCCTTAAAACCTGTTCTATTCTTTAACCGAGGGGGAATAAAATTTGGAAACAAAAATTTGGATTTTATATTATTTATTAGAAGGAAACAAATTATGAAATCCCGGTTTTATCCTTAATAAGTCGCTGACATCATATCAACCTAATCTGACGGACGAGATCAATTTGAAGGTGATCTTGAATATTTCGTGGATATTTAATTTCTTCCCTACTGTGCCTTTAATAAAGTACAAGGACCAAGGTCTACGAACACGGAGATTTTGCAATTTTTGATGATAACCATCTTCTCTTTTGGGTGAAGCCGATACAATTTATGCTCTCTGTTCTACCCTCCTCTGTTTGATTACCTAGACCTTTTTTTTTTCCTTCCGACAAGATTATCCAGCTGCTATGTCGGATTATTTCCCTGAGGAAGTAGTGATCGAGATTCTCTCAAGGCTTCCGACCAAATCCCTGGTAAGATTCCTCTTGGTTTCCAAATCATGGCAGTCTTTGATTTCTAGCCCTAATTTTATCGCTGCCCATCTCAACCATGTCCGTCAGTCTAAAATCCCAAATGGTTCCTCACTTTCCCTCGTTAGACTCTATAATATCTTTTGCAATAAAGAGCATTATGCACTATATTCAGAGGAGGGTGTTGATGGAGGTGCTGGCCGGAATAGGAAGATCTGTTTCCCGGTGAAATTGAAGGATGGGCCTTTGAGAATGGTCGGCACTTGTGATGGGTTAGTTTACTTATCTGATAATTACCATCGAGAAAACAACTTTTTATGGAACCCTACTATTCGGAAATACGTGAAATTGCCACCACCCACAAATCCTCCGTCCAATTTTACTTCTGCTACTGGGTTTGGATCTGATTGTCGTGGTGATTATAAGGTGGTGAGGGTTGTGTACCGAGAAGGAGATGGCGGAGATTTAACTCTACCCCCTGAGGTGGAAGTCTATAGTCTTAGTACTGGATTTTGGAGGAGGCTCTTGAATGTCAAGATTGATGCTTTCATTTCTTTTGCTGGTACCACACATGCACCTTTGAATGGTGCCTGGCACTGGATTTCGTATTCTCCTCATAGGGCTGCTGACGGTGGTTGCCTCAGTTTGATATTGAGGTTTGACGTTGCGAATGAATCGTTCAGTGAGATCATGCTACCTGATGAGTTGTCTCTTGTGGATTGTTTGGATTTAGTTGTGGATGTTTATATGGGTCAGCTCTGTGTGATTGCGAATCAGGTAAGGGGTTACAAGCACATTTGGGTGATGAAACAATATGGAGTTAAGGAGTCATGGACGAGGTTGTTCACTATCGACCTAGAGAAATGTCCTGGAGGATTTGTGGGTTTTAGGAAGAATGACATTGTTGTATTTACAAACCAGGGACATGGGCTGGCTACTTTTGATCCCCCAACTGGTAAGTCTCGAGATCTTACAATCTATAATGGGGCCGCAAGACCATTGGACATTGATGACTTTGAAGAGACACTGGTTTTACTTGGAAGGCAAAATGCAATTGTTGAGGAAACAACCAAAGAGTTTCTTGATGATGCTGAAGAAGATAGCCCGACCAAACAGCAGGAAGTCTTGCTGGTTGACATGCTTTTTACTCTTATGAGCGGTTTGAGTGGATTCGATTAGCATACATCACGGCAGCATCTACTATGGCTCTTCTCATTTTGGCATGTTTTGACAGAGAGGAGTGGCTGATTAAAGCAGTCTTGTATCTATTGACTAGTAGGTATAATTGTTCCTTTGCGGTTTCATTGGTTCCATTGCTGACTTCATCTACATCGTGGTGATTATCAGATATGAAAGCTTAAGGAGTAGTTGGCGAAGGATTCATTTTCTTGAGACTTTCGATGAGGTTGTTTACTGTTAGATGTGCTGAATGTTCTAAAGCCTAGCTACTACATAATTAGACATTATAACTGTAGTTGCTCCTTTTAACTGATTTCTCTTCTGGGCTATATGACAAGAAGTCATCTCTATTTGCGAAAAAATGGTTTGAGAAATTCTGGATTTGATGCGATTGTAGTGTTCTTCAGGTTGAAAAGCTTGAAGCCTTAAATGTTGAAAGGCTGCTTCCGGCTTAGTAGTAGTAGTGTTCCTGTTGGTTTCATTTTCTTTAACTTAAGTAATTGCTTTATCACTCTGTAGTTTTTCTTCAGTGAATTCATAGAAGGCGTTGGCTTACTGATTCGCTGTCTAAAAAGCTAACATGGGAGGTTTCACTCTGTGGTTGGCGAAACCTCAATGCGCAGCTCCTTTACTGAATTCCAGTTATAAGAAACTTTTGATCCTCTGGAGGGAGAAATCAGAATTCCAGTAAAATCAGTTCCCCTCTATGTTATGCGTGGAAGAAAGACCAATGGGATTTGGAACCGTGGCAAAAGAAAAACGCGGAGGACCTCATTAAATTTTCATGTAGTAAGTTTACTTCAAAAGAATTTTTGTGCATATTTTCATTTTTTTTAATGTCAATGAAGCAAATGAAGTAATTTTCAAGTACCAAACTTAATAAAGTTTGAATTATGTCATACATGTTAAAATCAGTGAAATAAGAAATGATCCAAGTAAAGGCATTAGTTAATTACTGATCAATAACAAGATTAATTGAAAAAGTTTCAGCTAACAGTTACAAAGAAAATTTAAATAATATATATATATCATTTAACGGAAAGAACTTTGGATATTACTTTGAGGAAAAGGTTTGTGAGGAAAAACTTTTCATTTCTTTTGTATATGAAAATGATGATTGAATTTAGTTGCTAGTTCAGACTTCAGGAGTCAGGAGGAAAGGTGAAGGAACCAAAAGAGGGAAAAAAGGCAAAAAATTTTCGCCGTTGCCGGGGATCGAACCCGGGTCGTCCGCGTGACAGGCGGAAATACTTACCACTATACTACAACGACTTATTTGATATTTGGATTCTAATTTTTTAAATAACAAAATACATAGGAATTTCCTCAAAACAACTTTATACCCTGTTGTTAATCCCAAAAATATTAACAAATCTTAAATCACAAGTGCAAGATAGATAGAAGTCGAGTTATTGTTGTTGTTGTTTTTTTTTTTTTTTTTTTCCCTAAAAATTGGATAGTCCCGGTGAGAATCGAACCCTTGACCTTCTAATAATAACCATCCCCATCCTAATTCTCTAACCACCGCACGCAACCCTCCCACCCCTGATAGAAGTCGAGTTTATCCCTAAACATCTGACTATAAAAACGGGTATATATATTGACAAGTTCCTATCTTTCATATACTAAAATTACAATCTTCCGATGTTTTCTTCATCTGTATCAGTCAGTATGTGCACAATGTATTTCTGATAGGCTCCAAGAAAAGAAAGACAAACTTTTGAAAATGAAATAATTAATCATTAAATGGGGTAACAAAGAATAATCAGAACTGTACACATTATGGCAGAGGAATGCCATCAATGTATTCTTCCATAATGAGAACATCAGGTGTGGCATTATCTCAAAAGTAATGTTGAACGACATAAATTTCATAGGAAAAATGAATATATTTTCTACTTGAAGTGGTACTGAAGGTAAGAATCATACAACAACATTTTCGAAGGACTAGAACTGAGTTCCTATATCTTCGCACTTCCTATGGATTTTTCTGCATGTAAAAACCTGCAGTCCCTCTGTGGGCGGTAATGAAAACAGACAAAAGTGTATGTTATCAATGAAAATTGCACTGTTGTAGTAGAGGATGACCATAATCCACATATTTCTCCCAGAGAGGTTTGTACTTCTCCATCCCAATCTTCAACCAAGGTTTTGAGTTCCCATTGTAATGGAGCACAGCACCTTTTTCTATCAATTGGGCATCAACATTTGTGTACCCCAACCCCAACACATGCCAAGAAGGATCCAATGCCTCTGTCAACCCGTAGAAGGTCAATAACCCAGGTGGGAGCGTACCAAGTTTCCATAATGTCCTATCTACATTCTTTTCCTGCCAGTAGTGATAAATGCCGGTGACATTCCTTTTTCTCCACTGAACTAGGTCAAATATATTCATCCCAAATGCCCAACCACATGCATCAGGATCAAAATGAGTACGTATTAAAGGATGAGAATAGTTTAAGTACTTGTGGTATCTATGGAAAGTCTCCATGCATGTCTCAACAGCACCATTGACATTGCCATTTAGATCGATGGCGAACAAAGGTGACAGGTCCTTCTGAACAACGACATCATCATCCAAAAAAACTAGCTTCTTCAGAGCCGGAAACACTTCTGGTATGTAGAACCTGAGGTGGTTAAGCATGGACAGATACTTGGGATTTCTGAATTTAATTGGTGTCCGGTTATCACCACCACTGCCAGAAAAGTAGTAGCTCTGAGTTTCGGAGTCTTGAAGCTGCTTTAAAACAGGAACATAAGAAGCATTCAACCAGCTAAAATCTTCAAACTTTTGGACATCAACAATCACACCTCGGAAGCTGTTCATGCTGAACCAGGCCTTCATTGCAGCGTAGTTCACCTCATCAGTGACAAGGTGAAAGACAACCATATCAGGATTTTTCGAATTCAGAGCGGTGGAATTCACAACCACTGAAGTCGCAAGGACATTATCAGAAAAGACACAGAAGTGGTACAGATTGTTATCTACCAGTTTCGCAGCTGTATTACTTTCACTGTTCAATTTCTTCTGTAAATTTGAGTTCTTGAACCATTCAGTTGTCAGCCGAACACCAAGACAATACAAGCTCTTGGGAACTTCTTCAGCGGCTATTTGTCCAAATTTCGAACTCTTCTCATTGATGGAATTCATCTGTTCCTCAAGACCTTGGATTTTACCTTTCAGTCTCATGATCATCGTTGAACTGTCATAATGAAGTAGCTGTTGTGCTTGGTAGAGCAAGAGGGCCATATCACGAATTGATGCTTCTGATTCTCCAACAGTCAACGGAGTTCTTCTCAAGGCAGCATTTGAGAGGAGGACTTGTGAATTACGTATTTGAGCACTGAGTTCCCATGCAAATTGGAGATTGTTACTTTCTTTTGCAATTACAACAAATGCCTTGGCAAGAGAAATCTGATCATTCAGTTGCCTTGCAACGGAATCAGCGCTCAACATTTCTTCGGTAATGTTTAAGCCTTCTACACTTCTGTCATGTCTAAAAGGTCTCTGTAGAGGGAACAAAAGAAATAGTCAGTCTTAAAAAAAGTAAACAGGGTAAAAGGAATGCAAGAATAAGAAACCACCAGAATGAACCAGAAGAGAGAAGAGTTGCCCCTCGAATAATGCCTAACAGTTATAAAAATGTTATTGATAAGGTAAAATAATAATTTTTTTGACAAGATAAAGGTATTACTTAGAAGATAAAATAGTGATGTTTATGACAAGATAAAAATGTTGTTTACTCAAGGTTCAATTCCTCTGTATCCTGCTAGTTAACTGCATTTAAAAACATGCCTCATTAATCTTACTCAAGGCAAATTTATCATGCACTTGTAATTAAGTGCATGATAAATTTGCCTCATTAATCTATTCTATAAAAGCCTGGTGAAGATCTACAAGTTATTTCAATGACCAATGTACTTCTGAAGCTCTCAAGTCATTGAATTCAGTTTCTTTCAGATTTTAACACTACGTGTCTCAAATAAGAGATTTATGTTTACATATTTCATCAACACCTAATGGCCCCTTCCAGTTAATATATGACATAACCATGCATCACATAAACTGAAAAAATCAATCAGGAGCGAAATGCCGCACACTGAAACATGAAAGAATGACTGCAAAAACAGCCTCCCACAGTCACAAGATGAGAAGATACTTATAATGATTGATATAAATCTAGCATCTGTTTAGATGTACTCAACAATGCAAACATTTTTAATAAACTTTCAACAATGCAATCAACAAACTCAATATGTTTCTGCGATCTGAAATCTCATAGGAAACCACAACGGTATCATGGTAACATAGGTGAATTTTACAACTCCTGTTTGGTCTATTGGCTTATAACACACTATCCAGGAACATATCAAGTTTGCAAGTTGGCTCTGACCTTCAGTTTCCTAAGTAACTTGAAAATAAATGAGAAAATATGTACCATACTGGGTGGATTTATTTTCTCTGATAAAGAGTAAATAATCTATTACGACTGAAATCTTCATTTATGTTTTACATAATGTTTTACCACTGAAATCTTCTTTCAAGTTTTCCATGTTCTTGCCAGTAAAGCCCCTAACCTTTTTGCTTCACATACAACTTTCTCTTCATTTATCCAGAAAAATTCTCTCCAGCTGAGTTGTCTTCCCTCCTACTTTTCTCAGATAAAATTTTTTAATTCCCCACTGAATCTAATTCTTAATCTGTCCCTCTACAGCTTCTTCTGTTCTATTATTGGCGAAAGTTCTCTGTTTTCCCTACTCTCATCTGCAGTAACGAACTGCTGCAATATATATAGTATGCTTCAGTTTACACAACTGTCCTTCCACATCTTACCTATTCTCTTATAAAGAATGGATGATAGATCAGTTCCAGAAATTCACATCCAAAATAACACAGACTTGTAACACATACCTGTTCAAAAGTTATTCTACAAAACTGGCATATCTCATCTGATAAAGCTACATGGTGCCTTATATAGACCAATCACCTACATGCTGGGCCTTCAAAATAATCATAAGAATAAATCGATTTACTACTAATAGCGTGGACGCTGATATTGCTATGCGTAACCCACATTAGACATGAGTTCCTAAGCAATACCTTGTCAATTTCTGTCCATGTCTCAGGCTCTCTAACTAATATTAGAAACATACAGAATAATAACCTATTTCAGCCAAGCGGAGACCAGAGACCTCCTCACAAGGAATTAAAACCAAATAGTAGAAAAAGGAATATGATTTTCTTCTTTCAAAGTTGCCAACGCATTTTGGATGAAGTTTAACATATGCCCCATCTGACAAACATAAACAATGGAACAAATTCAAGGCAGACCAATGACAGTTGCATGAGTGGATTATGAAGGGTTGATTTAGTTCAGTGTACAGAGTTTTAAGTTCAGTGTACAAAGTTCCTTTTTGACGAGAGTTACTTATCCTAGAGCTTGTCTTTCATACAAGTCGACTTACTTACCTTGCTGACATCCATTCCCAGAATTTTCCACGTAAAAATTTCAAAAAGTAATAGTTTCTTTTTTCAACAATGTTAGACCGCTTTACACCTTCATGAGAAGCGGTGACATATGAACTAGAACAGGCTAGAAGCTTCAGTAGCAAACAAAAATTTCTGACTTCAAACTGTCATGTCTTATCCATGCACTACATTCTGTTTGTAAGCAACAAGCCCCGTAATAATCTTCTTCCATCAAAACTTAAAAGACATAGCCCAACAGCTTTTTCTTTCCCTTATTATGTATTCTTACACAAAATACTAGCATTTAGCCTGTCATCTTTCAGTTGAAGCATCTATGGTACATAGAACGGTTTCCCAACAAAATTGAACTCTTCAATCCCAATTCTCCATGAAATCGATATTTCTAGGATTTGAATTTTCATAACCAATTCAAATTACGCTACAGATAAATGAAAGGAATTCAAGCAGAGCTCTTTTAAAACAAAAGAGTACAATCATTTATGGATGTAATGTGCTTAGTAGAAATGGAAATTAGACTATAAACACTATCGATTTTCTTAAACTGTAATTAAATTTCCAGCTACAAGGTACCTAGATCTGGAGATAAACACTCCACCGTAATAAACTAATAACCTTAACACGAGCCCATCATGAAAGGCCAAATTCCAAACAAAATCAAAGAGGCCACGAAGTGAAATCCAAAAAGTAAGCTCAAATGCCACAGTCAACTAGAAAACTAACACCTAGTTTAAACATCAGGAGTCCTGAATTTCTCATGCAAAAGCCACCACATCCACCGCAAATAATCACATCCTATGTACAAATTCCATCCACCCAGGCAACTCGAGCCCGCCAAAATTCAAAACTATTCTCAACAACAAACTCTAAAACAGGCTTTGCCCACTTTCAATTTCAAGAAAAAATTGCGGACTTTGAATTACAGTTTTACCTTATTTAATGGCGATCTCGAGGTGGGCTCATGGCTATCTCTGCTCAGCATGATAATTAGCAGCAAAATTAATAACCCAAAAAGGGTTAACCAGAAGACATTCGAGAATCGCCGCCTCACCGGCCGCCGGAAATCTGGACCTCTCCGCCTCATTAATAAAACCTTCTTCTCTACCCCGGAAAGCTAGAACAAAAAAAACACTTAGCCCTTCTACTGCATACTATAAATGGTAACAATTTAAGCGCCTTTTTCAGAATCGAATTCCAAATTGACAGGGGAAAGAGTAAGGATATTAGCAAGAAGGAAAGAAAACGAGGGAAGAGATCTAGCAAAAGGTTTTACTGAAAGCCACCGACGCAAACAAGAAACTGACCACTTTAACGGTATTAAGTTTGCTCTTCCTTTTGAGTAATCATTTATTAATGGTGCCATTTTTCAAATTCCTGCAGAATTATTAGTTGAATCTCACCGTATACTTTCATTATATTTACCAAACAAAAGAAAGAAAAAAGGACAATTGCTCTCTTACTGAATTAAAAAAAAAAAAAAAACTATTCTTGATTCGCTTTTGTAACAAAAGGAAAAGAATAAAAGTTTTCCCGAAAATATACAATATTTCTACAAAATAAGCATTATTATTATTATTATTATTTTTAAAATAGAAAGGGAGACTCAAATTAAATTGTAAATTTTTTATCTTTTGCAATACAGATCCACACTACACATGACAAATAATAATTGGTGCAGTAATCTGTCACTTTAATTGGTGCATTTATTTACTTCTATAGGACACATGTCGATACCATTACACAAACAGAATGAATGAAAATTAATTTCTTCCAATCTCAAAAAAAAAAAAAAATTAATTTATTTTGCATGCTTAATTACAAATTAATTTTCACACGCTTTCGTTAAAATGAACGAACAAAGGTTGCAGACTTGGACCATTGAATATGATTGGCGTTGACTAATTGGGTGAAGATGCACTAGCTGCCTACTGAGAAATGAATTTGAAGGAACGGGAACCTTTTCTCCGGTCAGAAATGGGCACTCGTCTCTCTTAGAAAAATTTCCCCAGATCATCATCAATAGGAGTACACATTTTTGCAATTCCACAATCTCTGTAGTGCTAGCAATTAAGGAAAGATAAAACAGGTTTGATCCGGGAATAGAATGTCTATTTTTTTGTAACCAATCTAGTAAAGCATTTGGAGCCATTCATTTGGACTCATTCTTGAATACTTTGAGTGCCCCGGTGAGATCGATGGTCTAGAAGAAGTAAACTTCCATGTATTTTTTCTAAATACCCCCTCTGTGAAAAAAAAAATTACATTAAATTTTGAAGTGTAGTCTGAATTTGGATTCAAATCAGAAAATTTAACATTAATTATTTTTATGTAACAGAAGAAATAGATTTTAATATGTACTATCTTTTGTGAAAAACGAGAGTAGATAGTAATTAAAATCTTCTTATACAAGACTTAGCGTATAATCTGATGCAATGCGCTAATTATTTAACATGTTTAGCAGTTCGGGGCTGAGGGTTTGCAATGGTTGGATAATCTAATATTGAAGATTAAATCTTGGCTCGAACATGATATTATAATAGTAGTTTATCTTTGAAATGTAATAATCTAGCTTGTTTAAGGTTTTAACCTCTCATATTGTAAAACAAAATAAGCTACAGAACATTGATAAAAAAACTAGTAACCCCTTTTAACTTTATTAGTGTAGTTTCAAAACCGAAACCATTACTCTTTGGACGATAATTTGGCAACCATTCATCATATCACTTGTTTCACTAAAAACTGAACCTCTTGAAGAATGGTTGTTATTTTTCTCAAGAGTAGATGCATAGCGCCATGAAAAATCTTATATTTGAGAAGCAAGTCGTTAATGACTTTACTCCGTTTGAACACAAATCTTATGGAAAATTCAAATCTTTGAATTTTTATAGGTCGTCAAGGATGCCAAAAATTTTAGCTCATAAACTATTATCCCTTAAATTGGCAGTGAACATATGTAGATGAGAATTCCAAAATTTTTCGTTATGATAAAAACCAATAACCTACGAGTCCAAGGAGAGCCTGCAGAGTGATTAAACCAACTGATCATCAGTGTTAAGAATGACGGAACTTTTCACTCGGTGGAGTCTTAACAATTTTAGCATTGACAACCCTCTCATTCCAATGCTTTTCTTATTGGTTAAAGCGAAATCAGAGATGAAGATCAGAAAGGAAGAAAGAATCATGAAGAAGACAAAAATAAGAACACCATTTTCTGGGAATGATTTCTGGTATATTCATCACAAACATTACAAGATCTATAAAGCTATTTATAGACAGCTAAATCTAAAACTTATCAACAATTACAACCATGATCCTTATTCTAGAATTTACAAGCCAACCATAAATCTATATTTATAACTTAAGGACCTTCGCTTGGTCTCCAAGTAAATCATGGTGGATCATAGATCCTCTTGATCCGACTGGAAGGTTCCAGACGCGGATTATCTTTTGACAGCTCAACAAGAACGTCTGCAAGTTGCTGAGGTTTGTTACGCTGCAACTCATGCTCTTCATTTCCAGATAAAGTTGAGCAGGAAGATGAAACGGCGTCGTCCCCTTCTGCTTTATTTGAATTTGAATCTCCCACTCCATTTGAACTTGGAAGGCGGTGACAACTGTTTGCTCGACACTTCAACTTACCCCCCTCAAGCTTAGCCGCGGAAGGCAACCACATGTTGAGCTTGGACAATACTCGAGAAAAAACAGTTGGCGACAAAGACTTGGTGAAAAAATCAGCCAAGTTGTCATGAGAAGATATATGTAAAGGGTCAATGAAACCGGCCTTGAATTGGTCCTGGACGACATGACAATCAATTTCGATGTGCGTCGTCCTTTCATGGAACACCGGATTCTTGGTGATGTAGAGTGCTGCTTGATTGTCGCAATGGAAAGGTATAGGCAGTGAGGGATGAATATTAAGATCAGACAACACATAGGTGATCCACTGCAATTCTCGGACTCCAAAAGCCATGGCACTATACTCGGATTCAGCAGTAGAACAAGAGATAGAACCTGTTTTTTTGTCTTCCAGGGAGATCAAATTGTGACCAAGAAATATACAATAGCCACTCAGAGATCGCCTACTAGTCTTACAGCTTCTCCAATCTGCGTCTGTATAGGCAATGAGATTGAAATCTGACTTGTGTTGATAGAACAGACCTTGCTGTGGACAGGCATTAAGATACCTCAACACATGAACTGCTGCTTGCCAATGTGAGTCATGTGGTTTGTGCACAAATTGGCTCAATTGCTGCACAGAATGTGTGAGATCTGGCCTGGTGTAATTTACATACAACAACCTTCCCACAAGTCTTCTACATCTTTCTGGATCTGAATATAATGGTGTAAGATCCTTAGACTCTTCTGGAAATCTCAAATCATGTGGAAAAGGTGTGGTTGCATGTGTACAATAGCATCCCAGTATCTCTAAGAAGATCAAGAACGTACTTATTTTGACTGATAAAGATTCCATCTGTGGACCTAGCCAATTCCATCCCAAGGAAGTACCTTGCAGTCCCTAAGTCTTTGATGGTAAACTTAGCATCAAATACTTCTTGAACTTTGTTACTTCACATTCATCAGACCCTGTGATCAGTATATCATCCACGTATACAAGTAAAAACATGGTGACAAGATCAGTGTGAAATATGAACAAGTAGTGATCATTTGGGGAAGGATGAAAACCATAAGATATAAGAGCATCAGTGAGGGATGCATTCCACATCCTGGAAGCTTGCTTGAGTCCATATATAGACTTCTTCAACTTGCAAAATTGACCTTTCTGAGCTGCAGTATGACCTGGTGGTGGCAACATGTGCACTACTTCATCAAGAGTGCCATGCAGGAAGGCATTATTAACATCTAACTGTTGCAAACACCAATTTTTACAAGATGCAATAGCAATAAGAATGTGCACTGTCACAGTCTTTGGTACTAGTGAGAAGATCTCAGTAAAGTCTTCCCCTTCAACCTGGGTATAACCCTTTGCAACAAGCTTAGTGTTACACCCCGTTAACCGTCTATGAATTCCCAGCAAGAACAAGGCTTTGAATACCTTGATCCAACACTCACAACTTACTTTGTAAGTAGTAGAAATCGTGCATAAATGTAAAGAGGCAAGTAGGCAACAGAATTTACGGGTGAAAACCCAACCTCGTATTATAAACTCGCAATACAAGGAAATACACCAAGACTTGCACAACACAATTCCCAAATCTCTCCTATGGATTGCTGGCTAAGCCAAATCTGAGATATATACATGGGACGACAGTTATAACTGCCCAAGGAATTCAGGAAAAATGGAAACAAAGCTAGGATACAAAAAGGTAACTGCCGGTAACCGCCCCCGGCCACCTGTCCCGAGAAAACTCGGGTCCGTATCCTGCTAGCCGCACTGAAAAACCGCGCTGCACCTAGCAGCAGCCTGGTTAGCCATGCACCAAAATTTCAACTGCCCGATTCTACCATTTCCCGCAAAGCCCGCATCATCTTGACCGAAAGCCCACAAAGTCCCAGCTATCTCGAGTTCCCACAAGCCGGTTTTCCAGAACTCGGTAACCAGCAAGCCAATGCCACAAAATCCCGCAACACCGTTCCATTCCAGCCCAACTCTTGAGCCAACCTGACAGAACAAGGGACCAGCATCACCCGACACTTGTTTTCCCAAATCACATGCATGCCGCCTGCGTGTGAAATGCGGACTAAGGATTTAGGGGTCTAACATACCTCCCCCACTTAGAGAGGTTGACGTCCCCGGCAACTCAGAATGTCTTGCAACATACTCAATAATTTTATCCTCGAATTTCCACAAGTCCTTAGCATCAATCACTTGGCATTAAGCCGATCTTCACCCTTCCAATGCACCAAATACTTGGTCCGTCTATTCTTCTTACTTTGCCCCAAAGTTTCATGATTTAGAATAGCTTCCACTTCTTTCTCGAACTCCTTCCTGATCATGGGCAAAGCTCATTTAACTTGCTGCCTATCAGGATCAGAACCGTCCTCAACATACTTTTTCAGAAAACTAACATTGAATGTCGGGTGCACTTTCAACCGGTCTGGCAATTTAAGCCGATAAGCCACGTTACAACCCTTTCAATAACTTCAAACGGACCATCAAACTTGGGCACCAGGCTACGGTAAACCAATTTGCTACTGATTTTCTTCCAAATCTGAGCTGTAAGTTTCAACAAAACTAAGTCACCAACCTGGAATTCAACATCCCGTCTGTGAGAATCAACATACTTTTTCATCTGTTGCTGGGCAACTTGCAAATTGTCACGAGCTTCATCAACCAGCTCCTGCTTTGCCCTAGCTAACTGATATGCCGCGGGACATTTCCCACCAGTAGTGTGGACAGCAACTTCGTGTGGAGTCAAAGGTTGCTGCCCGTTTGCCAACTCAAAAGGACTCAAACCGGTTGCTGACGACTTGTGCAGATTATAGCAAAACTGT